ACGAGATCAAAAAAGCAGCTCTCTGAAAATATGGCTCCTTCATTCCCAGTAAACCAAAACATAATATGTGATACTCAATTGCTAGAGCAGATGATCTTCGGAAGCAACATAGAGCATTCATAAGAAGTCAAACAGCATCCAATTTCTTTTCCCTTTTTCGGTGCCGATCTCATTTTCTAACAAAGCAAATCAAAATATGAAGAAAATTATATAATAGCGCAACATCGAAATATTAACCAGAGATTAGAAGGGGTAGCCGTCTTGCGGGTAAGTGGCGTCTGGAGACCGTGCCATAGCTCAAAAACAAAACGCAGTCAACAACAAACAATGGTACATGGTATCTTGGGCAAGGATCTAAGGGAACAAGTGATGTATGACAGAAAAGCATAAAATAAAAAATAAAACAGAACCATCCAAAGTAAACCGGAACCTGAAATGCGTAGGAACAGGACATACAATAACATCAATTCATTAAGCCAGTCCAAACCAACCGGGGGGGGGATGATAACAGTCTCCAAGGACACAAAGGGCTACACAATGCAGAACGTCTGTAAGTTTAAAAAAAAAAAAAAAAAAAAGGAAAAAAAAGGGGGGGGGGGGAAACCAATAGTGCAAAAGAAACGAGATCAAAAGAAAAAATATTACCAAAAACTGGGAAGTTCAGAGGACATCAAGTCTCTCACTCCTCAGTTAGACAATCATCTCCCGCCTCGCGCCACTCCCGCGATCGCTCCGTCAGCCGATTGACACCGGATATCCTCTCAGCCCACTGGGCCTCAGACGGCGTTCGGAAAGTATACGCCCTCTGCGACGAGATAACCCCAATAGCCTGCAGCACCGCCTTTCTCGAATCCCGTCCAAACACGGCCGGATGCGTGATCCACTCCAGGGCCGCTTCCAGATCCGCATCCAGGGCGGAGATGGTGCTGGAATCAACGGCGGCGGCGACAGGCGTTATCGTGGCTGCTTCCGAGCTATGCGAGGACTGGCGGCCGTCGAGGATCTCCGAAGAGCGTGGCGACGATGGAACGGGAGAGAACCGCTCACTATTTGAATCAAAAGTGGGCTTCATAGTAGCACTTGTAGGCAGGGGCGGGAGGCTGCCCTTGCCAAGTCCCTTGAGGATGCTCCTCGTTTCAGTGAGGAGGTGATGCGCGCGATCTTGCTGTCCGCGTGAAACCAGCGTCAAGGCCCGTGTCAACATATCAGACGTAAGCAGCTCCATACGCCGCTGCACGATGGACGGATGAGGGGGAATAGGGGGTGTAATAGGCCTCCCAATACTTTTCGGTTTATGAGAAGCAGGTAGCATAGTTATGGCGAGCAAGGATGGTCGAGGAGAATGCGCGAGGTGCCCATCGCGCAGGATATCGCCGTATGTGACATCAGCCTGGATCAGCGGGACCTCCTCGATACTCGTCACACGCTGATCCTCTCCATCCAAGGGACCTCCAAGCGCTTCGAGGCCAGACACAATGCTTTCCCAAGGATCCTGGGGAATGTGTTCAGGAGAAGAATTGTCAGGCGAAATTGCAAGCTGGACCAGAATATCTAGAGACACACAAAAATATGTTAGAACTCCCCCCCACTCAGCCAGTCATCTGATATCACCATTGTACGTACCTCTCTTGTCTCCGAATCTCAAGTCACCCAGAGCAGCTTCAGCATCCCTGCCCGTTGCACGTTTCGTAGTGTGGAGGGCCCCGCTTATCTTGACAAACCTCGCCGGAGATCCCTCCGGTAGACGTAACTTTAACTTGACGTTTTGGTGGGAGGTCGTCTGTAGGGAGCCCAAGCATCCTGCGACGCATTCCCGCAGCATCATCCAATCTTTCACATACATATATGACGCCTTTGTACGGGAGGATAACTCGATCATGGTATCGGGCTTGTGCGTCATCCCCAGCCCAAACGTGTAAATCCCAACCCTATCCAGAATATGTCAGTCATCCGAACATTAGAGTAACTACAGCTATCCACTATTAAAGACTTACTTCGCAGCCTCCGCGCGGGAAATAACAAAATCTACACTTTCAGGATCCGACGTAGACGAATCGCTGATCAGCAAAATTGACGAAAGCGGGTTAGTGGACTTGCGCTGCATCAGCAGGTCCATGGCCACATTTGCACCTTCGACCAGGTCCGCTCGGAGACTCTTCTGGCCAACGGGGCGGATTGAATTGAGAACGCCATTCCATCCACCCCAAGCATTCGTCGTCATGCCGACGAGCGGTACTCCGCCTCCACTCGAGCCGAACGTTACCAGGCCCATGCGATCGCGCGGGCCGAGAGACTGTACCAGGAAACGCAGGGTATCACGCAAAAGCGTGATCTTCAGGCCTTGCATGGATGAGGAGACAGGGATGACGACGACGATATCTAGCGGGACGTGGAAGCTGTTGAGGCGTCCGTCCCGGATAGAATTTGTATAATCGGTCAATGCTGTGGCGGCCGATTTTCCGGCACCGTAGGAAGAGTTGGTGGAAGAGACCCTTGTTTTAGTTTTGAAGGTTCTGTAGTCTTCCTCCTCCGTGCCCGAGTTTTCCACATCGTAATCCGGATTTCGAATGGGGGCATCGACGTTGTGCAGATCCAACAAGGCGCGTTTCCATACGTCGAGCTGGGTGCGACATTGGAACTGTAGATGGAAGCAAGGTAGCTCGTTGACGGACAGATTTAGTGTCAAGATTGTTTCGTCTAGAATAATGTCAGCGCTACCAAAGGATATTTTCTCTTTTTTCCTTTCAAAAAAAAAAAAAAAAAAAAAAAAAAAAAAAAAAGAAAAGAAAGAAAAAAAAAAAGGTTAGATGGGGATATGTAGTACCTGCAACAGTCTCCACCTCCTTAAGGTGCTTCTTGATAAGGATTGAGCCTTTCAATGTACACCGACTGTTTTTACGCTTCGTGGATGGATCATCAAAGGGACTCGTAGCAGGGGACTTCTTTTCTTTGATACAGATGAGCATCTCTGAGAAAAGATAGCACTCAAGTTCCTGCCACGATCTTCTATCTTTTCCAACTTTAAGTCTGCCGTGCAGCCTGAGCTTGCCAAACCTAAGATTATTCATCAGCAGCCATAGTTTTAGGGGGGAATACGCATTTCTTGACCATACCGGTCGAATTCAAGGCCATGCCAATTGTCGACGCGCGAGCGCAGATCTTCCGCAATTTGATCGAAATCCTCCTGGGCTTCGTACTGTCCTCGACTAGAGCCTTGATTGGAGGGGTGCATCGGCTTCAGGGGACTCTGGAGTTCCTCACGAGGCAAGGCAGGGATATGAGGCGCGTGGCGCAGAGTTTCCAGATCCGGATGCCATTTTCCATCGGGAACTTCAATTGTGACGAGACAAGTGAGGGACTGCTGTTGTCGCGAGCGATTGAGGGTGGGAAACTCGCTTCGCACCGTGACTATCGGCGCAGGGATGGGGTTCTTCATCATCCCCGGTCGCGGACTGAGCGCCGATTCCATCGCCTGGACATCGTAATCGTGCCTTCGTCCGATGCTCGATTGTTGTGTGTCGGAATAATCGCCCGAGGTGGCAGTTCCTGTCACTTCGCTGTCATTACGCACATGTTGATGTTGTTTCCTCGAAGGAGTAGCCAGTCGCTCGATCCTCTCGCGATGGCTGCTTGCATCCCTGCTGTCTCGACGCCGCGAGTGTTGACTGTCGCGATTCAGCGATCTGGCCGAGAAATCGTTTGAGGATGGCTGACTTGGACGGGAGCCAACATCCCAGGACGGGGTAGGGGTCTGATGGTTGCGGTGGACAGGAGTATCAGTGACAGAGACGGATCGGACGAGGTTGCTTAATTTTTCTAGAAGCCGGATTAGCTTGACGCTTCCAGAGCGGATATAAGAGAGAGAGAGAGAGGAGAGGGGGGGTTAAGGTTTAAGAGAGCGAATTGGCCTTACCAAGGTCCAAGAGGTTTCCTCCTCTGCTGCTATCGAGGCCCAGGGGCGCACTGCAGGTTGGGCAGTACTGACTATCGCATTCCTTGATGTATTCGTAGAAACATGCTTCGTGAGAGACGTGCGCACAGGAGAACTGCAGGATGCGTTCGCCTCGAAGGGTGTGTTCCAACGGTTCTTCGCAGACGGCACACTCGCTGCCTACAAACGTGCGCTCCCGGCGAGATCTGGATCGGTCCACGTCCATCATGGTCGGTGGTCTGCGCGCGCAAGAAAGAAGGGGGGAGAAGAGAGAGAGAGAGAAACAAAAAAAGAGAAGTCAAAGAGAGAGAGAGAGAAACAAAAAGAGAGAAGTCAAAGAGGCACGACGAAACGTCTGCGACCAGCCCACGCGGCCGATCCAGGTGAATAAGTCTTTCTGCTTGAGACACACACACACACACACAGAGAGAGAGAGAGAGAGAGAGAGAGAGAGAGAGAGAGAGAGAGAGATAGAGAGAGGTGACGAGCCGGGAGGGTGGGCGAGATAGGGATGCTAGCGGGGGCTGGTCAGGGAGGCGGAAGATCCTGTGTTCTCGTCCGCGCACGAACCGCCGTGGGTCAACGATGAAACAATCGACGGCGGCGATTTAGGCGATTGAAACCGGATGGGGGGGTCCGGACAGTAAGGCGTGAGAAAAAAGGAGAGAGAGAGAGCGAGAGAGAGAGAGAGAGAGAGAGAGAGAGGAAGAGGGTGAGAGAGGAGGCAAAACGAGCGGGATCCTGAGAGCTCCTCCCGCCAGCAACCACCCAACAACGAGCGACAAAGAGAGATGAACGAGAGAAAAATTGGACCACGAGAAAACGGGGGCCGCCGTCTCTGGAGATCTTCGAAGACAGAATTAAGGTTAGCCTGTCAGCCGTTCGATATCAGCCTTCTGTCGACTGGGCGGGTTTCGCATGGACGAACATAAGGGCTGCTGATGCGGTGGCGGAAAAGGGAAAAAAAGGGGGCGAGAGGAGGGGGTTGTGCCAGTCACGCAGGCCGGTTTTGATGATGATGACGATGATAGAGCCGGCTTTGGCAATTTTCGAGAAGCAAACAGCAGCGATGCAGCAGCAGCAGCAGCAACAGAAGCATTCAACGCCAACGGGGCAAACTCTCCTTTGTGCAGCGGGTTTGATGACGCTCCAGCGCACTACTCAAACGACTGGGCCAGACAAGAGTGCGATCATCAATAGCAATCACGCAAGGGCGGGCACAGGGCCCAGTCCGCACGCTAAGGAGAGGTGAGCGCCCCCATTTTGGCATCGCGCTGGTCTTTTTTTTGGCGGGGGGGCAGTTAGTTAGTTAGGTTCCGGGGGGGGGGGGGGGGGGGGGGGGGTTTGGTTAGGGTTGTTTTAGTTTGGTCTAACCCAGGGTCAGGGAAGCTGGGGCAAGGTTGGGAAGGGCTACTCAATCTTCTGCTTCTGCTTCTTCTTCTTCTCCTCTGTTTCTTCTTCTGCGAGCCTGCAGCAGAACCCTGGACGGCGGCGCGGTGGGGCCCGGCAGCATCCCTGTCAATCGCAATTAACACTCGGCTCTGCGCCCAGGGATCCGCCTCTTACGAGGGCCCAGTTTTTACTTTCTTCCCCCCCGGGGATCGTTCGAAACCGCGCCGTGTTGAGCGACTTTTCCGCCCTGCAGAAGAAGAAGAGGAAGAAGAAGAAGAAGCCATAAGGAAACAGCAACACAAACACACACACAGAGAGGGAGAGGGAGAGGGAGATAGTGGCCGAAAGAGGACAATCGTTCCTTCCCCCCAACACCCGCGGCCCCAAATGACGCATGCCGAGGTGCAGCCAATCAGCCAATCAGCCGCAGCCCTCGCCGCTCTGTCAGACGCTCAACCGGGATGGTGGGGCGACCGGCGGAGAGTCCCGCAGCAGCAAGCCGGCCAATCACGCTCGCCGCTCCCCTTTCACCGCACTGATTGGTCGGCGGAGTGGGGGGCTCCTGCGATAAGCGAATGTTTTTTTATTTTACAGTATTTTCTTTTTCTTCTTCTTTTTTATTTCTCTCGCGCCTTCCCAGGATGGCAGGAAACCCTGATTCCCGGACTAGCCGCCGGTCTAGTCCGCTTTTGGATCCCAACCCCATCCATGTGGCGGCCAAGCACATGGCAGCTGCTTCGCCATCCCATCCATTTCTCGTGGCTTTCTCGAGACTCAGAGCTGTTCGCCAAAGCGGGGAGGAAAAAAAAGAAAAAGAAAGGAACTAAAAAGAGCAGCAGGAAAGAAGCAAATTCAAATTCAACCCCGATTCTTGCCCAGCAGAGAGAAGGGCCCAAACGTCGCTGAGGCCTCTGGTCTTCTGTCTGTATGCAGCGTCCATTCCACTGTGTAACCGCCCATAGTAGTAGCACCTCTACCATCTCTGCCATGTCTGCCATGTCTGCCATGTCTGCCATCCTGCCATGTCTGTCAGCTCTGTGTCACCCCCAAAACGCCAGGGCCGTTGTTGTGCCTTCGCGGAATCGCTGCATCTCCCTTCCTCAGGATGTAGCCTGTCAAACAACGCGTTCAGGGAATCACAGTGCTGTCGCTGCCTCTCCAGGTTCATCCCAAGGGAATATGGATTCCTTTGCTCAGCGCCTGCCTGGTCTTCTCAGACTGTTGTCTTTGTGGCTTTACAGAGAAACTCAAAGCCCTCAGGGGAGACTGCCATGGCCCTGGAAGCAACCCGATTCGTGTCACGTAGCGACACCTGTTTTCATCTACAATAGCCTTACGCGTGTGACTCGTGTGAGACGGATGAGTCCCTGGTTCTACAGCATTGCAGAATACATCCACCCTTTTTTTTTTTTTTTTTTGCGCTGCTAGTACGGAGTACGCAGCACAGAGTAATGACATCCCTCTCTCATTGTATGCAAAGACATGGTTTCCCGGGCAGAATGGCGGGGCTTTGAAAAAGAGTGACCCCAATTGATTTCGTCGTGCTGAAGCGTATCCAAGGTCCGACAGCCTCTTAAAGAAGCTAGGGCTCGGCTCCTTGGGAAGATATTTCTGCAAATCCTCTTCCTTCGTTTAGTATGCTTAAGCTCCCTGGCTCACGCCCGGTATATTTTGTGTTTTAAGCGACCGCCAAATCTGAACCCCCTCCAGGGCGATCTCTGCTTGCCCACCTGGGAGGCTGGTCCCGATCATTCCAATAATCGACGGCCGATCGCGAGATTTTGCCACCTCGTTTAAAAAGAATTCTAGAAAAAAAAAAGCCTCTGCCGGGAAAAAAAAAGTTTTACTGTATTTCTATTTTCTTTATCCTTTTGCGGGCTGCGGGGGGGTCTTGAGCTACCCAATCCGGCCAACGCCCAGTGCCTGCGCCAAGCACCAAAAACAATGGTATGGACGGGGGAGGGTGCACGCTTCTGTCCAATAACAGCCAACAAACATTGCGCCTTTCTGTCATAACGCGGTTAAAAAAAATAAAAAAAAAAAATAACAATACGCCAAGAAGGGCGCAGAGGCTGGGCCAGGTTACTCAGTGCTTCGTCCTCTTATCGCGTCGTCCAACAAACCAATTCAGCGATCCCAGGGAGCTCCCAATTTTTCCCTTTCTTTGCTGAACAAGGAGTTTCCGCGTTTCACCCGCAAGCTATCTACATATTCCATAATGAATAATAATAATAATAATAATAATATCTACATATTCCGCCTTAATTCCCTATTGATGTTTAAATCGTACTACATATCTTATACGAATTCGCTGGAGACGACGGAGAAATCAGCAGGGAGAAGAACTCCGTGCCCTTCCATTGATGATCTGTGAGATTTGAAATCTCAGTGGTAAATAGATCTCTTCAAAAACTGCCTGTGGTGATACGCGCTTCAAGTACTCTATACAACTATCCACGAATTACGGCATCCTCGTAAATCAGTTGCCTGAACAGCATCAGAAGCTGACCGAAAACCCGGCGTTTTGGGCCCTGCAAGCCCTGACCCGTCCAATGACGTCTGACCCTCAGCCCCACGACCATGCTTGTGTTTTATGCTTAATCGCACCTCGCCCTCCACCAAAACACGCTTTTATTTTTCTCCCCCGCTCATTTTCATGCCCAGAACCATCAGCGGTTTCAGAAAAATTTACAAAATTACGGCTGCCGTCTGTGCGCCATCCGTCAAAGGATCGTTCCCACGGAAAAGAACAAGCCAATTCGCGGCTTGAAACTGCTCTCGCCGGGGGGTGGAAGGGGGGCGCGGATGGCCTTGTAAGGCTGAAGAGACGATGAGGCGGGGGCCATTCCTTCGACTAAACTACTCCGTTCTACTGGGCAGGAAAGCAGGAGAGAACAGTAGGGTTGTGCGCCCTGCCTAGCAAAATGTGAGGCCTGCCTGGGTCCATGGCGCACGCCCACACGAGGTAGCCGCTTAAGCAACCCACATCCAAGTGATTACGCAGCCCAAAAAGAAACGCATTTGACATCGATCCTTTACCAGCCGGTGTGTCAGATCATCTGGTGGACATGACCAATCCCACTGCCTCACCCTCGTCTGCGATTCCGTGGGCCTTGTAGGAACCTCGGAGGTTGCTCTCACACCGAGCCTTTGGTTGCACACCGACTCCAAAACAACCTTCTACATAATCATTGGAGAAGAGACGAGTTTTCTGTGACGACACTAGGAGAACTGGAGACATGATGACATCGAAATTGACGCATCGTAATAAGACCCTCAGCTGAGCTCTTTTCATATGTATGTGCGTAATTTTTTTACCTTTTTTTTTTTTTGTTTTTTTTTTCCCTCGAAAGCCCAGCGCATTCTTACCGACGAGAGAGGATTTGGGGAGGATCCATTGTAAGGAATCGCCAGGAATCATCGATCCCAGCTCTTTGGGGCCAAAATTTGGGAGGGATCGTCTCACCACTATTCCGTACTCCGCTTTTGGATTTGTTCGCCCCAAAAAAAAAAAAAAGGAGCGCACCGTTCACATGCTTGGTTCCGTCCAAGTCCTTTTCGCGTCTCTGTGCTCCTGGCTCCCCCTCACCTAATGGCAAGAGTCACGAGCATTTCCACATTCCCCAGTGAGCAAGCGGCGTCTGGGAAGGCTTCACACCCAGGGATAGCCCTTGAAGACACGGCATGTTTTTCCTAGGATCTCACGCAACCATTGCTGCAAGGATCCTTCTGCCAAAGATCTTCCAACTACTGGAGATCTGCAGAAGCATTGGAGATCAAACCCACATGTCGAGTCGCTCTGGGAATCTGCTGCTACGTAAGATATGGAGTAACCGCTCCGGAGTAATCCGTATGGGAATACGCATTTCCCCCACTCTGAACTTCCTGCAGGAATGCGCACGGCGTGCTCCTGTCCAGTACTTGGTTGTGGTTCAGGGATGTAGCGTCTTGGCGATCATAAAGGGGAAAACCAAGGGGGGTCGTGTCAATCATCCATAAGTATGTATATCGAGTTCAGTTCAGGAATCCCTACGGCCACATTGCGGATATGCAGTCATCCACTCTGATGTTGGCTTTGTACACTGAGCCCTTTTGGATCTTCTGCACCTGAACTCAAGACGAGCTGATGGGCCAGCGGCCTGCGCCGTCGATCATCCGGCGTGACGCTATTCCATTCCGGTAAAGACACGGAACGGGGATTAACAGTAAATCCGAGGAACTACTCCCAAACTGGAATGGTGCTGCCAGGTTTGGTTTAGCTCCAGCGACCACAGAGACTTGGGGAAAAAAAGGGCAAATCCAACATCGAGCCCTGATCGATGCACTTTAACAACGGCGAAGGTCTTCCTTGCAATTACGGATTGCGCCTGAAATAAAACTACGCATTGTGATAGAATATTCGTGATATGCATTTTGCCTTCTCTTGACTATAGTTCTTTACAGTGTGATTTTACATCCTTAAAATTCTAAAACTTGACCCATGCATGCCTCATATTGGGCCAGGGCCCCGTCGGCATTGTCCCATGTTACGAGGATTCAGCGTCGATACGCGAGTGCTCGGACTCCCAGAGCGCCGTCAGTGCGCAATCGACTACGACGCCCAGTGCTGAGTCCGGACTTTGGGTCAGTCCCCAGCCCGCCATTGGAGCTATTCACCTCTGCCATTGACAAGGGCCCGTTCAAGCAAGGACCCAACAAGCTTGGGTGGATGGAAGCCATCGATATTGCTCGAAAATGCATCGCCGCAGCTCAGAAAAGCACGGAGACCTCTTCGTTGAATTTGGAAAGGGATATCCACGCAGGTGAGGGAACCAAAAAAAAAAAAAAAAAAAAAAAAAAAAAAAAATTAAAAATAAAAATAAAACTTTTGTTTTTCATCTCAATGCTTTTTTTTTATATATTCGGTCTAATTTTGAAAAGGTAGACTTGCACAAGATTTGTTTGGTATCCCAGATCCTTGGACGCTCACCCAGACACAGTGTTGTGACTGAGTGGATTATGCCAAAACTGGCTCATGCCGGTAACATGCTTGCCATCGTCTCTCTAGGCTATAAGGCGCTTAGCTCTTCCACGATCAATGGGCAGCCTTGGCTGCTTCAGAAGATCGAAATACTCGCTCGAGAGGGCAAGACCTGGGAGCCTATGGTCCTTCACGGATCTATTTTGGAGGCAAAAGGCGAACTGCGGAGCGCAGCAAACTGGTACCAGAAGGCAATCGAAATAACAAAGCCACTGGACAACGAAATCAACTATCTCTCCTTTTTTATCCCGCAAGGCCGGTTTCCACTGCCCTTGGAAGCATTTGCCAACGTCCAACTCAAGCTTGGCGAAATCGATAAGGCCGAGGAAGCCGCGAACTTGGGTGCGCTTCAGTATGATAGCCCCCGGGGCTATTCGCTGCTCCTCTCTGCGCTTTTTAAGAATGAGAGTGGGTGGGATCACGTCGAAGAATACCTCACGAAATGCGCCATGAGCCATGATGTGGAAGCCTGTTATCGGCTGGGAGAAATATATCGACTCTGGCATCTTGGGTTGGAGAAGGTTGAGCATGCCGGGTTCCACGGCAAATTCTTATCGAAAAAAATGCTTCGGGGAGTGCTATCGGTATCTTCACGCTACTATTCTCCAACGGAATATTATAGTATGGCCAAAGAATGGCTCGAGCTCGCCGCTGCCCAGGGACACCCGTTAGCTTCGCTGCAGATGGCGGTGCTACTCCGTGACGAGAATAAAGCGGGAGAAGCTTTACACTATCGGGAACTTGCCGGAAGGCATCCGAAATACGCAGCCGTTGCTACCGAACTACAAGAAGCGTGGGAAATCTCAGACGCTGACATCACTTCCATCATGCGCAAGGCTGTCGAGCTGTAAAATTTCAGAAAGATTGTATGTATCTTATGCACAGAAAAATCTCTTATGCACGTTGCCAACGAGTGAACCTGCGCTCTTACTTGGCCTTTCTGGACTTGGCACCATCTGCTCCCAGTGCCTTCAGCTTTTCAGATAAGTACGGAGTGGGCCTCATCCCTGGAAAGTCCTTGGACGCAAATGCTCGAAAGGAGTCCGACCAAACCTCGTGCAAGATTGGTATTTTACCGGTCACCGTTGGCTCGCCAACGTTTATAAGCCGGAAACGAAGCCGATAAACCCCTGCGGTTGGTATGCGAAGATCGGCAAAGACGAAAAACGTGCTGGGAATCGACGACGGTGTTCCCTTGCATACCGATCCTGGGTGCGAAGGCGCCTTGGAGGGCTCGGGATCCGCTTCGACGAAGAACGGGCTGACGTATGTTTTACCGTACACGTTGCGGATTGAATCCTCTTCTTCTTCCTCCTCCTTCTGTCCATTGGGCGTCGGTTGGTGTGAAACCTCGTCGGCTACACGGCCCCCCAAAGCCCCCGAAACATTTTCGCAGACAGCAAACAGATGGCAAGCAACAACGTGCTGGCTGTGTTTCAACATTTTGATGTCTTCCTCAGATTGAGAGTCAAAATCGGTCATGAGAAGCTGAAGAATTGGTGATGGGTCAACGGAACGGCGACTCTTGTCACCGGCGGCACAAGTTCGGGCTGCTGCGGGCTGTTGCCGCACAAACAGGCGCAGGCGAGAAAGAGTAAAAGGTGGATTTGGCGACGGATTGAGAAGATGGCTGAATCCTGAAGGCACCGGTGGCATGGCAGCATAACTGGCGGGTCTGCTTGGGACCCCGGACATTTTCTCGTGAAGGTACCTATCATATTATTGTTAGGTGGATGGAATGGGAGCCTATCCTTATGTTTCCACGCGTGTCGATTCTTACCCTTTTCTGGATTTTGAGTCTTGATATCCTGGTTCTTTTCTCGTCGGTATACAAATCCTCCTTCCCGTCGGATATGCGAGGCATAAGAGTGTTGGCTCTGGATAAGCTCGGCTTAAGAATGAAGCCAGGATAATTCGCTGTGTTGAGATCAGGTAGCGACTTTTGACTAGAATGACGATGATTGGGGAGAATGAGGACCCCAGGGTACTTCGACAGAGCGTTATTTTGCGAAAAATTCATCGATACAAGTGCTAGAGCCGTGGCAGGCTGACGAGTTTATATACTATTGGAATAGCTATAAGGGCTTATATTGTCGCGCCGTTCTTGCAGAGTGTGCCGCAACGGTCCGTTTTATATAATCGACAAGGAACTTTTGGACGAATACAAGGTCTACATATAGTCACAGATGATGGCAATTGGGCTGTTGATCGCGAGGATTCGCTTTTCTCCGAAGTTTGTTCCCAGCATTATCCCAATAACAAGCGTGAAAAAAAAACTGAAAAGCTTTGTCTCACGTTCGGGAAACTTGAGACGGAAAGCGTTTACCCGTGCGATTCTGAAACAGCAAGGCAAATCTCCACTGGTTTCGGCGACATCTAGAAGCCGACAGAGTCTACGGAGTATACCGTCTCCATATCGAGGACACCAATGTCCAAACTCCATACATACATACATATGCTACGGAGTACTAAGTTGCTCTTGTATATCCCCCGCGTAGCAATGCTACCGACATCCAACTAGCCTCTATTCAAACAAGCCAATGGCATTCAGCCAGATGTGTCCTAGAGTTTATGAACATGGCCCGGGTCGAAGCCCACAGGCACAAATGATGCGGTGCTCGATGCACACTGTGCTCCCGTGGCAGTGGTTATCGCTAGAAAATCATAGTGTAGCCAAGGCTCACGTCCTCCCCGAAGACTACGCACGGCCGCACAGGCCGTCCAAAGACTCAAGTGTGGTCGGGAACGACGCCTAGTGAAATTCAGAGCTCCCCATTGATAAGCAAAACCTAACTCGATCATGTTTGTCCAGCGCATAATAATTCCGTGCTCTGCGGAACACAGGCGAATTATAGCCTCTTCCGTACCAGATAAATTACCAGAGAATTCATAGCCAATCGGGTAAAATGAGCTGTCATCTTCATAGTGCTGGGGCCCGCGGTCTTGTTTCTGCGTTCTCTTTGCTTTTTCCTCCAATCCCAGCCGCGTGGCCGATCGTCGGTCCCCCCTTTTACTACTTTGATCCAGGGACGTCCAAGGTGTGGATGATCGTGCCGCGCCAAAACATTTCCATGCTCGGCCCCCGCCGTGTCAAATTTATTTTTGGGACCCTTGGGGGCACGGACTTGGGAGCCTTCCCTGCAATCGGGGAACAGCCTGGACCGCTGATTGGGTTTGGGTGGAGGGTTGGTGAAACGGGAGAGCCTTCTTCCTCGATAGGTGACGATCGATCTCTCAGCTATGGAGTACGGAGTAGTTATTGAAAGCTCTCCTGCGCTGAAACCCAGTCCATCACTCCCACCCCCGGGAACCGATGTCAAACAGCGAGGATCTTTGCCAAGTAATTTGTATCGTGGCAGCCACATATTCTAACTGGGCTCTAAGTACTCCGTAGCGAGTACACGAACTCTGCACCACGTCGCTTGTTGGTAGGTTCCACCTTCTTACTATCTTCCAGTGCGGAGGAGTGCCATGACCAAAATGCTTGGCTGTGGGCGGCATTGGTGAGTGCATGCATGATGCATATTGGGGGTTTGTTCTAGAAGTTAAAAAAAGATTGTGTGGAGTGACTACGGGAAGGAGTCCACATCCCAACCCAATCTGATACTCATCCGGAGAACCCGTCCCTCACATATTAGAAGAAACATGATTGGCTTTTGACTCATATGAGATAACCCACTGGAGTTCGGGTAAATGGACAGGGCCGCAGACGCCGGACGCCCAGCTCAGAATCCCGCTGCCCTGAGTCCGTTCTCCCGCTTCACTGGTGGTAATTGACGCTATCAAACTCGACCCTGAGCAGGGAAGACCAACTGCCTAAAATCCTCTATTTTTCCTTCAATCCCAAAGCCACACCTATAGCGACTAACTACTCCATTAAAAAGTAAATACAAACGGCCCGCTCTGAGCCTAGAATCCCGCGTGGATCATTGTCTGGACTCTTTTTTTGGCCTGAAACGTCCGCTTTATTCTTTGCCTAGCCATGGCGATAACTCCTCGTCGCCTCAAGAGAAGAAGGCTTGCGGCCCGCTGTCAGGCCACACCCCCGACCACTAATTGCCTTGCAAAATCTATGCTAGGCCGGATTTCAACGGCCCGGCACATGTGTAAGGTTGGGATGCAAGGCACATACTAATACGAGCCGTCACCCTGGCCTCCGTGCGGAGCACGGTTCTCGACGATTCCAGGGTAAGACTGTGCGGACGATGATCTTGTTTTCGGCAGCAAGTCTTCTATGGCATCAGCGAGAAGCAGACGGTGGAATTTATGGAGGAACTGAGGAAAAACATCGCTGTATGGAAACGCCACTAGCCCCCAAAAGTAAACATATTTTTTCAATGTTGGATGTTTGAATCTATGATCATATAGCATGTATTACCCTGTACTCCGTAGTTTATCATTGCTATTACCCAGTACCAGCGCTGCGAACTTAGGAGCTACATGAAAGCCAGGGGTTATTTTACGCCCGGGGAGCTCGACCCTTGGCCGTGTTCCTTGCCTAACTACGGAGTACATCCAGCATGTAATCAAAGGAGGTTGTGTAGGATGAGCTGGGGGTTAAATTTTAGCATCAGACCCCGGTGCGGAAGGATGGCGCGGGTTATGTGAGAAGTTTTGGAGAGGGGATTAATCCAGCGCGTCGTCGCTCCGAAGAAGCTCCATGGCACGTGGTAAACACGAGGTGGTGTGATATCAAGCGAGATTTAGCTCTTCAAGTCAAATCCCGGATCAACGTCGACCCAGAATCCCGGGATATCTTTGAATATCTCAACTAAACCAAGTCCCGGTACATCCGCCTCAGGCGAGTTCTTCTGTTCAATCGAATTTCCGACCTCAGCGCAGGAGTGCGGAAGATACGATGGCGCGGTGGGACGTACGAGTCCGGCATTCATCATACCATAGCCTTTGCCAACCCACAGAAGAACAAGTCTGCCCTTCTGCCGATCCCATCCAACGACGTGGCCTGTCGGCGCCCATCTTTCAGGTTCTTCTGGTGTTGGAACCCGGGATTTTCTGTAGGCCGCTTTTTTCCGCATCACCACATATCCAAGCTGCATCAAATGAAGGTGGGGGCCAATCTTTCTAGGAACGCCATTGCAGTCTAGGCGAACTCGCAATAGGCCAAGCGAAGAGAGTTGAGAAGAATTATGCACATATTCCGCTGTGATTTCACGATTATTCGTTATCTCAATGGGTGAGCACTGAATTACCCAGGCGAGCTCTAGAGGCCCAAGGTGGTCATCCCGCGCTGAACATAAGGGTATTTCGACACCCTCGTATTCGTTCAATAACTCAGCAATGCCAGATAGATTTGAAATTGATTTCGACGGAATGGTGGTTCCAAATAGGTCCAGCAAATGGCGTGTGGGCGGAACTAAGCGGTCCATTCCAAGCGCTTGGTACGCTTCTTCAGGGTTGCCATTATTGCACCAAATAGGCGTTTCGCGAGAGTAGATATGGCTCCCCCGCTCTTCGTCGGTCCATCGCACACCCAAGTTCAATTCAATAGCACGTAGTTCTCGGGTGAGCATTGACTGGATTGCTTTGTCGCTTGGGAGTTCACGAAGTAGACCCTCTTGGTCATGCTGGATTAGTAGCGTCCATACATGCACTGGGAGCAACACGTTTAAATCACAATGACGCGATATATCCCGCGCTGCTTCGATGGCTGCCTGTGAGTTGCCCGATTTGACCAGAGCCTCCAAACAATTTACCGCTGCGTTTGTTAGATACGTTGTTGTTCGACCGTGCGCCATATCGGCTTGTATAAGTGGCAGTATCTCGGTCAATCGTTTCTGGTCACCAAGTTGGCCCATAAGCTTGACATAAGCCTCGAGAAAGGCACACTCTGATGGATGTGATAAATCGAGAAGAGAACGAAGCATCTCGGAGAGAGAGCCGTGGCCATTAATGCCCGAAATAACTTTATCCATCCTAGGATCGTCGAAGGTTCTCATCTCTAGGCCGTGGGCCAAGTCCTTGACGAGTTCATTGGCAGCTTCCGGGGTCAGGTAGCCATATCCACCCTCAGAGTATTTGCTGAAGTAATGTCGCAATGCTGGGGCGGAGAAGCACCGGGCCGCGTATCGCATGCCCAAAAGAAGTAACTCCTTGGTATCCGCAACCTCGAGCTTTTGAAGCCTTGCCAAAATTCCGTTGATGGTTGCTAGGAGATCGTCCCATTGCGTTTCGCTTTCGCATTGAGCAAGAGCCTCTCGGAGTAGAGGGAGGGAATTAACAAGTTTGGTTCCAGCATTTTGGTCTTTGACTTTTATTTGGATCTCGGATTGTATTTTCGATAGGACGTTGCCGTCCTTTAGGCGTAGGCGGAGCTCGGTGGGGCCACCTTGTGCATTGGGCGCGTTTTCGCCCAGTTTCTCGGGGAGTTTCTCTCTTGCGAATAGCTCTTCCAATTGCCCGTCAAGGGTTGTACTTAGTTTGTCATTTCCGGACGTCCGTGTTGACCCTGTCAGCACATATCGAAAGAGTTGTGTTCGCGGAAGTTCGGGGAAGGATTGGGGGAGTTTTCGGTGGCAAAGCTGCGTGGCTTGGGAATACCATCTTACTCCCGTCGATGGGGCAAGGGCAGGCTTCAATTGTCTGCTCCCAATAAGCCGGCAAGCCTTTGAGGTCGCTGTGATCATTGAGACTTGCCTGAGGTTGACATTGCCATTGTCACAAACCCCCAGACCAGCTTCGTGCTGAACTCGCTGCAAGCATATGGTAGTTAATTAAATAACGTTAGTCATAGATTATATAATCCATTTTTGCCAAGCCGCAGGAGTTCCAGTCGCGACCGAAACGCTGCTCACGTCAAGCTTCATGGGGCGATGACCGGGAAATGCTGCTATTTTAACATCGGATAAGTCACAGCTATCGACGCCCGAACGTTTTTATTTCTATCCAGCTGGCTTGAAAATTTGGCCTCGCATCAAAGCTGAGTATCTGACAAAAAACAAACGTCTGGATTTTAAGTGCATAGGCATGGCAACAGAAGAGACGACACTGGCGACACCCGAGCGGCCAGTGAGCCCTCAAGCACCTCGAGATGAGGAGCCCGCTTCTCAAGATGCCGCCGCACCAGAACCCAAAGAAGATGGGGAGAAGCCGGTAGACAGTCTGGTTTCTAAGAACAAACAGAGGCTGGAGAGGTTCAAAGCATTGCAAACCAGAGCGGTGAGTTAACTTATCCATGGTGAGCCGTAAAAGGTCGGCGCTAATTTTTTGAATAGAAAAATGCTGCAAAAAGCAACCTCAAGGAAACCGCCGCTGAATCACGCAGACTATCTACAGATCCCAGTCTCCTCAATTCTATCTCCCGGAAACACGCCTTTGCATCACATAACCTCCTCAAAGCTGACATAGAGGCCGCCGGCGAAGACTTTGAGCGTAAGCGAGCCTGGGATTGGACAGTGGATGAGTCAGAAAAATGGGACCGAAGGATGGAGAAGAAACAGAAGCACCGGGATAACGTCGCGTTTCAAGACTGGCGTCAAGACTCTCATAAAAATTACAAGAGGCAGCTACGACGAATGGAACCGAATCTCGATGCATACGAAGCTCAGAAGGCTGATGCCGTTATGCGTGCCGCTGCAAATGGAGGCCTTGATCTTATCGAGGGCGAAGATGGCGAGTTGGTCGCCGTGGATAAGAATGGTACATTTTACTCGACTGCAGACTCGATAGAATTCACGCAAAATCGACCCGATCGGCAAGCAGTGGACAGATTGGTTGCCGACTTGCAGAAGGCGGAGGAGATCCGTTTGAAGAAACGCAGAGAACGTGGCCTTGGTGACGACGACGGCGATGTTACATATATCAACGACAAGAACAAGCGATTCAACCAGAAGCTGGCGAGATTTTACAACAAGGTATGCCTCGCTTCCAAAACGATTAGTTTATTATAGAAATACTGACCTTAGTGTTCCAGTATACTGCTGAAATTCGAGACAGTTTCGAACGAGGAACGATGATCTGAGAGGTTTTCCCGGAGCCGAGATCGATAATTTACAAAAAAGATATCCGGACCAGCAATGCAAAATACACCCATATTATACACACTCTTGCCACAAGAATGATGGCTGACGGGAGAAAATGTGGGCTACGCCCTGCTTCAAAGCATGGTCCTCCTCCAACCCTTAGTCGCCAAGTCTTCGATCTTCCTAGGATTCATCACACCCTTCGTTACGCCGTCTCCAATAGCCTCGACTACCGCTTCGCCGACGGTGCCAACCTTTAATGGTTTAGCGGTCATAATTCCCATGAATGATAGCCTACCGCCGAGCAAGTTGTTGACTTCGGATCCTACTATCCCGCCCAACGCAATCGGCATTGTCATTTTACGAGATGAATCGTACATGAACGTGGGTCGGACGTAGATGTTACGCATATTTGGGAAATCCGTCGAAATCAAGGACTCCGCTTGTCTTTTTGACGTGATGTATCCTGAGGGCAAGATGGGTCCACCCGCTTCCGCAGAGATGTAGACAAAGGTCGGGACGTTCTCGTTGGACGAGTGTTTTGCTAGCGTTAGAGCTATTTCGGCGGTTATCGTTAGCATTTGCTATTTTCGCTGCATGTATATGAATAGACGCTCACCTAGGTCTCTATTCATGACCGCATAGCTTAAGTGTGGCGGATTCTTTTGTTTTCCGTTTTCTAGTGATTTAGACGAACAGAACAACTTCTGTATTCCGCCGAACAGCGATTCGTTTCCCTGTACAATTCCTTTGTAGTCCGCTTCCAAAATGATGCCCAGTGAGTACACGACGGCCGTAGCGTTCTTGAGATGTGGCAGATACGTGGTAGGGTCCATGACGTCGGCCTTGACCCAGTTCACAGACTTTGCCCATCGCGGAGGATTAGCAGACGAGGAGACTGTGTCCCATGCGGGCTCGCCATGTCGACTACAGGAGAATATGCTTTAGTCCTAGATACGCGAGGTCGCGAAACAATATGGGAAGATTGCTGAAGAAGTACCTCAGGGAGACGACATCCCACCCCCGGGTGACGGCGGACTTGCAGATTCTAGACCCTAGCAGCAAAATCTTAGCTTTTTGGTTTTTGGAGATCAAGCTGCATTCGCCAGAATTCAATAGATCATACCCAGGAATCCACTTCCACCTGCCACTACAAGCCTTGTTGTCGCAGCCATTGTAGGATCCGGTAGCTAGAACTGCGTACTACCAAGTATGACGGAATCTCAAAAGTGGTCCAATTCATGTATCCGCAGCGCATCCACAGAGCCATTCGCTCTCAGGACGACCCAACACTCTTAGGCTGGTGCAAGTAAACCAGAATTCCTGAAGTATATCATCCACACGGACCGCTCCCGATGCCGCAGTCTGCGAGCCCGAAGCTCATCCGTTTACCCTTTCCGGAAAAGAGCTCTCCGAGATCACGTGGAAATGGACTTGGCGCCGCACGAGCTGCCGGACGGCGAAACGACGAGCACAGCGCAACCCCGGACTGCACGGCCACGCTTCTGTTGTCTTCAAGTTCAGTAAGCTGTCTCGTTCGGTTCAAGGGGGAAAATGCCAGCGCCGGCGGGCACAAAGAGAGTTCGGGTCCGTCATTTCCTCTCCAATATTGGGCCCCCGCTCACTCGCTAACCATCAGTTTTGCCGCTTAGGGAATCTCGATATTCCGTCCGTTCGGTACGTTTTCTCTCATACGGAGAAGCACACACGCAGATGACCGGGAAATTTTCAACTGACCAATCTACAGTGTTTGGAAGCGAAGCGCAGCCATTTGACCCCAATAAGAGGCCGCCTAATGTCCCCGAAGACCATACCCACCAATGGCGCGTCTACGTCAAAGGCATAAACGATGAAGACATCTCCTACTGGCTCAAGAAAGTCCAATTCAAGCTCCACGAGACCTACGCGCAGTCCATCCGAACCATCGAAGGACCGCCATTCGAAGTTACGGAGACGGGCTGGGGTGAATTCGAAATCCAAATAAAACTTTACTTTATCCCCGAGTCGATGGAGAAGCCGCAGACGTTATGGCACAGTTTGAAGCTGCATCCCTACGGTCCAGATGCCGAAGCTAAGAAAGCGAGACGAGATACCATCACCAGTCAGCATTATGAAGAGGTTGTGTTCAATGAGCCGGTGGAGCAATTTTATAATCTCCTCACGGGGGGAGCTCTGGCGCCCCAAGCTCAGCCCAAGGGAAAGGCTGGAAAAGGCGCAAAGCAACAACAGCCACAGGGCGGACGCACGGCGGAGATCCCATACTCTGACACTCCCAAGAATCCATACAGTCAGAAGTCAGAGGCGAAGGAACTCGATAAGCTCGGCGAAGCTACAAAAATGGTTGATAGGATGCTGAAAGAGGAGCGAGCTAAACTTGCGGAACGAGAGGCACATTTGGCGAAATTAAAAGAAACTGAAAGCTTACCGGTCGTCCAGAAGAAAAGATGAATACGGCCCTTTGGCATATAGTGCCTGCACTATCGTCGTAGGGTTCTATCTCCACGGTCAGGATACCGAACCCGAGCTGAATCAGGGACCAAAGATTTGGCCTGTCGACTTAGTGCTATAACATTTTCTTGAATACGGATATTAAGGCAGCCCATTATTATGGCAACACGGTCTTATCAAAGATAAGGATGGGGCAATCGCTCGGGTGATGTACCGCTACTACTAGCGGAGTACAATGCTGTATGCTCTGCAGAGTATATTATTTCACAAATCCTTTTCGATGGAACAGTGACTCAAACCTGAATGCTCTTGGGCATGCTCATTCTTCCTCGATATGGATTCATGCAACGGCGTTCAAGGAATTGCTGAAAACCGAAAATATCTCCTGCGCAATGCGAGGCCATGGAGAGTTTACGGCTATGTGCTCACGGGGACCAATGTATGATTTCCCCCAAAGTAAGCTCTTGGATAGCACTGCTTACCTTGGAAGGCGTTTAAGCATCCTCTCCGATGTGAGTCCGTTCGACGTGCGTTTCTTCGAGAGACAGGGGTAAAAGGACGCTGAAGTGTATATAGTCAAGCTCGATGGCCGTTGGCACTGCTAATTAACATTTAAAAGACGAATATACATGTTTATAAAGACAGGATCGACAACGTGGTATTAGGCCTCGACACACTGGTGTCCGATAATTCTATAAACCCGAGCGACAAATATCTGAGTCCCCCAATCATAAAAGGAAGACCCGCATCTGCTTCCCTATTGATATCCATCGCTGATATGCGCGACCCTGAAAGCATCACGCATCAGTCTTGATCCTCGTTTCGTGCCACTGCAGCAGAAATAAACTGACCACCTCGGCGCCCGAGAGCCTTATGTAGCCGCACACTCCCCATCAAAACAGTGGCCGCAGCCACCATCATATCTCCCAGTCCCCCCTACAAACTTATCCGGATTGATCGAATACCCTCCGGTGCCGGACGCATCCATCGCACAGCACTTGCCCCCTTTTTCTTGGCTGTACATACGGCATTCAACTGGTCAGCAAAAACGGTTTTTGCAGCAAAGAAGAGAAACAAAAGCGCAAAGAAATGTAAAGTAAGGTTTGGGCTTTAGCAGCCATCTAATCTCACATGTTCCGCTCGACAGGTACTCGCTCCGGCGTCTTTTTTTTTGCAAAACAGATACAAATGCAAAGAAGGATTGCCGCTTACCAGTCAATATAGTCATTTGTGTTTGACGCAAGGAGTTTCCCTTGGCACCGCTCATTTGGGAGACGGTATCCTGAACATTCATTGCTTGCACGGCTGTATACGAAGCCTGGTTGCGCCTCGATGTGTAGGCTCGGTGTGCTGGCGACCGAGGCAGCGAGGATTGAGAGAAGGAAAGCGGACGTAGTGAGCTTCATGCTCGTGATTTAGGATGGGGGGGAATATCAATGGTTTTGGTTTATATTATTATTATTTTTTTTATAATGCGCTTTCCCCGCAGTTCGTTGAGCTCAGGCAGGCGATGAGCAACGTCTGAGACATGGGCTTAACCAGCGTTTAATAATGGCTCCTGAGAGGGGGGAATGATCGAGAACTTTATACGCACACGACCATTGGATCCGATTGTTGTACGGAGGAACAGTTTGATTTTAAGTTGGCGTCCGTTGCCGATAGCTATTCATCTGGCTAGCTGGCTGGTCCTCGTCGTCTACGCGCGGCCGACTTAACGCAGCTGTGTCTACACATCACCAGGTGGCCAGGCGGCACAAACACATGGCTCGTCTCTGTCCCACGATTTTTCATGGCTATCCCGCGACTCTTTTATACGGAGTAACCCCCAATCCTATCCTATTGCCTTTCTCATCGTTATCTGTGTGTGATCCTCCGAGCCCACCTAACTTGAAGCCCTTCCAAAAAAAAAAAAAAAAAAAAAATAAGGAATATGTAGGTCAAAAGCCTTTGGGCCGGTTTACCACGGCGATGTAATGATAGCTTTTACCCATAATCCATGGTTTATAGAGCACTTCTAACTGGGCCAAATGTTACCTCGTTCGTATGGAAATCACCTGAGTCAGTCAGTCATAAAAACATGTTCCTTCAGCGCTCTCCAGACACCCCCCAAGTGAAACCTTTTTCATTGTCGCGGTTGTGTGCTCCGTGCGCATGGTTACCCTGTAGGTTCGCTCTTTTTTTTTTTTTTTTTTGGGTGGGAAGCTTCGCGGCATGACCCAGTTTAGGCGTGGCATAACTACATATGTAACTCCACGGGGCCCATGACATCGGCGGCTCGCGCGTGTGAATGCTGCCAGCCGCTCGCCTAACGGAGGCCCAGAACGGGCCCCAGCTGGCCAACCCCTTAGCTCCCACAGTATCATGTCCATATTGCCCTATTTACAGCACCCAGAGGAGATGCTGGTCGTCTCTTTCAACACCAGTGGTGATTCTGTTTGTATGTGTTAATGATAATACTCATATTGTCATTCTTCTTCTTGAGAAGTATTTCAACCAAAGGGGCTATGCCAGCTGTATCCAATGCGATCGTTCGCCCAACCGGCTTATCCTGAGGTTATTTACAACCCCGCGGACTTCGAGGTCCCCAAGAAAGTTGTATATACAGTCTGCCTCGTCCATGGCTTTCGTTATCCATGCCTATTCACCTCGAGTAGTATCCTTGCGGTTATTCTGCAAAGAGCAATCGCCATCCTCCATGGCAGCATCCGTCCCTTGATACCATCCATCCTCGATGAGCCGAGTTTCAATCCCTCGCCAGTATTCCAGTTTCCCTCCTGTTCCGCTTTTGAAATCGAGATCTCCGAGTCGAACTTCGGGAGTTTCTGCCTCGTCGCGTGGAACCTGCAGAGCAACAGCTTAGCGGTCGCGCCCCCACCACATTGTAGTTTTCTCATACATGGTGAGTTCGTAATAAAAGGGCGACGGCAAACGTAGGTTGCGGTGTAAATGCTTACGTACCTTCACGAACATCGTGCAGTCCCTCAGGGTCATCGAGACCGCTCTGTCCCGATAGTCTGCGTCAAGACCGGGTAGACCAACAGCGTTCATTCGCTGCTGGCAATCTCGAAGCTTGAGAAGCGTGGGATTCCGGTGTAGGAACTTCGTGACGCGTATCCTACCGTGTTGCGGCCCCTTTATTGACTTGACAGCACGTAGCACATGCTCAAAGTCATCGGAGACCAAGTCCAGAGGACAAAATCCTTGGCGTGCCTTCTCCCCTTTCTGCCGGGCCTGGTGGTTCTTCATTGCCCGCAGAGCACAAGTCCGACATCTCTTAGCATTAAGCGGCGCTGATGGAGACTGAATGAGCCACTTAGGCTTAAACTCCCACAGATCGGCGCCCGATCCTAGCGACGGACTCATATCGGTGATGAGTAGCCCGAAAGGCTCTTTGGTAGATAGGTATACACCATGACGTTGTTTCGGTCGACGGCCATTCGTCTCATCTTCTTTTAATCTTTCATTACAGGAGGAAACGAAGTTCTTAGGCAACTTGATCAGCTCCTGGGCAACAAGCTCGTTGTCGCGAAATAGGGTTCGGATCTGGGAATCAAAGTTTCTCGCTGTTTCTGTATATGGTGTGCCGGAGTCGATTCGTTTCCTTAGACGTAGGAGTTTACCGTGATAGATCGCTCGTTGGCCCCTTATCTCGCTGTTCGTTCTATTGCTCTCTGGGACAGTCATCTTGTAGACAATATTTGCACCGCCTTCCGCCAGGTACTCTACCTCCGTGTCGGCAGGCAGTTCAGAAATTGGCATCGAGAAAGAGTTCGCGGCGATATCCACCTGCATTGGCGCCATCTGGGTTGTGGCTTTCGTGAAGGTATTGCGGGTCTCGTCGAACGGGCGGTTTACCCATGAAACAAAACCCGTTCCTTCTTTTCAAGAACTCAAGGGTCAAATCCAGATAGAAAGATTTCGGAGGAAGGGATCGTAGGCGGGGGCTACCGCTTCAATCCTAACGGAGGAGATGTCTCACTCCGGAAGTAGATAATCGACTGTTGAACAAGTCGCGCTAGGGCGGCCGGAGGGCAAGATACAAATATAATGCAGCACGAAAAGGAAAGACTGACAAAGGAGTGATAAACGGATATATTTAAGCGGTTTTCGTCACCGCATTTCCCAGAGAAACAGGCCTGTCAAAGCTCGATGCTGGGGGTGTTGATGGAAGCCCAGGATCAACAACCAGGGATGGCAGTGCAAGACTGGAGCTGGACGGAGGAGAAACAGTATGCTTGAAGACAGAGTAGTAAGAAAGAGTATTGGTATTGGTACTCTAGAGAACTGAGATCTAGGAGAGTTGGGGTCAGAGCCTGGTCCATGGACAAGTCGCGCCCCGTGGTACAATGCAAGGCTGAGGAGTAATAAACACGAGAGCGCGAGCACGTAGCAGATAGAGCAGGGCGGGCGGGCGGGTGGTTGATATAGCTATGAGCTGGAGTTCGGACCGGACGAGCAAGCCGGGCGCATATATATATATATATATATATATACTGTGGATGCGCAGGCGCCGGGAAATAGCGACTCGATCCCTCTTGTGCCTTATTGCCCCCGGCGCTCTATTAATAAAAAGCAAGAATGGATGCTGGCATGGAATTGCACCTGTGCGGCCGGCAAGTTAGCAGACAAAAAGAAAAAAAATCTGCCATCTACGTCCGTTTTGCTCCGCAGTTGCGTTCCATCGCAAGAATACGAAGAGCGGCAGCTTCACTTTCTTTCTTTCTTTCTTTTCTTTTCTTTTCTTTTCTTTTTTATTTTTATTTTTTTTTTTTTCTCCTCCCAAGTGCTGGCGCCTCTTTCTACCCTCACCAAGGTAACGCCGAAAATATCAACAGAGTTTAGGGAGGGAGGTTTGAGCAGAAAAACATGCAAGAGGCGTACCTGAAATCGACACAGAAAGGCGTTGTAGTCTCGAAGGATTGAGCACGGTCACGCCCGTTTTCGACGTTTCCTGACCATCTTACTCCATTCGCGACATAAATAATTACCAAGCGAAAGGGGGTGGGTGATGCTGGAAGTTAAATGTCTTCTTTTTTTTTCTACACTCGGGCCGGCCGAGATTCAAAATTCAGCTGACCGTGATGGAGCGAGCGCGTAAATCCAGTCGTCACAGAGCGGCATTCGTTAGCGGGCACGGCGGTGGCGCCAGTCAAATCGTGGGACATCAAACCAGATCCATGGTTTGGGGGGGGGAAGCTAACTAGTTAACTCACTTTCGTGTCAATTAAAAATCTACAACGCAACTAAACTAACCAATCTGTGTTACTATCGGCTACGGAGAACTCTAAAACAAGGAGTGGAGGACAGCAGATCCTCCCTCGACCCAAAGAGAGGAGAGGGGAAAAAAAAGGAAAAAAAGGAATTTGATCGGCCCCTTTCTTCACGGGTGCATCATTTCATTCCGTTTGGACGCTTGGACATTAGCTGGCTGGCCGGTGGCTTGCAAATGGGCTGGGCTGGTCAGGTCAGGCCACGGACGGCCCTCTCGCATCGGTGATATGGGTGGCCCGGGGGGGGGGGGGGAACCGGGAATGAGGTTGACGGCTCTATCCGCCCAGTTGGGTAAGAAATGACGATGGCCTCGCACGGATCGAGATATAGTATCATGCAGGGCCAATATTGACAAGGGTTAATCATGAACAGAGAGGGGGGAGGAGGGGAAAAGTTCGCAGCCTGCAATTCGCCTAGAGAGGCTGCAGCTAACGACTTGACTGGTGAAGTTCGTTCGTATTCCCTCTCTATAAATATCAGTACCCCAAAAACAGGGGCAGAGTGCTGAAGACTTGTGACCATGGGGCCGGGCAGCTGCTCTCCACGCGGGCTGAATGACAGCAAGGTGTGCTGGTGTCGCTCTGGAGCTGGATAAGGAGCCGCCAAAGCAGCGGCTTGTGCTTTTCCGCGAAATGAATCCAACAATGTACTCCGTAACTCTAGCTCTTTGGAAAATCAGCAGCGCGCATACTTCGCTACCCAGTGCTTCGAGTCACCCATAAGTAAATACATATACGGAGTACTCCGTACATTCTGCCCACAATGGGGAAGCCAGTCTTGTTGGGGTCGACCATGGCTGGCTGGCTGGCTGGTTGATCATCTTGGCCTTGAAACACCCCGACCTGTGGCATGTTCAGCCAGCGTCTTCGGAGCCAGCGCCCTGTTTGTCCAAGTCTCACTCCCCCAGTTTGATGGTGGTGAACACTGCATGATGCCATGCGCTCTGCTTTTTTTTTTTTTTTTTTTTTTTCATTCATTTTTCGAACTTATGTAGTGAGTTCACCTCACCCATCATGTGACTATAGGGTTTTGCGACTAGATCAAGTAGTTAACTAGCAATTTTGGAGCGATAGTTATCTAATCCCTAAAGAAATGAGAGCATGCATCCCATAGAATGCAAAGACTGTGCGTGCTCCTGTTAAGCTCTCACAAGCGGTAGACGACGCAATGGCTGGCAGCCTGGATCAGCAATGTTCCGAACCAGTATGAGATCATAGACAACTTAGCTGGCAGTCCATCATGCTGTACTCTGTAACCCCCTCACTTGATTTTAAACAAAAAAAAAGGTAATTCAAGAACAGGAATTCGCCATCTAACCAATAAGGTAACCAAGGTAATTTGTGTTGATCTCTCTCTTCCACTTCCTTTTGTTTACTCCAAGAACAACAGCAGTCTCCCCGAGAATCTGAGATTGAAAATCAGAAAAGACAGATCACAATCAGCTTCCACCATGGCCTCTCCAGAGACCTACACCCCGCCAAACCACTGCATTGCTGATTTCTGCTTGATTCCGGTACTTAGACCAGCAACCCTTGCCCATCCCCCCTTGCGAGACGCCCAACTGCAGTGGCAAAAGGAAAACACCATTTTTATCACGCTAACTCTGCTCGCACAGATAGGGACGTCCTCCCCGTCGGTTTCCGAGACTATCGCCGACGTTGAGCGTTTGGTAGAGAAGTCCGGATTAAAATTCCTCATGCATTCCTGTGGTACGACTCTGGGTAGGTACATGCATATATACTCACGCTCTGCATAACCCTTCGATTTCGTCTAGAGGAGGTGTTTGGGGGAGGGGGAGGGAAACACAGAAGGCCATGGCTGATCGTTCCCCGTCGATATCTACAGAAGGACCGTGGGATAAAGTCTTTGCTCTGATCGGCCAGACACACGCCATGCTCCACCAGAAAGGAACGGCTCGCGTACACACCGATATACGTGTTGGCTCGAGGTAAGCCCGGATGCGTTTCTCGATATTCACCTCGACTTTACCCTTTTTTAAGACAGTGCTTGTTTATGGTTGGAGGGGAGGCATTCTGTTTTCGGGTTTTTTTGGATTCCCTGGGGGATGCTAACTAAGTGCTGCTAAACCAGAGTTGACAAGAGGGAAACAATGGAGAACAAAGTCAAGGTCGTGCAGGACATCCTGGCCCACGATCCATAAGGGTAGATGCACGTTTCCGTACGAGTGGGATTGATGGTGCAGCCGATGGTTAATTAACTAGTTAAAAGTTGTAAAGCTTGGAAAAAAAATACTTCAGGGAACTCAACACATTGTTATAAAAGGGCCAATCAGTGTTTGCTAGGAGAAGACAGAAAGGGAATTATGGGTGATAATTTTTAATACAAATTACATTGAATTTGTGAGGGCCAGTATAAAAATCCTAGATGACTATGCCACCAAGGTTGGTTCTTTAACTAGTTGGCTTTACAAGCCATAGGACCAGGGTATCCTGAAACCTGAACACACCTTTCCCAGGCTCCTTGTTTGTATAACGGTTATCCCTTTATACAGAACCTTCCCACTTGATAAGTTACTACTGCATTCGGCTGCCGGTATGATGTATCATTGGACCTTGTCGTCGACATGCAGAGGAAATGGGGAAAACGAATCGCGACATCCCACATTATGCACGAATCCCAAAAAAAGGGATTATCAGCTCATGAGGGGAGAGAAAGGGTGGATAAAACGCTGTGCAACAACTTATTTAGTCGAGGATGTGACTTGTATGAAAAGCCTCGTGGTGGTGAAACAGTCCGGGATGCACCCTTGGTTCCCTGCAGTCCCAATATCAACGCTGATTCTAGTGGTGTGTAAGGAGAGAATTGTGGTACCTTCAGAGAGCCGTATCGTTGTCATATTTTTTTTAAGTATTTAAATAGTTCTCGGGGTTCGGTTTGTCCAAGAAAGCTCTTCATTTAGCATAAAATCTCATAGGGCCTTGCCCTTATATGTTATAAATATAATACATTAAAGTCATGCTCAGCAATTCCTCACAGATCATTCCTATGGGCCCGACATATGTGCTGATTGGTTGGGAGGGGATGACCTCAAAGGAATGGGTGATAACGGATGCGCAGGGCAACTGGAACCCCACTACCGCTCGAGCCTCTGTCGGAGGTGATTCCGGACAAAGGTCGACCGCGTGAGATCCACCTGTAGCCAAGTGCGTACTAACTATTTTCGACGTCCAAGACTGCCCACTTGGTGCAACGATGTTCCCCCGAACTCACTGTCTCGAGATGTGAAATGATGAGAACCTGGCTCCAAGTGACCAGTCCATATCCTCCCTGGTTGTCTGCGTCCAACGACCAACCCGGACGGGACGGGTCTTTGGGTTGACGAGGTTATGATAGTTTGACCCGTATTCTAGGAACAGAGGCTTCCCCCAAGCTCTCTGGATACTCCATAAAATATCATTCAGCATCCATGGATTTTCCCTCCGAAGCATTCGATTCCGCCGACGGCTCGATCGACGATATTCTGAAAATAGTGTAGCCAGTCGAGCCCGGCAGGCACGTTTGATTGTATTAGTTTGAACAATGACGCCTTGTCCTCTGAGCTGGCGAAGAAGGATGATCCCACGGACCCAAGGGATGAGATATTCTCCCTGGTTGAAGGGGTTGGCTACCAGTTGCTTGCCGAGGTCCGGGTGTGGCCTTAAGATAAAGCCCCAAGCAACAATGGCCTCTTGTAGGCGAACACTAAAAATCCTCCGGAGAGGAGCCTTTGAATGGGCAGCTGGCAGCGAACTTTCGAAGCAGTTTGGTTTGCTACCCGACGGCGCCGACGGGCGGTTTATACCTTGCAGTAAGCGATGCTTGGAAGTCTCTGTGGGAGCATAGAATGGTATCAACCAGAGACATAATTTCTCCAAGTCAGACCAAAGATCATACATTCCGAGGCGTTTGATACATTCTACCCACGCCTCCGGTGGAACACGTCCTCCAGATATTATGACTTGTTGGTAGAGCCATATCAAACGTCGCAGAGCGTCCACGGATTGTTTATCCTGAGAAGGCCGGCGACCTTTGCGGCGCCGAGGGAGTATTTCGTGCGCCACCCACATGATGGTGGTTCGAGATAAATGAACCCCTTGCTCCCTCATCATTTCAAACTGCTGTGTAGCGGCTTCCCAGTTGCCGACTCGCACAGCGTTTCGAAATAATACGTTGTGGTTGTGGGGATCTTCATTAGAAGTCACAGACATAACCGCAAGAGTTTTATTGACCTGCCGCCAATCTTCGGCCAGCGTATATGTTGCGAGTAACGATTCCTGCGTCCTCATGTCTTCCAAAACGTCGGGGTGCTGATCACTATGGAGAACGTCATGCAATAACTTCGTAGATTTGCCGAAAGCTAGCTTGACAACGACCTTTGAAAAAACGGATTCTCCGGTCGAGATTCCCGATCTTTTCAGTGCAACCAGTTGAGACACTAGTTCCTCCACGCTCCTAGTCCTCAGCGCCATTTCTCGGAGTGTCAAGGGACCAATACTATCAACTCCGAACATTTGCAACCCGGCAACAATTAATTCAAATGTCAAAGCCTTGGTGGCAAACAGTCGCGCTCCGAATTCATCGCTGAATGCGACTTTGTTTGGCTGATTTCGATTCTTTTGTTCTTCTTCTTTAGTTGCTTGAGTCTGTGATATTTCTGCATCCGAAGGTTCGTCATGTTTCATGATCCCGGCCTTGACCAGTTCGCGGACAAAGTAGCTATGCTGTTTCTCAGTCCCATACAACTCAACATACTTTAATAAAGGCTCGATCTCGGAAAGCGTCTTTGGGCCGTCTTGGCGGGACATCAAAAATTCATGCATTGCAAAAGCATCTCGAATTCGATCCTGCTTCCAAAGAGGCGGCACAACTCTACTGTAGATCTTGTGGCCTTCCACATTCCTGCATATGTTCCTAAATGCTTGTAGGCCACCCTCGACAGACATCGCCGGCGTGAAAAGACTAACCACCTCGTTTGGCCATCTCAAATGGACCTGCTTCAGCCTCAGATGCCACTCTACTGCCTTCTTGGGGCGCTCTTCCTTAAAGTAGCCGCCGACGACTTCTTCGTAGAATCGATCCCACCTTTTCCCTGTCCGCACCCAGAGATCTTCTGCATACAGCTGCAGCTCTTTCATCAACCATTCTTGCTTCACGCCCACGGCAATAAATGTTTCCCACAAAAAATCGGCATCCACCCCTGCAACTGGAAGATCCAGCCCCGCGCATCTTTCGACGAGTCCTTTCCATATGTGCACAACACCGTCGTCTCCGTAGTGTCTCTGGCGGTATTGCAGCAACTCTTTCCAAAGGCCAAAATCGTGTGCATAGCGAGCATCATCCATCAATTTGCTTCCAATGTCTCGAGAATCGCCGATGTTTGACTCGAACTCCAATCTTGTTGGATCAAGATGACATTCTTTTGAGATATTTGATGGATATCCTATGAAATTGGAAATGGGCTCCGGTGAGTCGTGGAAGGCGTGGGGAAGATCTGCCTCAATGGATTCGCCTGAGGATTCAGGTAGGCATGAGGTCGTTGTATTCCAGCCTTCCGATAACGTCTCTGCGTCATTGGCGGTATGATCTTCATTCCCACATTTCTCCAATTGTCGCTGGCGCCCGAGGCTTCCCGCATGTCGCTTTGAGATTGGTGTCCGCGGTCGGTATGTTGGACAAGGTAAGGACCGACTTGGCTGGCTCTTGAGGATATTCGGGTGTTCAATGAGCTTGCAAGAGTTGTTGACGAGCGCAGTGGTGCTAGTTCGTGGACACACTGTAGGAGCTAGGCGGAGCAGGGCCAGCCGCATTGGCGGCGAACCCACTTGGAATAGAGTAGATTAAAAGCAAACCCTAGTCACAAAGTGACGGAAATGATAATCGCATCCAGCTCTCGTCCGCGACCGTGGCCATCCTGTCGCTCAGCTTGCATCCCGATGCTGCGTTCGCTCGCAGTGTCGTTTTGGGATGACCTAATACTAATCACGTGACTCACTCTTGTGTGTGCGGTTCCCGATAGATAGCGTGACAGCCAACCTGCCCATCCCGAGATCTCGAACTGCAAGCCAACATCCTGACTCTCGTCGCTCTACGAACCGGAGGAAAATCCCAATTGTCCAACCATGGTGTCCAGAACCCTTCCAAGATTTGCCGGGTATGTCTATCCCTGTGATCGGCATTATACTGCGTGCCGCATTTGCTCCCTATCCCCCGTGCCGATCGGGTGTGGGATTGAAGGATGGGTTTGAAGCCAATTGTTTCCGATCTGCTAACTCTTTACCGCTTAAGATACGTTTTCCGCGAGAACCGTGTCCCATACTACCAGCGCCTCTTCCAGAGGGAGGATGGCAAGCGCCAATGGTGGAAGGTTCGTCTTCTCTGCTTCGCTCTCCCGACTAGTCTCAAACCCCAATGCGGCCGAAAATCCAGATGAAATTGCATTCCATATCTGACTCAAAGCGCTTCAAATACAGACCCACAGAAGTCCATATATCCTCTATCCGTACTACTTCTCGCTGATCTTCACCTCTGGTGGTATGTTGCTTCCGGTCTTTCGGAATTGCGTCCCCATCCTGCTTTGGAAATGAAACTTAACGACTGACTCGGGGTAATTTTTCAGCTGCCTTCTACGGCATGACTAGAATGGTCTTTGTAAGTAGCCACTGCATTTTGCTTTGAAACACATGTGTTTACGGAGCCGGTGCTCAAATCGGGACCTGTCCACATTCCGCTGTATTGAGGGAAGAGACATTGACTAACAACCACAAACAGAACCGCAAGACCTGGTTCTAAACAAGCTATAGCACCTGGCAAAGGATGCCGATCTGGATTCCTTCTGGCTGTGCTATGAGATAGACTGTGCAAAATGTGTATATAATACATCAAAGGAAAAAACCTACCAATGTTAAGTCTTGTTCATTTTATATCTTTTTTTTTTCTTTTTGACCTGATAGGCTCTTATGCAGAGGCCTACAACAACAAACAAAAGCCAGAATCATGGATAGAAAGGGGAAATAGTTTCCTACACATATCAATCATCCCTATTACATTCCCCCATATACTTCATACTCCTGTTGAGAGAAGCTAGGCCAATACATGCTCAGAACTATTAGCCTCAAACAAGAGGAAAAATAAATATTCGAACATTAATGAAATGTAGCAACAAAAGCCCACTATGCATAGTGTAAACATTCCATTAATCTTTTAAAACAAAAAGGAGCCAAAAACCTACTCTCCTGCTATAAACTAGTAGTATGTCACAGAAGTTCTTTTATGTCAAAAAATATGAAAAAAGAGCCAATCAATAATCTTACAAATCATGCCCTTCTGGAGTATTTTTTCATTTCCTTCTTCGCTTCTCTCTCTTTCTCTTTCTCCAAGTACTTCCTCTGCTCCTCGGCAGACATGCCACGTAGCAATCTATCGCGCCCTTCTTTCTTCACCTTCTCAGCAGCCAACTTGCGTTCTTCGGCTTTCTCATCTTCGGTGGCTCGGCGTAATTTACGGACCTCCTCTTCTCGGGTGGCGCGGAGCTTGCGGAGGACCTCTGGCCTGAAATGGGCGGAAGCGGCAAGTCGGTCGGTCAGACGGATGAAAAGGTGGAAGAGAGGGAGAGAAGAGGCGTAGGCGGTAGAGGAGGTGGAAGACGGGACGCGCATGGAGAGAATGGAACGCTTGCGGGAGACGGCTTCCTCAACCCTATATGGATTTGTTAGTACGGTCTTTTTGTCAATTGAATACCAAATGGGTTTGGGGATATTGCCATACTTGGCTGGTTTGTCGGCAGGCTGGTCAGTGATGATCAGATATTCAAACAGATCGCCAGCATCCTCGATAGCCTTGATGAGTTCGTTTGTGAGTATGGTATCTGTGATCTCGGCGCTCTCGCTCATGACAGTCACCCATTCAGGAAGCTTGGGATTGTCTTTGGTGAAGGTCAAAGAGACATCGTATCGGTCTTCTCTTAACCTGCGCATGGCAGTCTTATTCACAATAGCAAAGACAAATCCGTCGTGCGTAGAGTTCATCCCCTTACCCAATTGCTCCTTTTCTGCTGGAGGCGCAGGAACTAAATCCTTCTCCTTGCCGTCAAACGAGTAGGCAGTGACCTCGATCTTCTCCGTCTGAGGAGTCAACGAATCAAAGAACATTCCCGCAATGGAATCGCCCAGGATGAACATGGGGTTATATCGCTTCACCAGCTGAATCGTCACATCTACAAATGCCACGTTTTGTCGTCCGGTCGCATACGTAGTGAACTCATTCGCAGCCTTTTCTCTCAACAAGTTGTCGTCAATAACCAAATCCGCCGAGGAAGACAAGTCCTTCAAAATGGCACCCCTTCGCACCCCTCTGTATCCCACAACTGCGAATTCATTGTGCAGCACCGGGATGTGAGCTTGGGCCCAGGCCTTGGCCTTGCGACGATTCTTCCGCGTCCCCCAGACATGGAAGATGACGATAAACAGGATGAACGGGAGCACGAAGGCCTCTTGCATAAAGTCCTTTGGCGACGTCCGCTCCCACACACGGTACCACTTCGTGTAAGGGACAGACATCACCGGCGCAGCGATGGTAGAGCCCGGAGCCGATGCGGTAGAGGCCGAAGCGACGGGCTGCTGGGAAGTAGCCGAGAAATCCGCGAAATCTATATTTTGAGATGAAGGGGGATATCAATTAGCTCATAGTTACTCATTTGCGCTCTCGCAGCGCACTCGTCGTTCGGTTAACTGTATCCAGGGGAGGCGGAGGCAGAGGGCCCGTGAAATATCATACCCGAATCATCTTGCTGCGACCCTCCCGAGGCTGAATCTTTAGATCCGCCTTTCAGGATGTTTTGAAATATCCCAGACATCGCTCCGGCAGCTGGATCGCGGTCTGCAGTTTGCCTGTCGAGTTTGCTGTTGGAGCCGTCGTGAGTGGTGAAGCTCCTGAACGTCAGCAGCGAGGGCGAAGTGTTGGGTGCCAAGGCTAAATGTCAACTTTCCCCCACAAAGCTCAAATTCCGGAAAGCTTTCGGAGCTCTACTGAGGGGAATCGATGGTCACTACTTTGAAACTTTAAACTAATTGCTTAGAAGGATGGCATTGTTGGAGGTAAGGAAATGTGGATGTTACATTCGACAAAGGAAAGGTTCAAAAGGAGCGACTTAGCATCCTCATCTCGACTAAATACGGAGTACAGTATAGTGATATCCTAGATTCCCCCCCAAGGAAAAAAAAAAAAAAAAAAAAAAAAAAAAAGGAAAAGAAGAATCAGCCAATTTTTGTGCCCTCCCAAACGCCTGGTATCAAGTCCGGGTCCAGTAAAGAAAAGTACATCCCTCAAAGAGCTAAATTGATAATAACACAGAACCAACAGAAAAGGCTGCCATGCAAGGAATACAAATACACACCGGGCAGAGCGGCGACCACCAAAAAAAGGAGACAAAAAAAAATTAAAAACAGAATATGCCCTGCCCGATTAACGGAGTGGGGTGTTTTGTGTGTGTGTGTGGCTGACGACATGCTTTGTTTTTTCTTTTAATTAGAAACTGATCATGGGATACAGAGTCGCGGAGGGCAACTATTGACCGTAAGCCGGAGGGGGGGTGCGGGCCCTGGCTTGCTCCCAAGCGCCGGGGTAGTTATTATTCGCAGCAAACTTGCCTTCTTGGATCCGACGGGCGATCTCATTCGCCATTTTCATCATCCAAGCTTGCTCTAATATGCTGCTATTTGGAACGGCGTCTGTAATTGACCGGTTCGCATTCGATTCATACGCAGATGAGGCCTCATGGGATTTTTCCCGGGGAGCTAGGTAGGATCCATGAGAAATTGGTTGTTGCTGTGACGATGTTTTGGCACCATCAGCAGAGAGAGGTATCATAGGACAGTGGTTTGCGCGTTGTGCATGCAAAGTAGAATGAGAAGGCTGAGTGTAGGTCAGTTGCTGCGCAACAGAAGCCCGCAGCTTGCCTTTGTCTTCAGACGTGGAGAATCGGTGTTGACGGTTGGGAATTCGCATCGTCGTTTCAGGTGACATAGGTGGGGTGACCGGGTCATCATTCGCTTCCTCTTGAATCACGGAGGATGAAAACACAGTCGGAGGAGTGGTGGATTCTGTAAATGTACTATCTGCACTCACGCTTTCAGCGTCTGCAGGTTTGTTGTGCTTTCGTAGATCTACAACCCGCTTCTTCCGCTTTCTGGTTGGCCGGGTCTTAGAATGGCGACCAGCGCCTAGGCTAAGCCCGTATCCGCTGAAAGAAGAGCCCGGTGTAGTAGAGCGGTTTTGAAGAGATAGGACGCTCGACGCGTCTTGCAAGGAAGAGAGAGGAGAGGAGATGTGGGAATGTGTTCGGGATAGAACCGGGCTGCCTGGCGAAACCACCCCACTAGCCGCACCCTCGCCCTGATCGGCACATCCGGTCCATGCTCTGAAGACAACTTCTCTAATTGAAGGCGTAAAAAGAGATAGCGTTCGTTGAGAATTCGTCAGGGCGGCAAGGCGTAGAAGGTTCTTCTGTGAAAAGAGCGAATGCATCTCAACTCCGGAGTCAAGAGATAAGGATGCAATGTCTGCCGAACTTAATAGATTTCCTGATGCATCCACCGGGTCCTTTGGAGGGCTCAAGAGCGGATCTTCCCCGGGACCAGACGCAGATGCAGCGGGGCTTTCTCGCGCCTCAGCGTCCAGACCGCGATATTCCGGCACCCACAATCGCAACGAGAGTCTGTGTATGATAGCTGGCAACTCGTCCATAAAAAGGATCCGGAGTTGGCCTTCAATTTCCCTTTGAAGATAATCGCGAACGGACGGAATGGAGTCAAACGTTGAAGATACTTTCAACGATTCAAGCGGGTCATTGCGGAAAACGACAGTTATACCCTTTTGTTTTGAAAACACTAGGATAACAAAGCCCGAGAGTCTGAAATTCGAAAGAGTTATTTGCAGCGGAATTGTTAAGCCCGACCTGTTCGACCACTTCTTGTCAGCAAGTATCGTTGCAACATGTAGACGGCTAGTTTTCACTTACGCAGCGGCAAGTGGTTTCGGAGAAGCATATGCGGGACGAGTGATTAAGTAGGTATTTAGTGGATTCGCCTGCACGCGCGTTTTCAGCGTGAGGAATGCATCTCCGGAATAAGACATTTTGAAGATGCCGCGAAATCGATCTTCGGCCAAATCGCCAATCTCCAATATTTCCAGCTCTGGTGGGATCGATCCCAGATTCAACTCCGTTACGACGATGTCATCGACAATGATAGGAGGCTTTGGCGATTTATTCAGTGCCGTGGTTAGCAGGTCCTGCGCTCGGGTGTAGAACCCTGCATCCGCCATTAACGGCGACCAGTTGAAGTTGAACGCCATGACGAGGCATCTGAAAGATGATACAGGGATGAAATTCAACCACGAAGGACAGAAAGATCGGACCTTTGTAGCGGGATAGAGGAATCGATCGAATCCGGTGCGGAACGCCGGGTGACCAAAATTCTGCCTGAGTCGCGTGCCGTCCGGATCTCGTGATGCAAGGCGAATTTCTAAAGTTGGGGATGGGATTTAGCAGCGCAACCGAACACTGCTTCAGAAAAAAACACGACTCAATCCATCCATGTGAGCAGGCAGGCTTCCTGGACAGACTTGCTCCCGATATCTCGGTTAGACTGATTAGGGGAGCTCGGATGTGGTGATGGGGGGCGATAACGAGAGCTGGGTGCTGCGCAAAAATTATTAATCTTCGGGGGGAAAAAAAAGGGAAAACAAGGAAAGGTTTTCTTGGCGCCGAATTCCGGCGTATTGCTGCGGTTCTCAGTAGTACTCTGTAATTAATGGAAAATTTGGATCAGCGTAATACAATATCTTGACCCGTGAGAGCACTTCACTCTAGCCAATGGACTTCCGCCCATCACACACCTTCTTCAAGTACCTGAAGAGGCCAATTTCCCTGTGAATAGCTGGCGTGTGAGTGTTCTGACGCAGAGTGTTTAAATGGATATTGATGGAAACTTTTGAACGAGCCACCCTATGATCCTTCTCGCCCACAGGTTTCCTTCACAGAATCACAGATGCTATGGCAATATTTTCACCTTATATTCACTTTGGTTTTCTGTTTCTCGAGCGCGAAGGCCCTTGTGTTTATTATTCATTTGAGGCTGCTGGCTACATAATGACGGGGTCATCTCGACCAGCATAATGACATAATTGATACAACTCTGTACCTGCAGTGGCGCATTCAAAGTGGCAGACGCTATTATGCTTTCCGTTTATTTTCCTTTGATCCTCAAAGAAATTGTTGAAAGATGTGACAGATTTCGACAGCTATAACTGGCTACCTCATTTAAGAGGGCAGAACATACCCATTGGCGGACAGTGGACTTTAGATGAAAAGATTTTGTGTATCCTGGCGACCATGTGCGATACCGTGCTCACGTTTTAACACCCGAATCTCAGCCGGCTGTGCTCTACGCTCTCTCCCTGCTCTGAGGGATTTATTAGAGGCTTATTTTGCCAATACTCTTCGACTAGTTGGAGTTTCTTTACCAGTGCTGAAAAGAATATCTAGGAACACGGAGTACGGAGAACTCCCTACATGACGGAAAAAACCACACCCTAACATCACATGTCCTTAAGGTTGGCTGCTCAGGCACATAGCCTTGTTTTTTTTTTGCATTGGCTGTTGAGTGCTCAGAAAATCCAGCTAGGTTCCATTATTACAATACTCCTGTTTATTTGTGATATCAGATCTGAATTTAGGCATGCTGTCTAGAGTTCCATCCAGAACAAGCTCATGCATGTTTCATGTTAAAATCAATGTGGTCGGACTCCTATTTGAATCTATTTGACGTGTCATCTCATAGGGAACATCAAGTCGAGGAAAACTAGATGGACCTGGGAGCCAAAAACCGCAGATTAGTAGGAGCACGAGAAACTCTTTATGGAAGAGTCATATCGAAGCCAAACGGCTGCGTGTCATCGAAAAATGTAAGTTTACACCAATCCTGTTCTCCAGAAGTAGAAGTTCTCGAAGCCGAATTGTTCATACATCAGTCTTCCTGCGTGGAGAGTGCGGCAAGCGTCCGTACAAATCAAAACATAGGCCTTCCCGTGATTGCCCATGATCAGTGGCTTTTTGGTGCAGTTGTGCGTCCGGTTTGCATCAAAACTTAGTAAATTCTCCAATCACCCGGTGATAGTAACGGGCACAGAAGGGGCCTCTACTCCTTGTATACGGAGGTGAAGTGTTGAGAAGCGCGGAGAAAACATACGGACTTACGAGGAATATGGTATACGGAGCCAAAAGGAGATAATGAGGGAGGGTAGTATATTGGGTGATAATGGCTTGACAGAGTCGTGCGTCCACGCATTCTTGTTATCTTTCAACCAGCATGTGCAATACCATTCGGCGATGGGATGGTTCGGTCCTACGGTGCGGAAGATTTCCCTCTGTTGGTTGCCCCGGTAACGGCGCTGACTAAACTACATTAGGAATTATCAAAAGACGCGGCACACGATCGATATAATATGGCTCATGCTTGCTTGCGTAGAAGCACGCTGAAAGCATCCCCCATAAGACACGAGCATATCGAACACTGACAATGATATCTTCGAAGAACTGTGTGAATATGCTCACAGTTCGGCCCATAAATTCGCCCAAAAATTCCCAAAATCGACCCCTCCGCTCTAAAAGGCTGTATGGGAAACGAGACGCAAATTCGGCGAGAGCGGCTCTCGATATTGAGTGCAAAAGCTCCAGCAGAACGCACAGAAACTCCGAGAATATGAGCCCCGAGGCTGATAACCTGGTGGAAACGTTGCAGGAGAAACTCGCCGGAATTACCCTTGAGGAGCAGAGCCCGAAGAAGCTTTGGACAAAAAAGAGGCCGAGGATAGGTGTTCAAATTCGGCAAGCTAGTCCATCGGCGGACGATAAGCTAGAAGAGGAAAACTGTAAGGTATCGACGAATGCGGCTGTCACACAAAATCATGATATGGAGGAGCGCCACAGAGAAGCACAGGCGGAGACGCCCAAGCCGGACGAAACAGAAAAAGAGCAGAAGGGCAATAAGAGGAAAGTTATCAAGTCTCAGCCACAAGCTCGGAAAAGTGATCTAGTAAATCACTATGTGAGGCCAATTTTGGAAGAAGCGATGTCAACCAGAGAGGTCGAGGATTTCGATACCTGGGCCGAAAGAGCAGGGGACATGTTCGACGTTGAGAAGATCGCCGAAGGCTCCTACGGCGAGGTATACCAATTACGCGTACGACAAGATATTTCCAGGCGAGAGCTGTCCAAATCCAAGGCCGCGAGATTGAAAGCTTACGACAATGGCGTGTTCAAAATAGTTCCGTTACGCGCACAACGTGGCGCCGGCTCTAAGAAGTTTACGTCCATTCAAGAGATTGTTGCTGAAGTCCAAATGCTGAAATTGCTTGATGCCATTCCTGGATTTGCGAGGTTTAGAGACGTCCACGTTGTCCAGGGAAGGTTTCCGGCATCTTATCAAGAGGCCTGGACTCGCTACAGTGAAACGAGAGATGACTGCTACAACCCCGATCCGAGCAAGAAAAAGTCGTATCCTGACAATCAAGTATGGGCGATTTTGGAAATGGATAATGCTGGATATGAACTGGAAAAATTCGACTGCTCATCAATTTTCCAAATATACGACATATTCTGGGGAGTGGCGTTAGGCCTGGCTAGAGCAGAGCAGTTTGCAGCCTTTGAGGTAAGCAAGTCTTTATATATGTCTTTGGGCTCGGTGACTAATTCTGCTTGCAGCACCGTGACCTCCACTTAGGGAATATTTGCATTAAATCTACAAAACCGAAGGGATGCTTACATGGCCCCCTCAAGCCGTCATCGCAGAATCCGGGCATTGGCACAGGCTTTGGTCTGAGTGGCATCGAGACAACGATAATCGATTATTCGCTCTCTCGAGCTAATCTAAAGATAAGTGATATACCAGTCGATGAGGATATTGCTTGGTCAGACCTCGATAAGAAAAAGCTCTTCGATGCCATCGGGAGAGATGACGATGAGAAACTCCTCCGAGACACATATAGATTGTTAGTCGCATCACTAGACAATTGCTTCACTGAGCTGAATATCTAACAACGTTGGCAGAATGCGCACAGAGGTATACAAAGACCAAATTCCATGCCGTCCTCGAGACGAACCCTGGCGTTGGAAAGAGTTCAGCCCCAAGACGAATCTAATATGGCTCTCCTTTATCCTTACCATGCTGCTAGTCAAAGGCAGCGATCATGGTATTCTTCCAACGCCGCGGGAACCACTGACGGCCCTCTCTGTGAACGCCAACACCCTAACCCCCGCCCAGAAAGGCAAGTCTGGCGCCAAAGCAAAATCTGCAAAGAAAAATCATCTACCGGGAATAGATTTCCAGTTAGAATTGCTGGACCGCCTCCAGACAGTTCTAGATGTTTTAGATCCTGAAGAGCAGGATGAAGAATGCGATATCCTATCTTGTGCGGGCGATTTGGTTGCATTTGCTATTGGATCGCAATGGCTGTCGGAGTCGGACTTTTCATGTTAAATTCTGAAGATGAACAGCGGAAAACAAGATTTTCAGTGGATATTAGATGCATGATACCCTCAATATGTTTTGTTGTTAGGCATTTAACGGCAGTGGTTTGTTTTTTGCATTGTTAGATTCGCATTATAGGAGTCAACAATGTCTCTCAGTGGTTGAATTATAAGGGTCTAATCCCATGAAGATTTGCAATCAGGTCCACAAATACAATTCGGCCATGCAATTTACTAATTTTAGATTCGGAGACCAGTACTCCGTACGGAGTAGCAAGAAAAATAACTTACCTGTCCAAGCTGGAAGATCTTGGAAAGTTAATGCCCACATGGCAGCACTGAAACGGTTAAAGCTAGCAACGCTTCGTATACTTTCAGGACCAACCTCGAGAGCTGAACATGTATTCTGGAGCGTAATCAATATTCAAGGTTGGCGAGGACATGTAACGTTTCGATTATCAACCCGCTTATAAACCAAAGATCCAAACTTCTCTCAGATCCAGAGCACTTCGTTATGCTTGTTACGGTCCGTTTGGAATGCATTATGCAGCCAGAGGAGGAGCTGCCAAGAGACGCGACGCGCCAATCAGTTAATTATCACGTGACCAAGGACGCGGCGCGTTCCCCGCATTCTAAGTTGGCCTGTTCTTCATTTCCCCAACTCATGCACCAGCTTCAGCCATCGCGGGCGACCAGCCGAGATAGCTGTATGCCGGGGATCGTCAGCTCGGGCACCGAGATTCGAATTATTCCCGAAATCCCCATCTGAGCTCTCATGGCGGCGTACTGCATAGAGATGCTCTACTCACTTTGGACAAAGGTACCCCATGCAAAGGGAACGTGTGTGTGAAGGGCGCATCGTACCTGGTGGCCCTACTTGATTGCATGGGACTTTCTACCTCGAGCTTCCATTAGCACATAATTCTTCTCGTTAAGATGTCTATTGTTAGATCTAGAAGCCTGGGATTCATCGGAATCGGGGCGATGGGTCGACCCATGGTGGAAAATCTCGCAAGCAAATTACCACCCACTTCCATTATTAACATCTACGATGTGTCCGAGAAGGCGATGGACGAGTTATCCATGAGGAATGACGGAAAGATAGTGAAGTGCTCAAGCGCGAAAGATGTGGCAGAAAAATCAGTACGCATTGCAGACTTCCACAAAAGCCTTTCAACATTCAGATTCTCGCCAGAAGGCCTAGAAGGTAGGTATTTTCCGTCTAACTACAGACGAATAATAGGATATCATTATTACCATGGTTCCCGAAGGCCTGCACGTCAGACAAGTATACCTTGACTCTACAGCTGGGATATGTACCGCCGATATATCCAATAAGCTGATCATCGACTGCTCTACAATTGATACCGCGACAAGTCTCTCAATTAAAGAGAATATTTCCGCAAAGTTTCCCACTGCATCGTTCTACGATGCGCCTGTCAGTGGTGGCGTGATCGGTGCTAAAAAGGGGACTATCGCGTTCTTCCTTGGTTGCGCGAATGACGACCCAAACCTCCCTCAGCTTGCAGAACTCGCGTCTATGATGGGCAAGCAAGTCATACCCTGTGGTGGGCCATCCCTAGGCCTCGCAGCAAAGCTTTCGAATAACTATCTCTCTGGCCTGATCGCCATCGCTTGCTCGGAAGCAATGAACATGGGAATGCGCTCAGGGCTGGATCCTCGTGTGCTGGCCAACGTCTACGCCGCAGGTACTGCACAAAATACGATCTGCGACCGGTTCAACCCTGTCCCGGGTGTATATCCTGATTCTCCGTCGAGTAATGGATACAAAGAGGGGTTCAAAGTGCAACTCATGAAGAAGGATATTGGGCTGGCTGTTGAGATGGCACAGAGAGTCGGGGCACGGTTGGCCTTGGGCGAAGCGGGCCTGAAGGCCTATGCAGACGCTAGTGAAGATCCCAGGTGTAGAGATCTAGATTCGAGGGTTGTTTATCGGTTTCTAGGGGGAATTGAGGATTGGGAAGGGAGAGAGCAGTGAATAGCATGTGAAGAGTTTGACTCCATTCCCGTTGGAATCATTAAGGTCTGTGTAATAATGATCCATGACTCTATAATTTTAAACAAGATATGCTTTAGATCGCACGAGAGTAGAAAAAGTCGTTTCTCGTCTTCAGTATCAAGAGCTGACATTTCTGATGTCATGCTTATCACCTTCTACATCAGTATTCCGTACTGAGTACTCCGTAAAGTTCGTCATATCTATCTGCAAGGAGCTACCACCCGGTGATAGCAGCCGCCACGAGGTCTCAAATCAAGCAACCTTCTTCCCCAGCTCCCGCTTATGCTCTCCCTTTTCTTCCATCTCATTTAACACACTCTCGGCGGTTTTCATCGCATCCACGCCCGCCGGCACCCCGCAGTAAGTCGTTGCGTGCAAAATCGCTTCTCGGATCTCAATTTCGGTCAAACCGTTATTGATCGCTCCTCGAATATGCACGGCCAGCTCCGGCGCCCTGTTGAGTGCCATGAGCATTCCAATGTTCAACAGACTGCGCTGCTTGCGATCGAGGCCCGGACGCGTCCAGGCGTATCCCCAGCAGAACTCTGTCACAAGCTCCTGGCCGGCGCGGGAGAACTCAGTAGAACCGCCGGCGAGGGCGCGATCAACGTACTCGTTGCCGACAACTTCACGGCGAACCTTGAGGCCCTCTTCGAAGAGCTTTTGGTGGAGGGGAGTGAGGCTTGGGTCGGTAGACATTTTCTTTGGACTTCTATTCCCTTCTTTTGCGTACTCGACCTTATGTCGAGTTTCTGAGTTTGCTCAGATCCTGGGAATTGCTCTTTCTGAGTTGTGATACCCTTGAGTATGAGAACGCTTTTGCCAGATGTAATTGATCCTAACTCACCAGTTTCCCTTGTATATGTTCCGTGTATGAGAATGAGGTCCTATTATGGGCCGATCCTCGAAACTCAATGCAGCTAAACTCGAGAGTAGTCGCAACTCGTTCCGTAAAGCGAAAGTTTTTTTGTCCTCCAATTGACTTTTATCATCGGCTCCAGACCAAGAATTCCGGCAAGCCTTGAGCCGGTTTGGGCCCCGAAGGCAGAAGGGGAATGTTTACCCCGCATGGTTCTCCAAGCCTACAGCGGCGCTTCAGAGAACCCCGTTACGCAGGAAAAAATGTATGTATGTCCTGTACATGCATAGACTGCAACGTGTTTGGCATTGGATAGGCTTATCTGACGTAACAACTCTATGCACTCCCAAATTCAATCGCTTTGTTCGAAAAAGATCAAGATCTCGCATTGGATAAATTTTGGTGTGGAGTGCAGCGAGAGTCGAGACGAAAAGTGCCGATTTAGTGAGAATCCGCGCCAAGACCACGACCTTGCGCGCCATGTCCACGTGATTCCCCGCACCCCGCCCGAGCTTTTCTCCGCATCGCCCTTTTTCTGCTGAAGCAAAAGCCCTTCGCTGCTCCGTGTTTATAACATAAGTCACTCCGGCAGAGCGATCGCGGCCTCCAGCTCTCTCCATACCAAAAGCGACAGAAGTTCCACTAGCCGTTCCCCAACTCCATCCCGAGGTCTTCATGGGGGATGGAACCGTTGCCAATGCGCCGACGGACGCTCCGGCAGGGGAGGCTGGCCCTTCGCCGAGCTCTGGAAACGCAGTAGCCAATGATCCCAGCCCATCTGCGCCAGCAAAGAAGCCGAGGAGATTTCACTGCAAACGCTGTGATACCAGATTCTCGAGGCTAGAACATCTTCAAAGACACGAGAGAATTCGTATGTCCGCCACTCCTTGTCCATGCTCCATCTTGGCCAATCGAACTTTTTCTCTATTTCAACGCAAAGTTTATATTCGAAGCTAATCATTCTTCAAACAATTTGCAGATACACAAGAAAAGCCGTTCGCATGTCAGCTGTGTGACCATCGGTTTACCAGGAGGTAGGATACTGCCCTACTCTAAAGCGCTGGTTTAGCTTATTAATATAATAGCCATTTTGCTGATCGACTCCTGCAGTGATCTGTTAATTCGACACGAACGGCTGTCACATAACAAGATTGTACCACACAAACGTGGAAAAGGATCTAGGTCCAATGCCAATAAAGCCACTGCTACTCCTAATCCAAGCTACCATGACACGCCATCGTCCGCGCAGCCTGCCATTCCCACAACATTTGATGACCATCATCGGCCTTCCATTGCGGTTACTCATCCAAGCATTGAACGTCATGATGACTTTCCCTTGGCCACCTTATCAATGGCTGCGGAGCACGTCTCGCTTCAGATGCCGTATGACGCTCCCTCCAGCCATCCCGCCCCCAATTCAACCCACATTGCTTTCGGACAAAGTGGTCCAATAAACACCACCGAGCCACCGTCCCAGATGGGCGCAAATATTCATAGCCTAGAACTTGAGAACTCCTTGAATGAGCTCTCATCTTTCCTGGACAATGGCGCCATATCATCCTATCATTTCTCTTCGCTCGTTTCTGCCGAGCAGCCAATGCCACTATTTTCTCCCGAATCAATCACCCTTCCACCTGAAATGGGCCCCGGGAACCATTTGACCCCCAGCTATGAGCCCGGTCATCATAATCATAACCATCACGCTGACGAATCTGGATCCTTCTCCCATTTTGAGTCCCGACTTCCGTCTCTTCAACCAGAAGAACAACCCCCTCAGATTAGACGGATGCACATTCCTCATCGCCCATTGAGTGAGATCTCTCTTGACGACAGGAAATATATTCTCTCAAAATTAGATGAGTTTTCTTCGGTAATTCAGCCTTCTTTTCAGCTGCCGTCTTGCTTGGCACTTGCAAGATACGTTGCTGCTTACATCAATGGATTCCATGAACATCTTCCTTTCCTCCATATCCCGACCATGTCTGTTACTCATTGCTCGGTTGAACTTATCCTTGCTATTGCCGCCGTGGGAACCCAGTACTGCCTTGAAGGAGAAAAGGGGATCGACCTTTTCCATGCAAGCCAAGCAATTGCAATGGAACGAATACGGCGCAGAGACGTGAGAAGGAATACAAACCACCGACATGCCATCCCAGAAACAGCCTCTGTGAGGGCATCAGGGCAAACCCTCGCTTCCTATCAGTCACTATCTCTGGCTGGGCAGCTGGACCCATCCCATGAGTCTTCCTTTAACACAGTTTCCCAGGAAGAAGACCTCATACAGACCATTCAAGCATTGCTCATTCTAATGGCCATGGCAACATGGGCAAAGCAAAAAGAAATCCTCCGGGAAGCATTAGCTCTACAGAGCATCTTGGCCACCCTGGTACGCGATCACGGTCTCCAGGGTCAACCTATGCCAGACAATGTTTCGTGGGAGGAGTGGGTTCCGTTGGAGACCGCGAAGAGAACGAAGTTTATCGTGTATTGCTTTTTCAACCTGCATTGCATTGTTTACAACATTCCGTCTTTGATCTTGAATTCCGAAGTTGACCTAATGTTACCGTCCGGCTCGGCTGAATTTAAAGCTCCAACTGGATCTCTCTGGCTTGAAGCGAAGGCAAAGGCCTCCTCAGAGGTTAGCTTCCAAGATGCGCTTAACCGGTTATTCTCCCGCGGTGGGACTGAGGTGGCGGAATCCAACTCCTCGCTGGGCAATTACATCCTGATACACGCTATTATCCAACACATCTTTTTCCTTCGTCAAGTTACCCGTGGACGTTTCGATGGCAAGAGGGACATGGCCGCCGAAGACGTTTGCGCTTTGGAACGAGCCCTACGTAACTGGCAAATTGGTTGGAAACGCCATCCTGAATCTTCGCTTGATCCACAGGATCCCAACGGCCCAGTTGCTTTCAACTCGACTGCTCTTCTTCGCCTGGCTTACATACGTCTTAACATTGACATCGGCCCTGGGCGAGCGCTGGATACTCGAGATCCGGTGCAGATCGCAAAGGCGTTTCGTGCCAGCCCACCGATACGACGGACTCCTAAGCTGGTTCGGGCCGTCCTCCATTCAGCTCATGCTTTAAGTATTCCCGTGAAAATTGGCATTAGGCTCGTTGCCCAAACGCAAACTTTTATATGGTCGATTCAGCACTCGATTTGCTCACTAGAATGCGCCTTTCTGCTGAGCAAATGGCTTGAAGCATTATCAGTGCCTAACCCAGACCCGCCGATTAGTGACGATGAGCGGCGCATTTCTGCGCTTGTGAAAATGATGCTCGACGAAACCGAATTTCCAGTGCCGTCTAATTTGGCAATGGGCTCACCGGAGATGAACCAGCAACTCAATGCTGGAGTATTGCGGGTGTGGGCTCAAATATTCAAGGGCTCTCAGACATGGGCTATTGTTGGCGTCATCGGCAATGCTCTGAATATTTGTGCCGATTTAGCCCAAGGGGGTTGACTAGTGACCCGTGGTCCTAACAGTCCAGGAGGTTTCTATTTGTACGAAGAGCATATCAAAGCTCCTATAGCCTAGGGTTTGTTCCGCTCCCATAGTTAGTGGTGGGGTTCGTATGGCAGGCTTGTACGGAAGCAATGTATGGATGCCAAGAGATGAGGGGTTGCCTGCATTCCCCAAAGCTACCCCAATCCGGTACGGACGTACAACTTCAAATATCAGAAGTGGTACTCCGCAGCATGAAAGATCGCTCACGGCGGGATATGACAATTCAACTCGGCGAAGAGAGACCAGGCGTGCCATCCACGTTCTTAGGAATTGTTTTAAAAGCAACCCATATCGATTTTGAACAGTCGCTTTTTCGATCGCCTCTAGGGTGCTCCGCACGGGTTTTTGAAAATGGCATCCTCGTCAGTCACGGTCCATGCGCTTCGAGCGGGTCGCTTCACCATCCCGGAACACATCTTTGTTACCGGGGCATCGGAATTAGACAGAAAGACTGTCCCTTCACTTGCATTCCTTATCCAACATCACAACATCTCGACAGGAAAAACGACAAGGATTGTTTTTGACCTTGGGTTGCGAAGGGATATTAGGCGGTACCCTGCTCCCATTGAGAGACATTTGAGGACAAGACAGCCTCTTGAAACAGATCCGGATGTTGTCAAGAGCCTTGCAGCTGGAGGGTTATCGCCCAATGATATTGATTATGTGATTTATTCTCCTATCAGTCTCTAGCCAGTCTTCAACAGTAATGGCAAGGAGCTTCCTTTTTTTTTTCCTTTTTGGAGCTAACATGTCCATGCAAATCTTAAAAGGTGCATTGGGATCATGTTGGTGAGCCTCGCGATTTCACTCGGAGCACATTTGTCGTTGGTTATGGGTCGCTTGACCTACTCAGAGGCAAGATCCCAGCGCCACGGGGGAGCCATACGATCTTTGAGCACGACTTAATCCCCCATGATCGTACAGTTCAGCTTCTAGATCCTGGTATCTCCGATACCGGATTAAACTTGAATGAACCCAACAGCGAGGAGTCACCAGGATCGCCGGACTTCAAACAACTCTGGAAGTCTCATTCCGAGGGATCAGTTTCATGCATCGCCATGGATGTATTTCATGACGGTAGCGTGTATCTCATTGACGCGCCCGGCCATTTACCCGGTCACACCAATCTTCTCGCTAGGACTGATATGGGCTCCATCTACCTAGCCGGTGATGCGTGCCATGATAGGGGTATTCTCCGCAAGGAGCGAGGAATCAGCCAGTGGCAAGATTCCACTGGCCATGTGTGTTGCATCCATGCAGACCCCAAGAGGACTGAGGAAACGCTTGAACTCCTCAGGGCACTTGAGCGGCAGGGAGTTGAGGTAATTTTGGGCCATGACGTGGATTGGGAAATGGATCCGGTGAATGCACATAGATTCTGGGGACACGCAGAAAGTGAAGGACGATCCAAGGGTCAAGATAATAAAGCTCATTCTCGTCAATCAGAGCTCTGATCTAGTTGAACGTATCCGTAGTGATATAACGTTGGTGGATGTAACTCAGTCGTGAACACCATTGTTATTTAGCTCCAAAGGATTTTAATTAGTTAGTAAACTAACGGAATGACTTCATGAAACTAGGCGAACCTCCCTGTGTACCTTTTCACCGATGCCTTTTTAGCAGCCCGTCGAGGCGAGGAGACGGCGTGTGATCCAAAAGCCAGCAGGAGCTGGGGCAATCACATGACGTCGATTCATGATCCCCAGACAAGCCCAACGTCCCTCGCATCACAATTTTTGAAGTGGGAGTTCGTTATATTATTTAGAATGACTCAGTTACCTGGGTCATTTACGACATAGTTAACTCCCCTCCATAAGATGCTGAGAAGTCGTCTCCAGCAGCTCTTCGCGCCGCGCCGGTTGTATAAACGCGTGGACGTAGAGGACACAGAGCGGGATGGAGTCGAGGAAGACGTTACACAGGAGGAACCTATTCCCAGCGCATTCTCATGGCTGGAATACGGGATATTTCTATGGATGGGGGTATCCATGTTGTGGGCATGGTGCGTCGTATGAGCTACGCAGGCTGTGTAGCTCATCTTCCCTTGCGCAGCTCAATATTTTGTAAAAACCCACAGCTAACTGGAATTTACGTGCCAATAGGAACATGTTCCTCGCAGCAGCACCGTACTTTCAACGCCGATTTGCTTCCCATCCTTGGATCCGAACGAATTTTCAATCATCCATCCTCTCCGTCTCCTGCATAACTAACCTGACATCCGTCCTTGTTCTCGCGAAACGCCAGAAAAATGCCTCCTATCCTCGAAGGATCAGGGCTTCCATGCTTCTCAATATCTGTGTATTTACGCTCCTTGCCTTATCCACTGTTTTATTCCGTGGGGTAGCCGTTTGGGTATACTTCGTCTTCATCTTGGTTATGGTGTTTGCAGCTTCCATGGCTACAGGCACGAATCAGAATGGGGTCTTCGCGTATGTTGCTGGTTTTGGCCGGAATGAATATACACAAGGCATCATGGTTGGCCAGGGGGTTGCGGGCGTTTTGCCGTGCATTGTGCAGGTGATAGCCGTTCTCGCAGTCCCAGATGAGCCCAGCGACACCGTGGACGAGGAAAAGGTCCAATATCAATCGGCGAAATCCGCATTTATATACTTTGCAACTGCAACGATCGTCTCTTCGATTGCTTTCGTTGCATTTCTGCACCTCAATGGGAAGCATCAATCTCGCATTCTGAAATCTCCAGGGCTTCCCCCATTCGAATCCGACGAGGAGGAAACGCCCACCAAGAGATCAATTCCTCTGCTGACTTTGTTCCGGAAAGTACCCTGGGCTGCCTCCGCGATGTTCATCACCTTCGCCGCCACCATGGCTTTCCCGGTTTTCACCGCTGAGATTCACAGCGTCCGAGAGGCCGAAAGTCCTCCTCCTTCCCGCATATTCCAAGCTGCTGCATTTATCCCCTTGGGCTTCCTCTTCTGGAACTCCGGGGATCTCTTGGGCAGAATGTCAGCTGGACTCCCCATGCTCAACAAACTAACCCGTCGCCCGTTTCTCTTATTCGTGAGCTCCTTAGCTCGCATCTTGTTCGTCCCACTATACTTAATGTGCAATATCCGTGGAGAGGGCGCGAAAGTTAATAGTGACTTCTTCTATTTATTCGTGGTCCAATTGCTGTTCGGTGTCACGAATGGATACTTGTGCTCTTCGTCCATGGTCAGCGCGGTAGAGTGGGTGGGCGAAAATGAGAGAGAGGCTGCAGGAGCATTCATGAGTTTGATGCTCGTCGCAGGGCTTACCATGGGTAGCTTATTGAGCTTTTTCGTTGCAAAGCTATGACCTGTTTTTGGTAATTTTAACCCGACTTGGCGTTTTTGGTTCTGTCCTTATGGGTTTTTGGCCTATATTGGAAGCGGGATGCATATTTTGGATGACATCGATGATTGATGAAACCCGCCATATAGATTGGAGTGTATATGTGCCATATACCTTCTATGTTCAATATGCCGTTTTGGTAAATAAGATAATATGACTTCTGTAAGATTGCCATTTTCCCACTATTGTCATATACATACATGTGTGTACTTGAAACTAGGTCATTTGCTCTGAAAGTACCCGATCCGAGCCGACAAAGTACGATTATAATGAGTCTATCATTAAGTGGGAGAAAGGTATATATGTGTACAGCTAACTGGCTCATATGTGGCCAGAAATGCCCAGCCAGAGACTGGAAAGGACGCTAATTCAAAACGCCAGCTGGAGGTAGGAGTGGAGAAAATATCGCAAGAATTAAGAGTGAGGGAGACGAATCCAGCGAGACTCGATCTATAATAATATATATAGACTGATAAAGATCGTAAGAAAAGTCACAAAGAACGGTCGTAACAGCAAAGTCCAAACAAAGTCTATATGCCCCTCATTGTCCCATTGGATATCATGAGATGAACTAGTACAGCAAGACAAAAGAAAAGTAAAGATACGAAATAGTTGTCAGGGACTTGACAGTTATCCTGTTCTAGTCGATAATGCAGATGTTGATGAATATTCTTGCGACTCACAGAACCTGCGTTGAGCAAGCCTGATCGCTGCCAGGGAGTCAACACCGGGCGACGAAGAAAACCGAATTAGATAAAAGATCCATAGATCTTGAGAGAGCATGTCCCCACATGGAAGCAAGAAACCGGAACTATCCTTGATTCAACCTCAAAGCTTAGGGGCTGCACTAGCTCTTTCACCTACTTCCCCATCGCTCTTCGCAGATTCAAGCTGCTTTGCTTGATCCTGCTCTTCTTCTTCGACTTCTCCGCTTTCGTCATATTCCTCATCTTCGCCCTCTTGGAGCATTTGCTGTAACTCTTCTGCTTCAGAGGGTGGCCCGCGGATCGCAGATCCTTCATAATGTGCCACTGGTGTCATTCCCGACTCTCCTCCATTCATTTGCCATTCCATAAGTTTCGTGAATGCACCGTCCGGTCTCGAGCTAAGATCCTTATAGGAACCTTGTTCGGCAACTCTGCCGTCAGAGTCGAGAACGATAATTGTATCAGAGCGCTTTATGGTGGATAATCTGTGAGCAATGCTGATAGTGGTGTTACTTCCACGGAATAATGCTGCCAAGGCGCTATTTACAAGGGTTTCAGACTCTGCATCCAGGGCAGACGTGGCCTCGTCCAGGATCAAGATATCTGGATCTTTGATGAGTGCTCTAGCGATGGCAATTCGTTGTTTCTGACCTCCAGAGAGCTGCGCTCCTCGCGCGCCTACATGTGTATCAAGGCCGTCAGGCTGAGATTAAATGTCAGTGTCAAAATCGGCCGCAGATCAAAAAAGAAAAGGAAAAGATACGAAAACTTACGAAGTCGCTGATAAACTGGCAGTTGGCTTTTCTTGCAGCAACAATAATTTCTGCCCTGGTGGCCTCTGGTTTTCCATAGGATATATTTTCAGCGATAGTGCCTGAAAACAAGACCGGTTCCTGTGACACCACGCCAATCTTTCTCCGAAGGGATTTGGCATTCATCGTAGTAATGTCTTTGCCATCAATAAAGATCTTTCCTGTGTTTGGACTGTAGAAACGGAGCAACAACGCTGCAATCGTGGATTTCCCGCCTCCAGAAGGGCCAACAATAGCGACATTAGCTCCCTGTGGGATTTCAAAGTCAAGATCCTTAAAAATAGTCACAGCGGGGCGAGTTGGGTAGCTAAACTTGACATTTTCGAAACGAATAGGCCCCTGAGCAGATTTGACCTTAGTCCCAACGGTAGGCGAGATTGTTGGTGCTCGGTCCTGTAGCTCAAAAAGACGACTCGCAGCACCAACGCCCTTCATCAATTCTGAGTAAAAGCTTGACAAGCCGAACATGCTCGAGCCAGCGTAAACAGTGTACATGAGGAATGATGTCAGTTCACCGATCGTGATTCCTCCAGATTGAACCATTCCACCGCCTACGTAGAGCAGAGCAAGGATAGTCATATTGCCCGTGAACCCGGTCTAGAGCAACGTGTCAGTCAATAGTCAACTGTTCCTGGTTCCGAATATACTCACAGCACTAAAGAATGTCGCACTAATAAATGATTCCTTCTTTCCTAGTTCAAATATCCGTTTAACCTGGTGGTTGTATCGACTGACCTCTAGCCTCTCCCCAGCGAAAGATTGGCTAGTTCTCACATTACCTAGCCGCTCTTCAGCAATCTTGGTGAGGGTTCCCAAATTCTTTTGGATTTTTCGGCTTAGGTTTCTAATCGCTCTTCCATAGAAAAAGGCTGCGATAGCAACCGGTGGAAATAACAAGGCTAGAATACCCGAAAGCTTGAGACTGACGTAGGCCATCATCCCAAAACCAGCTATACCGCTCACTGCTGATCGAAGTCCATCGGACAGGTTTTGAGTGATACTCTTGCCGACAATAATAGTGTCTGAGCTTAATCGGGAGATCAGATCGCCGACTCGGTTTGCATCGAAAAATTCAGCATCTTGGACATACGTCCTTCGAAACAGTCGTGATCGTAGCCGGGCGACAATTCGTTCACCAACAATTCGTAGAATGATAATTCTTCCATAGTTAGCCGCAGCACCAAGAGAGAGGACCCCTGCCAGGGCACCATAGAACCAGGGAAGACTAAGTCCGAACAGCTCCAGGGCCTCGGAGCTTGGGTTCGTCGCAATGTCCAAGATTTTCCCGATAGAAAATGGGATGGACATGCTAACTGACGACGATGCGAGGAGGAACATAAAAGCAACGGAGAGCACCTTGGCTTCCGGGCGAGCAATCTTGACCAGCCGCCATATTTCTCGAATTCCGGCCTTCTTTCCGTGGGCAAGACCATCTTTCGCTAGCTTCGCACTCAGATTTATATGGGCCGCTTGAGATGCCTTCTCTGAAAGCTCAAAGCCTTTCTGTAAGTCATCCTGCTCGGTTAGGACGACCTGGGTCGGTTCCTCCGCCACTTTACTTTTGTTGGCCGATGTTGCCGGCCGAGCCGGTTCCTGTATGCTTCTGGAAGTTGAAAGGAAGCGAACGTGTTCCAATCTAGCCGGGGCAAAGGCTGACGGATCAACTGCATTCTTTATCGCGAGTAGAGGGGAACCGGGTGTGGAAAGCCCTTGCCGCTCGATGCCTCGGAGGTCGAGCGTTTGGTGTGCATTGCGGTATTTGCGGGAGGCCTCGATGGCACGTCTGGTGAATAGCCTCTGGCTTCCGACGGTGAAGCGAGTGTTACTTTGATGCGCAACGTGGCGAGAGGGTATCCGTGATGTGAACGTGGTTAACACGTTGGGGCTGCGCATTGCGGGAGGAGGTCAGGCATGCGGCCGATGCCGCTCGCCCTGTGATTTATCGGCGACGACGAAAGCTAGAGGCCTTGATTATGTATCGGTATTCATCGCAGGCAAGTGAGAAGGTTGCAATTCGAGTTTAAGCGCGGTTCGATGAGCTGTGAGTTGCGGATCGAGGGTGGTCGTCCAGGAGGGAGTGCAAAAATGAAATTTCGGAACTGGATGCGATGACGATGGAAAGCTTCGAATCTTCCATCCCGATCTGCGGATCCCCCCACCACCGCTGGTTCTGCCGCCACCAACCCGTAAACCAGCACAACAATCGCTTTGACGGCATTTATTACTGTTTCAACCCTACCTCTTTGGCTTCTTGTGTGCTATCCTAGTCTGCTAGTCAACCCCAAACGTTGTGTTCTCTTTTCCTTTATTGCCTTGGATTCCCTTTCCTCGCATCTGACCACGAAACCCCATGCAGTAACTACTACACATCCATAGGGTATTGCTCTTCAAGATGGTCCTGGATTATAGCAAATGGGACGCTCTCGAGCTGTCTGACGACTCGGATATTGAAGTCCACCCAAATGTTGACAAGCGATCTTTTATCCGCGCGAAACAGAACCAAATTCATCAGCAAAGGTTCCAACGCCGCCAGGAGATCGCGACCTTAAAGTACGAGCGGATCATAAACGATGGCCTTCTACAGCGCATTGATGGCCTGCTAGCTGCCTTGAGAAAGCACGAAGACAGCACCCGTCACCCAGACGAGCTTGTCTTCCAGGCACTGATCGAATCCGCTGGAGAACCAGAAAAGGACCAGCCTCCTCCCCCGCCGGAAGGAGTATATACACAAGAGAAAGACACTCCGAAGTTCTCGCAGATGATGGGCTCATTAGTCGATCAAGTCAAGAAGGAGCTGGATGAGACAAAGCCGGAAAATAGGTTTCATGGGTTCATCAAGGGAGTGGAGGGGCATAAGAACAAAGTTCTCAGCCTACAGCAGGAATTACTGGTGAAGCTCGCCCAGCTCGAGAAGGAGGAAAGCAGCAAGATAACTAGCGACAGCATCCATACGGGATTCAATAGCACATTCATTGCAAAACCTAAAGCTGAGCCCAAGCAGAAGCAGAAGGAGTCGACCGTCGAGTTGCTCAACGCGGGATCTCTGATTAAGGACGAAGCTGGCACAGTCTCCTCCGGTGCGGAAGCGGATGAAGAACCTGAGCCCGGGGATGAGGAAGAGATTAAAGTGACTCCTCTGGCGAAACAATTCGCAAAGTTGAAAGTCGGCGATTATCAAAGCACTTTACAATTCATCATGGATCATCCCGAGATTGTGACTGAGCGGAAGACGGATGAGCTCCTTATGGAAGCTTTTAATGGCCAGATGTCTGGAGAGGATGACTATGCACGCCAATGCGTTCATCAGGGTCTGCTTCTTCAATACTGCCGTGCCTTGGGACGAGACGGGGTGTCTCTCTTCTTTAAGCGGTAGGTAAACTCCATAGCCCTAATCTAATCCATTATAATTAACGTTTCATCTAGCATAACCACCAAGGATCACCGGGCAAACGTTCTCTTCCATGACGATGTCAACAGCACCTACAACAGAATCAAGACACGCGCCCATGAGCTGTCCAAGAAGTCCGAAGGCGTCGAACAAATCCAGCTCCATGCGGTCGACCCATCCACCAAAATTAACATTACTATCCCGCCAGCAGACAGTACCGACCCGCAACACATTGCTGCCCGCGAGACGTTCGAGCGCTTCCCGCCTGGCCTTCAACGTGCATTGGAGTCACAGAATCTTGATGAAATAAACAAAGTGCTTGGCAAGATGAGCGTTGACGAGGCTGAAGAGGTTGTTGAAAAGCTCGGTGAGAGCGGCATTCTCAGCCTCGAGGAGGGTATTGTGGATTTCACCACTGAAGAAGGGAAGAAGATGTTAGAAGAAATCGAGGCGAGAGAAAAGCAGTCGAAGGAAGAAGAAATCGGCGATCCGGAATGAGCCTGACGGCGACTTTTTGATGCGTTTGTTGATCTCCTATTCTCTTTGATTTGTTGAGATGCCGTCCACTAGTTATGAATTTTGAAAAATTACCTCATCCGCTCAATTGTTTCCTCGCAGCCGATGTTGTTGATCCATCTCCCAATTTTTGTTGATCTCCCACTTGTATCCTCTTCCGCTGCACTTTTAAGATGCATTCCAACAAAATGAAATAAGAAAACAGGCATAACTGTACACAGCTGAAATGATGTGCTTAATGTTTAAAAAGAGAGAATGAATGTGGAGCTTTCTTACTTTTGGCCGTGTTCGCCAACTTGGTTTTCAGGATCGCGCTCCGAAAAACCTAGAACCAAAGGTTAATAACAACCGGGATATTAACATTGTGATTGACAGCTGTCAGCCAGGGATGAGTTGTAGGGATGAAGCTTGATCTTGCCAGGGTACATCGTAGATGCATATCCCAAAAGAGCAGTCAAATGATTTTAAGCTATTTAGTAAGTACAAGATAAAGAATGAGAAATAGGAATAATAGCACATATATATGCAACAAATTCACAAATGTTAGAAAAAGTAAGGGAAGATCAAACATGTGGTATCATTAGAATCAAGAGGCCCATGGAGCTACTCAAGAATATTCGAGAGGAGCTACCGACATAATGAGCCGCGAAACCGAGAAAAAAGAGAAAAATAACAATCATAAGGCTCTTCGTGGTGGAAAAAATGGTCACACTACCAAAGTGCACCAAAGCACGCAACCTGGTTGCAAAATGCCCGACATGACGCGTCGAATAGCAGGAGGCCGGCTCATATTGCTGGATCTGAGACGCGTATCCATTGAGAATCCTCACGGGCTGGCATTATTGTTTAATGGATGGCGGTCAAGTCCCTGGTATAAAGAAGAGGCCAGGTATCGCTCATTATTTTCCATCCATATCAACGATAAATTTCTTAATCTTTTCACACAGTTTTGGCTGCTCGTTCCAAGGTTTGTACTTTCCTTCCAAATCGCACGCGGTCGATTTTAGTGCTCGCCAAAGATCCTTTTCGACATCATGGCCTATCCGATCTATCATTTCTTCTGCAGCACCCCACATCCGTTTCGGCTTGTTGTCCTGGGTCCACGCCAGACCCCCTTCGCCAAAGACCCGAACTGGCTCCAATTTTGGCAGATTGGCGTGACATGTGATAAACGTCCCCGGTGGCGCGTTCGGTTTTCCTCCCCATCCATAAACCTCTCCTTTTTTGAGTCTAGAATCCCACACTGGGTCTGCTTGCATAATGACGCCGCCTTCCCAGCCGCCGTCGGGCTTTCTATATCCAAATACACCAGGGCCTGTCGAGACAGCATAAAACGGAAGGTTCAAAATCCTCGCGGGAGCTATGAACGTCTCTTTATCACCTTCGCCAGGGTGTCCTTGAGATAACAAGGGGTAGTAGTGCGAAGGTCCGTAGAAATTGTAGTAAGCGGAGAGCAGGAGCATCTTGGAATGTGACTTTTTAGATACCAGGACCTGGCCTGATTCGGTGGAGGCGTGTTCGAACCCTTTGGGAAGCGGTTGGGATGTAATTTCGAAGAAGGACGGGTGATAGGTAACCTGCCAGAAATCTGGCCACGTCACCAAGCCGTGAGAGGCGAAGGGTTCGGAGGCAAAAAGGCGGGAGGGATCATGCATTGGGAACGCATCAGCGTCGAGGAACAGTACTTCTTCGAACGATGAGAATAGCAACGCAAAAATCTTAAATTGGTACTTTTTAAGGCCTTCCACGAGGGGGGAGTGGTCGAGGATCTTGGAAAGAGTGATACACCGGGCATTGAGGGCCGGAAAAAGCGTATCGCAAATATATTTATCATGCTCACTCGGGTCTGCGATGAAAATCTCGACGGGTAGGTTGGCTCCCGTTTGGCGTAGCATGTGCAAGGAGGTCACAACGACAGGCAGAAAGGAACCACCAGCAGTCGAAACAATGCCTCTTGTCCGCGGTTTATACGCGAGTCTGGGGGCACCCGGCGCCGACAGTAGCTCCATAAACCGTGAATGTGCCTTTTTCAGCTTATCCCTATCCCCCTGCTCCACCACAATGTGCTCTGGCAAGGTGACATTGTCCACTAGGTCAGGCTTGAAGCCGATTGCCGCCGGATGCTCCTCGAGTCTTTTCGGGGAGTTGCATGCTGGAGCAGTGGCTTTAAGGATATCGTGAAATTTGACCCAGAACTTCCCGTGATCCGCGGTCGACGGTCGGCTCGCCAGGCCCAGATTCTCTGGAACGTAGCTCCGGCGGAGGGTGAGGAAAAGGAGAATCGCGATAGTGAGTAGGAGGAGGCTCCGTCGACGAAACCGAGAACTCTGGACCATCTTTCCGTTCGAGATGTGCTCCCACCACAAAGGGAGCCAATCTCAAGAGCAAAATAGACAAAAACCAGCCAGCGAGCAGACCATGCTTGTCGGTTCGACTGGGATTGAAGCTGGCGGAACGTCGAGCAATGCAGATCGCGCGGCTGCTTATCTAATCGCCAGTTTGGGTGCGGATTCGACTGACCGCCAGCTGGCTGGGGCGATGAACCGACGTTGTTAGCAGCCCATCCAACGGTTGTTGACAAAATCTAGAGAGGGCGACGGCCCCTGATGGTTCCTGGCGACAGGCTACCAACCACGGTTGCTGACTCCATAGTTTTGGGTTGGCCAGCATTCCATTTTGTTTTCATCGCTGTAGTTCAACTCGTGGTGCTAATAATACTTTTACAAGTTTAAGTTATGCCCCCAAAAAATAAGCTGGGAATTTCATGCTCCGCACCAAGTTGCTAAAAAGCTTGTGTCCCGCAAATTGTTTTCGCGTTTGTTTCCTTTGGAGAACTTCGCGCCTTTTGCCATAGACTATTGTCTTCTAGCCTAGCTCCAAGAGGCCTTTCGTGGTACCTGTCTGCGCCTCATTACATTGACACCCCGGCTAATATTACTGTTACTTCTTAAGAATTCGTTATGTCCGAAGTTTCGAGGCTGATCAAACCCTCATTCCCTACCAGAGAAAGATGCTCTCTGCTAAAGGGCGCGTATATAGGTGCAGCACTAAGAAGGAAAGGTGTCGTGTAGGAGATTCAGAAAGGTACCTCCGTGAAGTGGCATCCTACTCTCCCGCAGCGTATCGACATATAGCAGTTCGGCCTCTGGACGAGTGTCACGGACCAATTTTCAAAGTTTGACCGCGGCACGTTGTAGCTCAAGACCGCGTGGATTTTGAAAAAGGAAAGAAGAGGTTATAGTTGGCTTACCGCTTTTCTTGCCGCCGAACTGCTTGATTCAATTTCTAAATTCCTACAATCTCTCGAAGGAGATCTTCCAAGTGAGTGGTGGCAAGCGACATATTCCCCCCTCTCAACCGCGGACCTTTCCGTCTGTCCGTGAAAGCTATCCTCAACGCATCTGCTGCATAGTTGGTTGATGATATCCTGGAATGCCTTGCTTGGCCATTTTTTTCCTTTCCCAACCGCGGGCAGGGGATTCACTGGGAGTTCTCGCTTCAAGAACGAGTGCTATATGAGGTATAATGGGAAGTGAAGTGAATCCAAGAAACAGGAGATGTCTACTCTATACCGTCCTTATTTTCCCTGGTGTTAACCTCCCCGGCGGCTGAGGGCCTGTCACATATTGTCTTATTTGAAGCGAAAGCTATTAAGGCTATTGAGTGCTCCGTCCCTAGTGGACATTCATGAAGGCATCTAGGGTTTATTAGCAAAATGTGAACATGGGAGAAACCCTGCTCTTTCCCCTATAGCACTACACGGCAGAAGCATCTTCCATGCCATCACGGAGTGCTCCATAAAGATTTGCTTGGTTCACGCTGCCTATGCGTTTTGTTGAGCCCAGGATACAAAGAACATGACGCATGACTTTCCGGATGTGGCCGAATCAACATGATTGCTGCACAATGACTACAGAGCACAAAATGCTCCATACGCACGACCAGCTAATTATTTATTGTCGTCCTACAGCTTTCGTTGCTGTCGTCAACAAATAATGCCGCGTTTTTAAAGTGATCTGGACACGTGACGCTCAGATAAGTCTCCGTGGCGCAATCGGCTAGCGCGTCTGACTGTTAATCAGGAGGTTGGAAGTTCGAGCCTTCCCGGGGACGGTTCCTTTTTCTTTTTCTTTTTTTTTTCTTTTATTCTTATTTCCCCTCCCTTTTGCTCTTCCATGTTAAACCCAAGTGATTTGTTAATAGCCTCTGGGGGCGTACGCACATCATTTAACATTGGGATAACCACCGGGAACTTTCTGGACACGGCACAACCTCTAAGTGAGGTGAGCGAGATAGTGCAAGCTGTCGGGCGATTCCTCACATATCATTTCAGCAGAGCCATGTTATCAGAATGCTTCTTTTTCTCCATTAGGGATGTCGGAGGTAGCAAGGTAAGAGTATTGCTGAATGGACAGGACCTGTGCACTACGTGTAGCAGTGTCGCCACATAGAAAGTGCTCGGGGTGAATTATATCCACTCGTGAGATGTGGAAATTGCGAGGTTTCCCAAACGCAATGCTCCCAGTCAAATCAAAGATACTTATACCGCGTTCGCAGATCGATCACCTAGCATTGTTCATCTCTCTTTTTTCTAGCTGGGCTATGAAAGGGTCTACATTCTCCGCGCATCAAGTCGTCGCTGTCGATCTTGGAATCGCTTTTCTAGTTGCGTCAGTTGGATGTTATCGAAACAGGGCTACCGTCGTTGGCTTCGATAAATTAGATGACTTGGAACCTTTTGGTAGGCTTCCAAAGAAGTGTTTGTCTCAATTCTCCCAGATCTACGGATGAAGTTGCAAATGCACGGTAAGCAGGCGATGCAATCGTCATCGAAGCCAATGGTGGTAGAGTAATACGTAACTGGGGAGAATGGAAAGGTCGCAATGGCCATGCAGGAATAGAGTTCAACCTCCACAGCCAAAGATCTCTTCAAGATTGACGAAAGATGCGTCGGAAAGCATCCTCTTCCCCCTCCTCGTGAGAATTCTTATTCCGCATAGGTTCTCTATGAATATGCCCTTAGTATTGATTGAGCTAACACTCGGGCTAAAGGCCATCAATTACTGGGAAAGCAGCAAAGCGGTTGGCGATTAACGATGACGCAACCATCTAGATCTCCAAGGCCAGAATTGACCAAATGATTCACACTTCGCATTCAGGCAACAAATACTCCAATAATGCGATCCTCCAGAACGAGATGGCACTTTGAAAGCAACAGGTTTCACAGATCCTAACCTAACTTGATCGTGCTTGAACCACCTTGCTAGTATTTCAGAGCATTACAATCGCAGTCTTCCATGCAGCAAACAATGGGCGGGTTTGATGCATTGAGAACTGATGAAGGGACAATTTGTCTTTTCCTAACTATTGGCAACACAGTCTCAAGTGATGGATATCATGAATAGGTCCGGCTTGACTCGAAACGTTGCCGCGAGGCTTCGTCAATCGGCCGACGAAAACAAGATTGGCCTTGAGATCCTCTTCTCCACTGTGTGGGCCATAGCCCTCCGTGAGTTTGCAGCGGCGGATGTCGTTTAGTTTGATGTTGGTGCTAATATTGATATGAGTACACATACCGCGGTTGGCAAACCGAAGGCGTCGGTCAAGTCCCTGTTTGGATTTGAAAATTGGCAGATCTCTCCCTCTATGCTAGAAGGAGCTGCCTCGTTCAACACGGCCATTTTCATAGTTTAAGGGGATAATGTGTCACTCTGAGATCCTGCCTCAAACATACGCAAATTACGTGGCGACTAGGACAGCGCAAGGCATCTTATCTTTCACGAGCAACCCCGGTCAGCTCATTAAGGAAGTCGATCGGGCTTGTCCACTTCAAATTGACCGGACTATCTCATGGCAGTGTTTGACCTCCGACATCATTAGCTTTTCAGCTCTTAGCTCAGCGATCGATTCGACGACCTGATGCGGCAAGCCAACGGGTGTCATAGTCGAACACATGGTTTATTGCTCCGGCGCCCATGTGCACAATCCAGCCCACATGGTTAGCCGGTCTTCCAGGGATATTGCACTTTGCTTGGTGTGTGTTTGACATTTAGCATTATGGAAGCCCTCAGCACTTTGATGGGTATCATGCTTTCCAACTTGGAGGCCTTTTCATCCAGCAGAGCTTGCCAACTCGTTCAAACCCGACATCATTCCAGTCCTGGTGTCGTTTACAATCTAAATAGTGCCGGCTTCATATTCGGCCGCCTGTCGTGGGCCGATGTCATCTGTAGACAGTAACTTTCTCGATAAGCTTGGGGTACGAGGAGTCAGCCAAACGCAGTCGGAGATTCCTGAAGGGCGAGTGTAGAAACAGAGACAGGGACAACCGCTGCTCGATGCGGTCGAGCTTCTTCAAGCGGCAATTCCTTTCTCGTTCATCCAAACTTTCCCAGACTGCCACGTTCCGTTGATTTTCAGCGAAAGGCATGGTCGCGGATCCTGGGATGATTTCATAGATCTGACGTGTACTGCCGGGTGGTTCACTACTCTGTTGCCAGTGGAGGTCCTTGTCGATAAATCCGGCGACTTGAAAACCATGGTTCGTGTCGTGAAGGAAGTTCGACGCGGAGCTGCGAAGAATTGGTGGGACTATTTCACATACATACCTGTATCACAATACAGAGGGACGGAGGGTGGCTGGCGGCATTGATATGATGGAAATCGGTTTCAACTTCGCCGGGTTATTTCAACACATTGAGAGCCCGGATTCGCTTTTCAGGCTGAAACCCATGAGCAGCCAAAGCTTGTTTGATGGTGCGGAGGAGCTTTTAGTGGCTGGAGATAAAATTCAGTTGTTCGCCCTTGGAGGCCGTCTTCAGTTTCATTTCACGCTTCCTCGCGGTCTCAATCAAGCACGCGACCTAGACCCGTGTGTGGGACATCTAAAGAAGTGCCAGGATATCTTGACCAATGAATACCAAGCCGTGTGATGTCAGTGTTTACATAGCATTGCTGAGCTGGTGGGTGTGAGAAATGTACGGTAAGTTAATTCTGGCTGTTGACGAGGCCATTCACTCAAAGCTTCCCACCGACCTCACCTCCAGCTGCTCTGGCCATAAGCCGAAAAGAGACCAGTTAATCCGCGCGTTTAACTAGGGGGGAGAGTCGCTGTAGGTTAATGGATGTCTGCTTCGCCGTCACTCAACGGGCGCCAGGAGTCTGATCTAAATCCTAGCGCCTGTTGTGCTTCTTCAGAGCTTGTCCTTGCAGAGGTCAAGGAGACAGGTATCTCACTCTTGCATGCTAGTTATGGTTCCAGTGTAGTTACTATGTGCTTCGTGGATTCTTCACCGAGGCCTTGATGAGTATACAGCCGTCATCTCCGTCGTACATACAAATGTATCCCAATCCAATATAGCTACTCATTGCCGTCTTCGCCCTGATTCCTCTTCGCCGTTGTGATTAGTATCGAAGGTCTCAGTAGTGGATATGCAATGTGAGTTCCTAACAGGAAAAGTATCAAATATCCAGCGGGTTACACACCGGTCCATCATTACTAGAGGATATTATAGAATGGCTGCTGGTTGTTGGCAAGCGCTTAGTATATTTAGACAGCACTTTAACCCCATGAATGTACGTACAAAGCTGAAAGATTTTTCGGTGCCAGGAAGTTTCACATTCTCCGCATCCAACGGATCATACGTCTCAAAAAGCAATGTGACAAATCAACAGAGCCGTGAGTAGACCAAAGGGCGGGGTTATTTGTGGTGATCAGTCGATCTGGCAACGCCCTTCCGTCGAGCATTTGGTACCGGTGAGCTGCACCCACCCAGCTGATGAAGAAGCCCTTGTAATGACCATCATCTTCAGGCCGCGCGGGTTGGAATCCATGCTGAATCCCACTCCATATGGCTATACTACGGGAGTGCACACGGTGTAAATCGACATGGAGCTCATCCAGGTCGATCACACGATTATTAACTAGTACATACGTTGGATGCGTCGGGGCCTTGTCCGATCGACATTAATGATGCGACAGAAAAACGATGCTGGGAGCTCAACTTTGCAGCCATGGGCGATGCTTCATCCTCCAAAACTCAAGAACTCAACTCAATTCGATAGAGGCCGCCTGGCCGCTGTGGTGTGCTGGAGGGAGCGTTTCCCTGCGCTAACTTTTAGTGCGGAGGGGACAAAGCGACCCTGGTCAGTGTGGGATCCAAGGGCGGTCCACTTGGAAGCCCTGCCCGGGTTCGCGATGGCAAATGATGCGCCGCTCTGCTGATTCGTCACGGCGAGGATCGCTGCGAGCTAACTGCCAGCTCCTGAAACAATGTCGCCAGAATCCCACGTCTCCCTTCGTTTCTCGCCCTTCTTTTCCGTCTCGCCTTTCTTTTTTTTTTTCCCTTCTTCTTCTTCTTCTTTTTCTACGCTGGCATTCTTCATTCGTTTCACTGCCAGTTCGTACCTGAGTAGAGGTCAGTATGTCGGGCGGGCTTTTGTCTCCGTCCCTCGCTTCTGATCATGGTCATACGTCCCTTTTGAGTCGGCAAAAGCTGGCCGCATTCATCTACGCAATTCTACCAACGGCCTTTCGCGATGCACCCAAGAAGACTCGACCCCTCGCGAGGACGGCGTACCTCGACGGTGTCCGCGGTCTAGCAGCCCTCGGTGTCGTCGTGCTGCACATGGTCCTGGGGTTTTTCCCCAACTCTTCGTACGCATACAATGGGACTCCCGGTCGGGACTCCATCTTTCAGATGCCTTTCGTTCGACTACTATATACAGGTCAGCCCACGATCTTCTTCCTCATTTCAGGCTACGTCTTGTCCATCAGCACGATAAAGAAGTGCCGCAACCAGGCTTGGGGCCCGTTGCAGCTGGACTTGAGCTCGAAAATCTTCCGCCGGATGTTCCGCCTCTATATACCCTCGATCATCGCCACGTTTATCCCGATGTTTATGGTTAGCTTTGGGCTCTTCCCCGACGTTGCCAAGTTCAACGACGAGATGCCGCACCATACGTTCAATATGGCTGCCCGCGAGCCCACATTCTTCCGACAGTTCTGGCTCTGGTGCAAGACGATCCCGCCGCTCTTCTGGCCTTTCGACTGGGAAAACTTTTCCCAGAACTCCCCGTACGCCTACCAACTGTGGACCATTCCTGTCGAATACCGATGTTCGATGATACTTTTCCTTTTGCACATCGGATTGTCCCGATGCCGAAGCAAGACCCGCCTCGTCATAAACGGCATCTTCTCTCTTTACTTCCTTGCCCTTGACAAGTGGGATGTTTTCCTGTTCGTTGCAGGAGCTTTCATCGCGGAAGTGGATATTATTAGGGAAGAGGCGTCCGAGGCCCAGCTCCCGAAGTCAGAAACGGGGGAGACTAAGCTCCCCAATGCGCCCCGGAAGTCCCCAAATCAATGGCTGCTGGTGGGCGGTGTCATTCTTGGCCTGTGGATTCTGAGCGTCCCTGCCGCAGATATCTGGAACGCATGGACTTTTGCTATTCTCGAGACGTGGGCACCGAAAAATTATAAGGGAATCTTCCGTTTCTGGGACGCCGTGGGCACCGTTATCCTCGTCTGGTCGATGACCGGTCTACCTTCGTTCCAGAGGTTCTTCACGCGCCGCATCTTCCTTTACTTGGGGAATATTTCTTTCTCCCTCTACCTCACGCACACGATCGCTCTCAAATTTCTGCTATATCCCATCATGCCATGGCTGTATTTGATTTTTGGCTACTCCACCCCTTTTCAGTATGGCCTGTCTTTCGCCATTGGCGGCTTCTTGACTGTCATGCTTTCATTCTGGATCGCGGACGTTTTCCAGCGACACATCGAAGAGCCTTCAGCCAGGTTCACGAAGTGGATTGACACCAAGTGCTCGGCCTCCTGAACATGGGGGCCGTCTCCAGTTATATCTTCGGCTACATGTGACGCTTGTGCGACGCGAATATTGTACCTTTTGCAAATATCACCTGGGTAAAGGCTAGGCTTGGGCATCTTCTTTTTACGGTGTTTATATATATATGCAGGACCTTTCTTACCGTTATCAATCTTCTTTTATTTTTTTTTATATTTATTTATTTATTTTTGGATAGAGATGGGTTTCGCTGTATTTCATGATGCTCCCCTTTTGGTTCCAGCCTTCTTCCTCAGCCCTTTTTGTTGACATGATCAATTTCGCTTGTCTTTTTCCCATTGGTTTACGCCTATTTTCTTTATGATTTCTATTTTTTGCCCAAGACCTTTGTCCCTTTAGGCCCCTGCCCACAAGCTCTGAGTGTTGATACAATGCTGCTCTTCGCCAACGTAATCCAAAAGCTGGTGCCCGTTCAAACCGGCACTGTCACACAACGCGTTCCGTATCCCACCTTCTCTGTAACCGCCAAACACGTTTTTCCTGTACCTCCAGCTGAGACACAAAGAGAATCTGCACGATATATTCTTGAGAGACAGGACGAAGGATTTTGTGGGCCGTGTCCCTGCCAAGACAGACAAGGTTTGCTTCCCAGACCTGGCTCAGCAATCCTCCATCCCATGCGGTCCTTGGGGGCATGGTTGGCCGAGACGCGTCCTGCGTCCCACAGTATCCATCCATCGCATCGTCATAAGATCAACATGGACGGGTTTGAAAATCAAAGAAAAGCGGTTTGCACGGAGCATATGTATGTACAGTACATACTCGGTAGTCTAGCACGTTGGACGGATGATAGAAAAATAGAAGCCGTCATAACTGCCATCTCTATACGGAGTACATCAGGATGAACGCGCAATCAACTGAAGGTATGCGTCAAAGCTTTGTCGAGGCAAACGTCTGTAGAATGGCCGTGTGGATTGTCGCGGCCAAGCGCCCCTCGCCCCATTTCCAGCGTAGTCAGGCTTATTAAGACGTCCCCTGAAGTGCCGAATCCGCTGTTTCAACGACGCGGGCTTGCTGCTGATCACGATAATCCGACAACCCTGCTCAACGCCTGCCCTGTGATCCTCGACTCTTGACGTGGACGCCGTTACTCCGTCCTTCGTCTGAAAAAAAAAGCAAAAAAAAAAAAAAAGGAAAAAAGACAGCTCTTGTACGGAGTACAGAGTGTCTATCCATCCAGGAGTGTGCCTCCTGCCTCTCGCTTTAGCTGTTGTCACTCTTATGTTGTCAGTCGCTTCCGTACGGAATAGCATCGTCCGTCGATCTGCGGGTATCGTCCCAAGTTCGCTCCTTTCCGGATATTGGCCCTGTCAGCATTATTATTTTCCCAAGACGATACGCCAAGGAATGGCAGTCTGAGGACAGGCGACGGGTTTCCAAACTGGCTAGAAAGCGAGAAGAATCTTGACATATATTCAGCCATGCCTCCGAAAAAACGGGACGATAACTGGATTGACGTGAGAGAGGGCCCCCTTCAAAAGAAACTGCTTTCTGGCACAGTTGCATATCTAACCCCTTGCGTCTGCACATAATAGGGCCTGCGGGGCGTTGCGTCCTTCGTTGTTGTCACGGGCCACCTCTGCACAGCGTTCGTGCCATACCTTCATTCTCCCGCCCTCTCCGAAAATGGGCCCATGTCCCTCTGGCAGCTTCCCATCCTCAGACTATGTGTCGGTGGCCGAGGAGCCGTCGCCGTCTTCTTCATAATCACCGGATTCGTTAACTCAATAAACCCGGTGAAAAATGCACGCAATAATAACACGCAAGTTGCCCTGACGAACCTGGCCCGGAGCTCCTTTACGCGCTCGGGAAGACTGGTGATTCCAACGAGTATTGCTACGATAATAGGGTGGTTCCTATGTCAAGTTGGAGCGTTTAAGTTGGCTAAGCGGGCTGATGCCGGCTGGATAATGAACGGCGGACATGATCCCGATCCTCTGGGCGAGTCTTTGGTGAAATTATTTAGGTCCCTGACCATCTACTGGAGTTCTGGCGGTGGAGAATATGATGCGACAAACTGGACCTTGGTCTATTTCTTGCAGGGCTCGTTCCGGGTGTATCTGGCGTTGCTGGCTATGACTTTGGTTACTGCGCGATTCTGGAGGATTATCACTGCGTTCCTGTATGCGTACGCCTGGATTACCGGTGATTGTGAGTGTTATTTTTCCTCTAGAACGCGTCAACAGATGCTAACGTTACTATCTAACTCAGACCTGGTTGGTATCAACCTTTATGCGGGTATCTTGCTAGCCCAGCTACAGGTCGACTACGGTTCTCGTGCTACAAATATACTCCCTAAGGTTGTTCCGAGCATTCTCATGATCTTGGGCCTTTTCTTTTGGAGTTTCCCGCAAGAGAATCCCCACTGGGCGCCCTGGTCCAAGATTATGAGGGATTCCTTCGTTGCAGTCACACCACTTTACACCGACACCAGTCGATACTGCGTCTCAATCGGCATCACGTTATTGATGTTGGGCATATTTTTCTCGAAGAACGCCCGCAAGTTTTTCACTTCACCAGTCCTGAACTTCCTCGGCCGGGTATCTTTCCCCGTGTACCTCCTCCACAACACGATCATTCGCACCGTCCTTGTCTTAATGGTTTATGGTCCCAACGTATCCAAAACCCCTGCCACAGACGACAAAGGAAACCCCACCATCGTGAAACGCATCAGTCCGATGAGCTTCCTTTTCGTTCTTCCAGTCTTTTACGCGATTTTATATGTAATTGCCTATCTGTGGACTGTATACGTCGACCCTCTTTGCGCCAAAATGGTGGATGCGATGAAAAATAGAATGTTTGTGGAGGAACAGAAACCGCAGGATAAAGTGGTCCCATTGACGCAAGTTGCATAGAGCCTCTCCGTCGAAGTAGAATAGGGGCAAGATTTCATTCTTTGGACGAATAACGCCTTGGCTGACTCGGGAGTCCTAGCGACTCGTACCTTTTTCGGAATTTATACCTCTAGATATAAACGAAAGATCTTACGGCAGACCTGGCCAGCACCCTGCATAGCACTAGCCATCTTTGTTGCTTCCCCCCAATCACACAGTCAATTCAGGCTTTTATGTCCACCCTGCTCACACACAGCATTTGGGTATAAGCGTATAGAGCATTTACCATCATCTCCTTTCCATATTTCTTTACTTTTGTGTACCTCTTTCCCCTAGTCTCTCCCGCGGATTCATTCAAAGCCAAGACTGCAATCTACTCTCCAATCTTAAGTGCATGGAGGCTGCAAACAATTTCTTGTTTCTATATTTTGTTTTTCTTCAAATGGTCTCTGGGCATTTTTCACTTGGGTTAACCTTTGGGTGTTAATATGTTAAGCGTATTTGTAGGTGTATAACGGGGAAACGGAACTGTCATTGGGCTACACCTATATATTTTATAAATTGCTATAACCTGTGCTTTTGGCCCTAGAATTTTGCCATTTGGCATGATACCGAGCTAGTACATAGAGAGTAATGCAACTGATATGGTGACTGTTTAGACTAATAGAGTGTATCCATTTCATCCAACAAAAGCTGGGTATGAACACGCAAAGAGATAGGAGGGATGACAACATTCTATTCCTTACTCTCACCTTCTCAGGTAATTGTAATACCATAGACAAGATGATTTAAGAATGTGACTAGCCTCCATTAAATGAACAATAGGTTAGAATCTCTAAAGTTACACATGACCGCAGGGAGACAATGATGCCCCAAGAACCAGCTCTCCACAAAGAGTCTTCTCAATGGCAACATTGAAAGGGGGTTACGTAAGTAGAAAAAAAGAAATAGAAGCGTTCACTGAAAGTGTTCAGATCCCGTTAGCCCCCGGAGCATTTTGATCCTTTTTCAGTTCCAGCAACAGCTCCCTAAACCGCTCTTTGCCGGATCCGCTCGCACCGCCTTTCAACCCTTTCCCACTGACATCCACCAGTTTGGCGATCCGCTCCCAACTAGTGCCGCCGGCGGACGTATCTTCGCGGTTTTCAAGGAACTCTTCGGCCTCGGTGCGGGTGCGCTCTTTGGCCTTGTCGGTGCGTTTGTTGTATGATTCGTAGTAGTCGTCGATATCTTCCTGGGCCTTTTTGATGGTCGCAGCTTTGCGTTCGGCAGAGATGGCGGCGCGGTGGGTGAGTTCTTCGTCTCGCTTCGTGCGCCATTCACTGCGTTAAGGGAAAGCGGTTAGTGGGGCATCCATATGGAAGGGGAGGGATGGCTTTGGGTTGTAGGAATGGACAGAGACTGGAGAGGTGTGTCGAAAAGCAAAGGTGACTGTGGTGCACAACGGAATTGCTCACCGAACGGCTTCTGGTTCTTCTTCGGGTTCTTGGTACGAGGAGTATGATGGCTGGAAGCTGTCTGGGCCGGTGATGGTTCCGCCAGGAGCGACTTGCTGTTGAGTGCGAGTGGTTAGCGGAGCGCTGACCGTATTTTTTCAGTCCATACGAAGCCGGGGCCATCTCGATACCTCATTATGTGATTCTAGAGCTGGGAATGAAGACTCGAAGCCCGTGGTGTCTGCCTCAGCATGCTGGATTTCACCTCCACCAAGAAGATCGTCCCCATCATCTTCAACTGTAGGGGATTTGATGTGGTCATTTGCTGAAATAAATTGGTCTGCATCGTCTCCCAGAGCAGCACGTTCGCGAGCTAAGAAGTCTTCACTATCAGCGGCCGGAGCAGCCCCATTGCCGCTGGTTGGCACGGGCTGATCTAAAAGGTAAAGAAGGTTAGAGATGCTGGTCACCACAACAAACAAAGCAGCATATTTCTCATACCTCCTAATTCATCCAGTGAAGGGAACCGGTCGGCCATGATGTGGTTGTAATGAGAGAGAGGTAGGTGGGATATGGAGGATGATAAAGCGTGGCCTGAATAGGAGAACGAACAGGTCTTCTTGGCTGAGCTGTTTCTACAGAGTAGAAGAACCAATTGCTTTCGGATGCTGTGGGGGAATGAAGTAAATGATGATCAAAGGTTGAGAGGTGAATAGATTAACAAAGAGTCTTTGGAAAATGTTTCATCAGTCATGAGGAAGTGAGATGTCATTTGCCGGGAGCTGGCTGACGATGAAGCAGCCCAAGCCGGCCACCGCCCTAAACTGATTTGGTTTCTGCCAGCATTCCTCCGGAGGCGGTGATCGCACTCTCTTCCTCCAATCCGTCAAGGCTGCTCTCAAAGACTGGATGCCTGCAGTCACTCATCTCTCTTCATCTGGATGCTGTTCACCTTTCGATCTTATCTATTTTACCTTATGTTTACTTCCCATAACTAATTCCCATAATATTTTCTTCCCCCCTCCCGACCTTGATTCCTCTCCAGCCAATCCAAACCCTCCTTGGAGCTCCCTTGTTTACGATTCTGGTTCTGCAGAGCGTCCTCGGCCCCTGTCGAGCGTTTTCAGGGTCATAGCCATGGCTTATACGGACGATGCCGTCAAGGCAAAGCTCTCGGCACTCAATGAAACCCAAGAATCCATCGTGACAGTTGCACAATGGGTCATGTTCCATCGGTAATCCACAATTTCGTTGCTGCATCCCCGACTGGAGCTTACTCTTCGTAGGAGACATGCCGATCGCACCGCACAACTTTGGCTAGAGAAATTACGCGAAACAAATGCTTCTAAGAGGCTTAATCTGATATATCTTGCGAACGGTTTGCCTCCCCCGTTGAATTTACGATGAAACGACTTGACTAAACTTTGAGCTGTAGAAGTTGCACAACAATCAAAAGCACGGCGCAAAGAAGATTTTTTGATTGCATTCTCTCCTGTGAGTCAAAGCAGATATTGCCTTTTGCAGTGTTCCGAAGAAATTGACTTGGATGTAGATAATTGCAGATGCGACAGCAACCGCGTTCAAAGGTGCCCCGAACGAAATCCAGCAGAAGTTGCGACGTGTTGTCGAAGTGTGGAGACAACGGAGGATATTCGAGGCTCCGATACAAGATGCTATCGAGGCGCGAGTGGAAGGTAGGCCATACAAGTTGAGCTCGTCCTGATAACGTGCTGACTTCGTGACTCCATCAGAGGTGGATAAGTCCAGAGCCTCCGGGAAGAAGCAGTTGCTCGGCGGTTCGCTATTCTCTAGCTCGACGGGATCTCTTCCACCTGAATTACAGCCATTGGCACCATTACAAATCGCCGTCTCTAAGGCCACTGTATCGTCGAATACTGCAGTATCTTCTGCCAATGTAGAATACGACAAAATGAATGACCCCACAGCAACAATTCCAACGCCACCAGTGCATGCCGCCCGACTCAGCCAACTTCTAAAATCACTAGCCAGCGCTGAAAGTTCTGTTTCGGAGATAATCAAGTCCAGACAAAGCCTGATCGAAGGCCTCGAGAAACTTCTCGACACGAACCGCTCGGCACTGGCGGCTGAAAAGGCACAGCATGAAAAGATATCCGCGCAAAAGGCCGAGACGGAGGATAAAAAACGCGAAGTCGAAGACGCAATAATGCGCGGTCTCGCCGCCGAGGGCACCCAAGGCAACGGCGATGGCAGCTGGATGGGCCCCGCCCAGAGCAGCGGAGACAACGAGCCGGAAGCCCCCGCCGTTGAAGAGTTAACGCCACCGCCTGTGGAAGCACTCACACCTGTGGGATCGCCGAAATTGAATCCAATTCCTGAGGCGGGAAACGACCACGGTGAAGGGCAGCAGCAAGCCGAACAGCCGCCGTTTTTACCCATCGGAGGTCTTCCCGCTCAAGTGACAGGCCAAGATCTGAGCCAGCTCCCCGCAGTGAATCTGCCACTCGTAACCAACCATCCTCCAACTGGACACGAACCACCTGCGAATGGATCTAGCTCCAAAAAGCGTAAGGTCACTCACACCGGTGATGACTTCGCTGCGACCTTTGAAGGCGGTGACGCAATGGCCGACCTGGATGCTGATGTGGCGGAGTTGTTGAGACAGGAAAGTAATAAATATTGAACGAACTATTTCGGGATTGTCCTTGAACGTCTTGTTGGTGACCTGTTGTTTTTCCGTCGCCCATATGTACCCAGGGATATGAACAAAACAATGATGGGTGGGATGTACTATTAGATCAAGGTTCAGTATTTCGACAAATTAGTGAAGGATTCGACAGAATCGCTGGTTGGTTTTGATTGTTCTAATGCGGTCATTCGAACAAATGCCCACGCTGGGTCAGTGAAGCGGGAGGCCGACTGTTCGATTGAAGAAAATCAATGTCTAATATGTGGAATTATAAAACGGTTACATTAGATTGTAGGTAAAGGTGGATCATGCCAGACATTTTGTAGAAAACGATTCACGGCATCATCAGCAGACCTCGTTCTCAAGGATAGCTTCCTTCTCCCACGTCGCCCATGCAATGCTCCACGCGCCGATGCACGAAGTCCTATGTCTCGGGCGTTACCTGGGGGAGTATTTGGTGATGGCGGGGATTGGGGTGCTGAATTGTTACGCTTTGGTTTGACGAGGAGGAGAATGAACATGCCTACGACTAGAAGGAGGAGGAGTAAGAGGATCTTGCGCTTTGTGGTTCGCTTTTGGTATCCGGTGGCCTTCAGATGGAATTTAGTCATACACTCATCGTGAAGAGTGGTTCGGAATAGAGGGATGCTGGTGTTTCTTAACATACCACTGTGAGCTCTCTATCAGCAGCTTTTACATCTACCGTCATTCGCTCGACGTTGTAGTCTATGCGATCAAGCATTGTGCCCTGGTCGATGATCATGGTTTGGAGATCGCGGAATATATCCGATAGTTCAATGATTCCTTTTGCGATATCGTTGATTTCTCGCTCTCGTTGGAGAATTGCAGCATCGTTGGCGCTTCGGCCGAGTTGGCGCTGTTGCTGGGAGGTTTGGAGGAGGGTGGATTGCGAGTAGAACTTGTCGGCGTCGGATTCGAGGAGGGAAGGGTCTGAGTAGGGGTTCTGCTGTTGGAGAATCGGAGTGGAAGAGCGCTCGAGCGGGGAGGAGAGGCCATCAAGGCCGCGGAGTTCTTTTTTGAGAGAGAAACTGGATTAGCAAACGGCCGCCATGGCGCATGGAGACAGCAGAAGCGGGTGGTCTATGCATACTTTTCAGATAAGTGCTTTGCTTCTTCCTAAACCCAGCACTCGCCTCTTGCACCCTCGCAGCCAGCGAAATCTGTAAATTCCTCGCCATCGTCTCTTCTCCGCGGCTCACGTTCCCCGTTTGCCGCGCATCCCGCACCATCATCTCAATCTTCTGGATATTCCGCTGACAATCATGAAACGCCCTCGTAATCTCCTGTGTCAACCGCTCTATCACTCCTTCCTCCTCTTTTCGAACATCTTCGTCCCCAAAGCTCGGTAATACATGCTTCTGGTGCAGTTTGTCAAGTTGAGTGGACTTCTGCGCAATGTCCCGGAGGAGGTCTGTCACTTCGTCCTGAACGTCCAGCCAGCGCGGAGGTAAAAGATCCATCTCTATGATTGCGTCGCCGTCATCCTCGAAGCCGTCGCCGGCGCCCGAGATGAGAACGCGACGCTCTTCGGAGGTGTCATCGTTCCATGAGCTGGTAAAATACCGGGGCTTTTTGGCCGGGTGGTGAGCGAAGGATTGTCGGTAGGAGATGTAACTGGGGAGTCCTCAACGGTCAGCAATAGAATCTGGCTCCGAAAAATATCATGGTTAGGCCCTACAGGTTTGTGCGGTCCCGCCACATGTTCTTCCACTTGTTCCGGAATGGAGGTTGTGTAGACGCTTGTCAGGCAACAGGTATCACAGCCCCAGGGGACTTCTTCTCATTGTTAATTGGGATACGACATTGATTCTTGGTAAATATATATGGAGTAAATATTACTGAAAACAAGAAGGAAAGCTTATTGGAGTTGCGAGGCCCAGTGCTTCTAAGATATTTGTGGGTTGCTGGTTGAGGTCATGAACCTGGCCGAATAACGATGATGACACTATCCTCCTCGGAGCTTACAACACCATTATCTTTAGAAGGTAAATGTTTCCTACCAACATGGAATTAGAAAGCGATTAAAGAACAGTAGCTAAGTTGCTAGATAATCATTCTACTTTCAATTCACAGAGGGACAGTCCCAAAGAAAGGGTCAATAAGTGGCTTTCAATATTGATACACACTGCGGAGGAATGACATACACACGACCCAGGCCTTTTTCCTCCTACACTGAACGTGGAGTACAAACAGGAAAACTATTCCTTCCATCCATCCTCTGATTTGATCCCAAAATGCCTGGCATGGAACCAGCCTTACTGTTGCGCCACGCGCCCTACAAGGCCATTGATCTCTGGTAAACTAATACAATCCGGTCTGCAAGGTTATATCACCACGATCCCGCGGAAAGCATACACTTCTCAAACACCACACCACCCAACTAGAGATCTGAACCTTTTATTATACTGCTTCGTAGGCTTTTGTTCGCTTCTCTCGCGATCTCCATCCTTCTAGTCACTCAAAGACCACCACGAATACATTTTCAAGCCATAAATACAAGCGTCTTCTTTCAATCACAACTGCCTCGAGCAGCAAATTCGAGTGCATCCTGTACAACTTTTCTCGTTTCAGGAGTCATGTGGGGCACGGCGATATCTTCTTCCCTAGCCCACTCTCAGTACGAGTGCTCATCCGGATGCAGCTTAACTATTCCCCATGGCTGAAGTCACAACAGCATTAAGCCGGACATTGGATTCAGTCTTAGACTCACATGTCCTAGGCTCAGTCTCGCCTATGATATTGGAGACAGCCAGGAAGGTCTCTTCTCAAAGCCTCTTTCGCAACACCATGGGCAACAGTCTCATCATGGTGATCAACATGCCCGCAAGGAAGGTTCCCATGCATCAGGGAATGGTGTTTCACAGCTGGATCGTTCCTACAAAAGGAGAGTTTTGATTTATAGACTTGCCTTCCTGGAATATGGCAGTGCTGATCACCTAGCGCTTCGCAGCGTCGACACATCTTTGGAGCAACAATGGAGGTGTTTTTTCCTCCATAGCTGAAGATGACTACTCTGTACGGAGTAGAGGGTATGAACTTCGTTTACTGGAAGACATTGTCCACAGACTTGTTTGTTCAGGCAGCAGTACTTAACCAGTTGTGTATGCTTCCATTATGCTCCTGCATCGCAAGCATGTGGCTCGGCGGGGGTTGATCTGGTCTTCTGAATCCCCTGCAGGCCTTCACACAGGTATTGTTAGTTCAGAGGAGCTGAAAGCGATCTAGTAGCCACTCGACTATATCAGGTTTAGCTGTATGAGTGACGTTGAAATGCCCTGCATGAAAGCACCGGAAGTAAAGAACACATTGCCACAAGTCTTCATGGCTCTATATAAAGATCCTGTGACTCGCGGAGGCCTGATGAGGATCACTCAGTGATTAAAATTTAGGATATTATCATAATAAACAAGTGACGTTTTGCAACCCAACTGGAAGAATTGTTATTTAAACTACGAATAACCAGTATAAGGTTTTACAGAAGAGAAAGTTTCTATACTGCATCCCTAGTGGTGTAGTGGCTAACATCGCTGTCTTTCACACAGCAGCCCTGGGTTCGATTCCCAGCTAGGGAGGTTATTGGAATTATTTTATTTTTATGTTATTTTTTACTTTATATACAAAGTTGTTTTCAATTATATCTACGGAGTACATAGTACGGAGAATGGAGAAATGCCCCTTATCAAAAAGAGGTCAAACATAGTCCCTAGTGGTGTAGTGGCTAACATCGCTGTCTTTCACACAGCAGCCCTGGGTTCGATTCCCAGCTAGGGAGATTCGAAAGAGAGCATTGTACCTTTTTTTTTTGGGGGTCTCAATTGAGTCTTTTGAAAAGGACAACTATCCTTTATAGTAGAGCCTTCCGCATCATGGATCCCATAGGGATCCCTCCTCGGAATTTTATAGGCAATTCGCTTTCTATCTCGTTGTGGAAAGGGAGATGAGCTAGGGAAAAGCGGGCGGGAGAGGTACTGGAGACACGGAGACCAGGCCGCAATATAGTAGGAACTTTTGACTTGATAAGCTGGCTTCAGTCGGGCTTTGTGGAATTTAGCGTGGGAGCACATGAGATTTCAACTTGGATGGGCCTATTCGTACGGAATAGGGGGTTCTTCTTTGCAGAAGCAAGTGAAGAATTCTCAAAACCCATTCAGATCTTGAGCGGGTCTAGCGCTGACTTGACGAAGAATTCTGGAAGTGATTTCCGGGAGCTGATGTGGATACTCATACGACACTGCCTCCCATACTTTCAAGGATGCACCCAAAGCACATTTCGATAGCATGTTCGCTTGTTATTTGCACAAATTCAATGATTCGATCCAAGCCCGTGCTCAACATATCCGGTTTGACCGAGGGTACTTGCTACTTACCTGGCTGCTCTCCATGCCTTTTAATATTGAGCACATTTAGCACGCAGGCCGTCGTCATCCACCTGGAAGCCAACTCCACAAAAAGCCCTCGATATGTTTGGGATCTTGACGACTCCCTTTTGGGGCCGAGAGTCGGTATTTCCCTCTTTTGCCTTTCGGATACGTGTCGAGCCTGCGGGAATGGTCTTGGACTTTCGTCGAAATTTTAATGTCCTGTCTATGACAACGAAATCTTTGACTTCCTCGATTTATTGCAAAACAACGCTGGCTTGCTTAGGAGATCAAATGAAAGGCTGATTGATATGAGCATTTCAGTAATTATGGTGTGCCCAGGATTGCGATTTGCCTTTTAGAAGCTTCAGAAAGGCACCCAGGTCCATGAAGACCTGGCGAGCTTCAACAAACTTGGCTCGGGCTTCTGCGAACTCTTGTGTGAGCCACGTCAGGGCAGCGTTTTCCGTCATCCAAACAGCGGAGTTCGCAACTAAATATTTTCTTTCCCTCTTTTCTTTTCCAAATTAGAGAGGAAAGTATCTGTGCCAAGCAGAGAACGAAGTCCCTAGTGGTGTAGTGGCTAACATCGCTGTCTTTCACACAGCAGCCCTGGGTTCGATTCCCAGCTAGGGAGAAATACTTAACTTCTCTTTTTTTTTCCTCTTTTTGTCCAGTTAGGCTTACTCCTCGCTCTCGATGTTTGGAGCTGTATACGACGAGGCCTCCTGAGATATTTTTAGAAATATTTCTTAAGACAGGCATATTTTTCGGAAAAAGATGCCGGAAGGGCAAATTCGCCCGGGGCAGCTTTTTAGATAGTTACCGCCAACCCGACAAAGTCGGATAGCAGTGATAATAGCATGTTTGGGCTTGGACTATCAGAGAGATCGCTGAACGTGATTGGAGTTTTTACTCTGGGCTTGTGCTGCTGATGCGCCGTTGTCCGGTCGAGAAAAAAATCGCGTCCAATAGTTCTTTAGACATTCTCCTCATTCCCCAAACTGAAGCGAGAAGGAGTACGGAGTAGCACGAAGCCATTTCACTCACAGTGCAGGATGTTGGGCCTCAGCCTGGCCTTCGGGGTTAAAAATTAAAATTTGCAAAGGCGGCTTTCACAAGACAGGGTGGAAAAGGCAAACCCTTGATCCCCACAATCCATACCCAGCTGAGCACACCCATGATGCGTAGCTATGGGGGCCATGTTTCCAGAGTTTGGGATTACATAGCCGCCCTGGGCCATGTGGGCAGCAATACCGCTGCCGACGCACCAAGCTCATGCCAGTCAGCTTGCGCGTTGGACCATGATAGCCAGGGACTACTGGACCGGAATGAACGAATTCTCTGGACACTGTGTCGTTTGAGGAGCGACTTGGTGCCCGCCTGGCGAGTCAGCCTTGGCGGAGGAGTTACAAGTTTTGCAGGGTAGAGTTTGCCATACAAACCAAGGTCGCTCGCAGGGAGCCTTGGGCTAAGTCAACTGGCGAGCTGGGGCGGGGCGGCTTGAGCCCACCAAAGAAAGTTCGCTGTTATTATTTGTTGACGGCCGTTCGATGCTAAATAAACTCACCCTTTCTCCCTCCGTCACACTTCCTCTTCATCCCCCATTTCTTGTCAGGTTTCCACCCAAGACTGCTGTCCCTGTTGTCTGCACATCGTGCACTCTTCTCGTACCAGATCCATCTTCTTCTTTGAGATTCCTTTGTGATTATTTTCTTTTGGCGTTTTCCTAAAATCATAAAATGGTATGTTGCGCTGAGCCCACACATAATGCCCCTCACCCCCGCGAATCGTCCATCCTGGATCCCACAATGGCCGGACAGACTGCTGACCCTTCAATAATATCATGTAGGCTGATTCATTGACCGAAGAACAAGTTTCTGAGTACAAGGAGGCGTTCTCTCTGTTTGTATGTTGGTTCCAGACTCTTAATCGCGACCATGTTACGCGGGGTAAACATTAACACAATCACCTGCTGACTATGATTTCGTGAACAGGACAAAGATGGCGATGGTTAGTCCGTTACAGTACTCCGCGCTTGAAAAAATGATGAAGAACATCCAATGCACTTCGCTGTATCATGTTTGTGTTGATGCCATGATGCTGACTATCCTGGACGGCAACAGGTCAGATCACCACCAAGGAACTCGGAACCGTAATGCGTTCCCTCGGCCAAAACCCTTCCGAATCTGAATTACAGGATATGATCAACGAGGTTGACGCCGATAACAATGGAACCATCGATTTCCCGGGTATGGTTTCCTACTCCATCCTAAGCCTCGCCTTGCTCTTCTGCTCTTCGGCGCGGTTACCACAGCACGATGAATTCTGACCCCTCTGTAGAGTTCCTTACCATGATGGCACGGAAAATGAAGGATACCGATTCCGAAGAAGAGATTCGGGAGGCGTTCAAGGTCTTTGACCGGGATAACAACGGCTTCATCTCCGCCGCAGAGTTGCGCCACGTAATGACCTCCATCGGTGAGAAGTTGACCGATGACGAAGTGGATGAGATGATCCGTGAGGCCGACCAGGATGGTGATGGAAGAATCGACTGTATGCGCCCAGTTCTGCTTGAATGTGATCATGATCGTCCGCGTTATAACTAACCAAAATCTAGATAACGAATTCGTCCAACTTATGATGCAGAAATAAAACGAAAAGGAAAACCAACCAGTGTTCTTCCCTGATTTTCCAAACCAGTTCAAGGCTTCCATCTGGAAAAGTGATTGCACGTCCCGTGCTGATTTCTTCCCACCCCTTATTCCCCCATTTCATGATTGCTAGTTAAACCTGTAGCAACCCATAGTTACTTCTGTTGGAGCGCCGGTGGCATCCGCATCTCCCAGTGGTTCTTGCAGGAAAGTTGAAACGCTCAAGGTGTTCTCGTGCCGGATCTTGTTCTTCCATCCAAACAGAAATTTGATAAAGCATGGCGACGTTATCTTACTCTACCAGAATCATATTTCGTGGATATGAGAGGTCTTTTGTTATACTTGTTAACCATGGGCTTTTTGTTCCTACTATCGTATGATATTTCATTCTCGGGGTTTCCCGGCTATGTTTTCAGCCACAGTCCAGTCGCCCGTCATTCATAGACAAAGCTAAGGATTAGACAATAGTGTAGTTTTACAGATTGTGCGCGACAGATGTAAGTTGACTAAATACCCAAGTAGCTTTGTTACCTTTGTATAATCAAACAGGGACCCTGGTGGCTCCCCGATATATATATATATATATAGTTTTAGCTGGTAGGTCTCAGCCATAACCTTATCACGACTACGGGAGTCCCCGGTCAAATTATGCCTATGTATAGTACCAATTGCCGTACGCTCTTATGATGATGAATCCTGAAGTTATGAACTGAGTGATGTCACCCAAAGAGAGCTTAATACTAAATATATCTCATTTTTGTTTCACCGATTGAACCGCAACAGCTCCATATACTGCCTCGCCAAATCCGCACCCGCGATCCCAGTGTTCGTCACACCCGCGTCCATGGTCGTGAGCCTCTTCGTCCCTCTCTGCCTAGCTTTATTCGTCTCCGTCAACAAACCAGGTACACGAATCGCTTCCTTAGCGCCAGGCACAGCAAAACGACCCCAAAATTCCCGAATCAGCTTTTCGCCCACAACCCAATCTTCCTCAGTGAGGAGCTCTTCCTCGCCATCCCCAGCCCCACCGGCAATCCCTAAAAACCCGTCTTCCACCCCCAATGCCGCCGATGTCGCTGGTTCTGACACCGGAAGATACCAGTCGCTGTCTTTCGGCGTAACTGTCTGTCCCGGCCCGCGATATTCGATCTCGACAATACACCCACGAACTCGCTGCACGGGCTGGGTCTGTCGTAGATCGCCGATGCGTATGCGGAAGTCTCCGACCTCGAAGATGGTCCCGCCTGTGACGAGCATGGTGTGTCTGTGACACCAGAGGGGTTCGCATGCGCGAAGAGTAATTGCGAGAAAGGAGTTGAATGATGCCGGGTCTAGAGTCATCATTGTCCATGAGGAGGAGGAGGAGGAGCGAGAGACTTGTGGGGCATCTTCTTCCTTTACTAGTCGGTTTGATGAGCTTGGTTGGGGCGGAATTTGCTGTTGGGTGGGATGGGCGTGGATGCCTGCTTGGGAGTGGTGCGGTTGGGAGGGTGCCCAAGGGTCAGGACTTGGCCGGTCTGAGATGTAGACGAATCCATGCGACTGGAAGTGGCTGAGGGAAAGAAAGTGCATGAAACGGGGTTGAAGTTGCGGCAGTGGGGCGTATGCTGATGGTGGCAGGCAAGAGGGCGTGTCCCTTAGCAATTTGTGCTCAAGGGCCCATCGGCCAGTTGGCACGGCATTGTAAGCTGCTCGTAACTGGTTGGCTACTGTTCCTAGAGCAGTAGACGAGTTTGGATTTGCCGGGATGAAGAAGAGTCTGTGGGGATGTCAGCAATTGAAGTTAATTTATGCCTTCCTTGGGAGCTGGGGTACACTTACCCGGTAACGGGCATCTTGAATCGATCAATGTCCCATCGATCAGTGATAAGCTGTAATATTCAGGCAATCAGCTCGCCGAGGGTGAATAGCTGAACACCAACCAAATACAAGTTGCCAGGATAGAATAACACTCTAGAACTTGTCAATGTTAAGAAAAGTTGCAGATATCCGCAAATATCATTATTTCACTTTTTCCACTGCACGCTCAACAAGGGTATCAATGTTTAATCCAGATTACTATCAGCAAACATCCTTCAACAGCTTTAATATTTTTGTAAGGACCCGTCAAAGAGAGGATCGACGGATAACTCCTCAGGCGCAAACGGTAGGATATATCTGAAATAAGAAAAATGATACAGAAGATGCCGCTGTATTCACCAATATCTTTACAATATCAAACAGTGTGTCCCTTTGCAGGGCTGGAGGTCACTCCCCATCAAGTCATCGCTGCTTTTAGCATCACGTAATCACGACCTGTGCGGCTTTGAACCTTTCTGAGATCCCGCCCTGGACTTCCTGGAAGCACGGATTGATTGCGCATGGTATGCACACTTCTTAAAGCTGAGCGTCATCCCCGTTTTGTGCGAAGATATTACGAGTGTATAGTCTCTCGGTGTCGCCAATGATGCCTTCTCCACCCCCTTCTTCGCATATTTGGTCGCTGATGGATAGTGCCGGTGCCCACGAAAAATATGGACTCGGCACGGCCATAGCAACAGAGAGAATAAGCCTTACAACATTCGAATCAAGCAAAGTGCAAATACGATTGCCGTGTTGTGGAAGGATAACTTGTTCAGCTACCGTTTTTCGTCTAGCCGGCGACCGCTGGCTTTTCACTGTTCCGCTCTCCCTTCCTGACAGGAAAACCTGGATCTTTCACTATACCCCGGAATTTCCGCCAACTTACTAGAGTATAGATTTTGAGTTTGAGCATAGGACATTCAGATCCTATTTCTGGAATGACCTACAAGAGAGCAGAATTTTCGTACTTGATGTACCGCGTTCTCCGGTCGGTGTTATTAGTTGGGGCCCCTGAACAACTATAAGAAAGTTACGGTGTCGAGTATTCACTGTCGTTTTGCTTATTGAGGAGATACACATAGAATCCGATTTAAAGACTGATTTTACCATTGACGCTGCCATTTGATAAAATCAGAAGATACACCTGGCAACACCGTGTATCAAGAGGATACATCCCGACTCGGACTGCAAATCTAATCATTTCACCATAATCAATAATATGTAAAGGTATGCAAGTCTTCTATTTGCTTATTACGCGTCTATATGGGGGGAAGTGGTAGTAGGCATGAAGAATTAAATAACACTTCATTAACTAGGACGGAATTCACTGCTGCTTAAGACACTGCCTTGCCACTCTCGCTCTTTTGCATATAAACAATCCATAAATGCTGTTGACAAAAGACTTAAACTGTGGACTTAACGTTTCCCCAAATGCCAGTTTCAGTGTTATCAAGATTTTCGAACAAAGGTTATGACCGTTTGACTCTTGCTGCGCATCTGGTTTTCCCTATCATTTGTGTCATCCTTGATAGCTTCTTTATAGGTACCCATTATGCATAGATCATGCTCCCGTCGCTCGCAGTCGGCGCCTCTTTTATTTTCCCTTAAGCCTTTGAACCTGGCAGCCGATGCAGTCGTAAACGACCCTGACAATGCTAGTCTTTTATCAAAACTGCAGGACGGCCGGCGAGTCTTAGGTGTCCACGTCAATATGCGTTCGAAATGTCCATATGTCTTGGTGACGATCGGAAGTGGCGATGCCGATATTCTGGTGAAATGACCTAACATTGCACCGATCCAGTGCTCATTCAGTGCCAACTGGGACACTGGCGTTATCATGCTTCGCGATACCTCGATTGACAGCAGCACCGAGACTTTCGGTGCACATGCTATGCCGTTTGGAGATGGTCGTCACCGCCTACTTGTGGTTGCATGTGGGTTTAATTCAAGTTTTAGAATGGGTAGCAGACGCCGCGGTGCGGTTGAATTTGAGATGGTATGGCATGATTATGTGGAGGAGGCGATGGCGAGAGTCATTGCCAACAAGCCCAGGGAAAGAATCAAGGAGCACGGTGGCGGCCTCAGGTCACCTTGGCCCGACCCGAGCGGGCGAGCGCGAGCTATTAGGTACGTAAAAATTAAACAGTTGGGGGCTGGTAGCTTTGGCCACGTGTTTAAAGCTATAAATGTCGACACCGGCCAACTTATGGCAATAAAACAATTGAAAGCAAGTACCCAAGTAACGGGGAGGCCGATGGTCTTGAATGATGAACACTACCAATCGTTCCAGCGTGAATGTCAGGCTCTCGAGCAGTTGCGACATGTAAGTGCGCCTTAACCTTGTCATGAGTGAACTTGGGAAACTTAAGCTGATCATGTGGCAGAAACATATTGTCAAGTACCTTGGCTCTCAGGGATTGGGCGGACCACAAGCGAGGTTATTTATGGGCTTGAATGATGGTGACCTACGATCATTAATATTGGTGCACAAGACCAAGCCTAAGAACATTTATCAGATATTTGCTTGCACAGATTCTCCAGGGGAAGTCTTAACATCGACAACAATTTCGATCTGCTCCTCCTCAAGAAGCGTTGAACACTCTCTCTACTTCGAGAAGTTCCACTCGAGCTTTCCGAAGTCGACGTCACCGAGTTGGCTTGACCACCTCGCCTGTAAAGGTGTGATCCATCGGGACCTCACCCCGTCAAACATCTTTTACAAACTTCGGCCTGATGGCCTGATACTCTTCCAAATCACAGACTTTGGACTTGTAGGCTCAGTTGGTTCAGCTAGAAATGTCTGGGGCACTTTGTCGTACACAGCACCCGAAACGGTGGCAGGGAAGCCGCAGACGTGCAAGGTAGACATATGGGCGTTTTTCGTCACGTTAATGTGGGTGTTGGACGTGAACGGATTTCGAGAGCAGGAGGTCCAGGTGAAGTGGGCAGAAGAGGCGCAACGGTTGGTGGCATTGGGATACATGAGCCCATTGTTGACAAGGGTATGAGAAATGGCGGCCCCCAGTCCGCTGCAGAGGGCTTCGGCGGCACAGATGCTTGTCAAGCTATCTAACGGCAAGGGACTTACGACTCCCGCCTGCCTGCTCAAGCCGATACGCATCTACGATCCATGGAATTCGCGTATTGTTGGCTTGCCATAAGCCATTCGCTTGAGGGTCGCGCTCGTGTTATGCTGGATCATGCAAGGAAAAAGACAATCGGTTTTCCCGACCTGTTGGGAGAAGGTGCATTAGCTGAATACTCTAAAAGCTTGTGTGGGTCTCCAGCTGACAAGAAACATTTCCAGACCGCTCCTTTGAAAGTCTAGGTGTATATTATTCTATTTATTACGGAGTCCTCCATTTATTTATGACCTAAGGAGTACCTATGTATGTGGTGAGATTTCCCGGCTGGCAAAGTCTATTGGAGAAGGATCGGAAAGGTGACACGGGCTGTGCGCATCCGACAAAGTTGCAAGTGCTCCATCAACCCTAAATGAATTCCCTGGGGGATAACCAAGAGAGACAAGCTTATGGATCTGCGAATGGTATTATAAAAAAGACATGGTGAATTACAAATGTGTTCACTTGGCGGTTTCATAAATGGTAATCATCACCAGGCGGTGGGCGGGTTTGCATTTGTCAATCTCCCTTCTGAGTTAAATGCATAGTTAGTCTTGTCTTACGTGTTGACATAAATGGACCCATCTGCATCGCCAGAAGCATCATGGACAGGCCAGGAAGTCGGCCTGGCAAGGCATCTTCCACCCCTACCTCGGTAAAGGCGGAATTGCGATCGAATTAGCTCGATGATCTGAAGGCTTGTAGCCAAACTTTGCTTGTTGCTTGGTTCATTGGCCCTTGGCGATTGTGGACATGAGCGGAACGAGATGGTCGCCGGCCGGGGTCGGTCGCTCGCTCTCAACAGCGCCCATTCGTACAATGATGAAACGCACGGCACGACAGGCATTATCAATCTGATAATCTGAATCCAGGCCAGCCTTTGCGACCGATCAAGCAGCACAATCTAATCTGATGGGCCAGGCGAGTTATCTGATCCGCAGTTGGTGGCGTGATTAGCGCGGAAACGTGGAGATAATTTCCTTGTTGGGGCAAAATTCGGCGGCGGGGCTTGGCGCTCTCGGGTGGCACGACGCGGTTCGATCAGATAAGGGGCGCACGTTCGGGTGTTGTGCTGCCCGGTAATTTACGGCTTGGTACGGCGCTGGCCGGGGGCGGTTGAAGAGGGTTGTTGGAGCGTCTGCAGGTATTAGGTGATTGAAATAGCTCGATTTGGGCATGGAAGGGTCAACAACCCTGCCATTAGCCTGATCGACAGGGCATATTTGGGCCCTGCTGTAATATCGAAACTGCCTTCGTCGTGTGTGGATGTGGCGCAACTTGACGTCTTCGTTCTGGAAGCATGGTTCTGTGAGGGTTTGCGGTAATCGCAATACGGTCGGTTGCGTAATTTTCGCTGGCAGGACTGGGTCAACGACTGGCTGTGGCCCAGCATGCTCATTCCGGCCATCTCCTGGTTGCTTCTTTGCCTCCCGATTCCCCATCGAAAAAAAAAAATCAGGCCGAGGACCCAGATCTCTCCAGGTTTGCTACTCTGCAAAAATGCAAGCAATCATCTCATAGCCATGGTTGCTCTCTCGGATCGTCTCTTCCTCTCCTAAGTCTATGCTAGTTTTCCTATCTTTTAAACAACCCCCGCAATCACCTCTGGATTTGTTGGAGCGGACTGTCGCAATTCAACCGGTCATCTGCCGAAGTCAGTCTCACTCAGATCCTGCCCTCATACAAATTAATTCACGCGTTGCTTTGTAACACATTGGGCTCGACAATCAGTGAGTTCTTCATTCTCAATTCTAAACCCCATTGAGTACTTTGTCTCATCTCCAATCTTCCTCAGTTCAGTCTCTTGTACAAAGTATATGAATTAAAAAATCTAACAATTTTTTTTTTGCTGGCCACAGTTGAACCTACGGTCTTTTTTCCCTGGGCCGATCATGATGTTGTCAACTACTACAAGTGCTGCACGCACAGATAAGAACGGCATTCCTCTTTCGGTCACATCTCACCCAGACAATCCTATCCCTGAAGAACCTAGCGCCGTGCCTCATCTGACACTCCTCCATCCCGGTCCCTTGAAATCCACAGAATCCCAGTCATCACTGCCATCGCTGGTAACTGGCTCTGAGGTATCGAGTGATTCAGAGGCCCCATCTACTCCAGCAACCGAACTACTTACTGAAGATATTGCTGAGAGAATCGATAAATTGAATGTCCAGCCTAAAGAATCGTCTCCGTTGAAACCCGTCACCCACAGACGACGTGCTTCGACCGTTCTGATTTCTCAAAATTCTGAAGACGTCCAGAAGATCTTGGGCAATGTCGGCGCTGGGACTACGCGGGTTGAGAAACTCTGCTGTGGAGGGGGATGTTGCAAATTACAACCCCTGAGACAACCTGCCTCTTCATCTGTTAAGCGACCGATTTTACCACCGAAGAATAAGGCTTTCGAAAGTCTTCAACTGTATTTGGGCACTCTATCCCATGACAGCGAGCTCACAAACATCTGTGAATTACCCGAGAAGACCGTCTCATTTGCTCCGGTCCCTGTAGACTTGGTCGATCAGAGATTGGGTCCTTCCGATCATCCACCGTCATTTGTCCAACCGCACCCTCCTTACGAGGTCTACCGCGCACCACTTCATTATTCCAGAGAGCTGACCAAACCCGGTGCTGAGAAACGAACGTTCCACTTTGATATAGATATCACAGACTACCCTGCCGAAGGCGGGGATGTCGATTTCGTAGTTGGTGGAGCGATTGGCGTCTGCCCTAAGAATGCCGATGACGTTGTCGACGACATTTTCAACTCTCTGGGTGTCCCAAGAACCGTTCGAGATAAAAAGGTGATGCTTCACACGACGAAAGGACGATGGCCCACCGTCTGGGGCGATGATAAACCTAGGGAATTGGTAACTACTCGACGAGAGCTGGTATCCTGGTGCACAGATTTCCAGAGCTACCCGCCAACGAAGCCCTTATTGCGGTTGCTAGCGGAATATGCATCAAATCGCGATGAAAAGAAAATTCTGATGTACCTCTGCTCCGCTCAGGGTCAGGGCTCATTCTGTGATCTTCGCACGAGCCAGTATATCACCGTTTCTCAGCTGCTGCATGCATTTCCTTCTTCTCAACCCCCTTTAGATTTCCTTCTCTCCGTCCTTAATCCTCTTATGCCACGCTTCTATTCACTCTCGCAAGACCCACTGCTTTCGCAGACCGCTGATGGTGGTAATGATCGCCGCCTCGTCGAGATCGCTGTTACTGTTCATGACTGCCCTGATTGGCAAGGTGCAAAGCGTACAGGTGTTGGGTCCGGCTTCTTGCAACGGATTGCCCAAAAGGTGATTGAGGCCGAGGAAGCCGGTGTCGATGCACGATCTCTTGGTCTTCATATACCGATGTTTCGAGGTCTCATGGCTAATCCGCTCGCTCGAGAGTTTGTTCTAGACGGTCCCATGCTATTGATTGGTGCTGGTGTTGGTGTGGCCCCATTTCGTGGGTTCGTCCAGCGACGTCTAAAATCTGCCAACTGCGCAAATAAAGTCTGGGTTCTTCAAGGGATCCGGGATTCATTAGTGGACGAGCTCTATTCTGGCGAGTGGGGCGTGCACGAGGAGACAGTCAAGAGAGTTGTTGAAAGTAGGCGTGGCGAAGGACGCTATGTCCAAGAGGAAGTGCGCAACCAGGCCGATCTTGTCTGGTATGTGATCAATGCGTTGGATGGGCGTGTCTTTGTCTGTGGCAGCAGTAAAGGCATGGGCGAGGGTGTGGAAGCCGCACTGATAGATGTTGCTATGGCGAAGGGCAATTTAAATCAGCAGGAGGCCCAGCAGTTTTGGGATAACAAAAAGAGTGCCGGGCAATATATTGCCGTATGTGTTCATGAGAGATTTTATGTTTTTTCCCCAGGACACAAGCTGACTTAAATGAAATAATAGGAAACCTGGTAACCAGACTATGCTTTCTATTAATATTCACCTCATACCTATTCCTACCCAACTGGTTATGGGGACCATCATTCTTATTGATATCAACTACCTACTCAACCCCTCGCCATCTGGAGTTATACCCCCTAATTCACACTTCTCGTTAGCTGTGGATTATTCGGAATTGCGCTTCGCCTTTTGGAGCCTCACCCTAGGTCTGATATATTCTGCAATTTCCCTTGTCTCCTATAGTTTCTGCAGTTCTCCGCAATGTACTGCTCCATTCATCTCCCTATTCTTAGCCTGTTCACAATCATGGGGTTATTGCTTTCTCTCTTTGCATTATAAACCAAAAAAATAGATTTCTCTATCATATAAGATCCTCGCCTAATCTGTGAGGGTTGTTCCTACTTTATATATCCCAATGTTTCGCCTCAAAGATTTTTGTTGTCCTACTCTGGTTTATTTTCTTTGTCTCTTCATTCACACAATGCTAGGGGGTTCTGATAGACAGGGCATTGCAGTGGTTCATTTCAGGTGTCTGGAACACTACGTTATTTCGTCGGGGCAATAGTACTTATTAAAAGATATTTTGAAAAATACATTTCAACCCCAATATTGGGGAACTTATCTATCTCATGGATGTTACTATTAGACGTAGATCATCATCTCTTTCCTTTACCCTTCTTCTTCTTCGCACCTCCACCCTGGCTCTTTTGCTGTACCACCCCGGCGGTCGGTGCAGCACTCTCCTCTCCCTTTTCATTCACAATGCCACCTTGAGTCCGATCAGCAGCTCTCTGCTTTCCTTTCTTGCCCTTTGGCCGATATGTCGAGCGATCGCGCAATGGCAGCCAACGCTCCGGATCAGGCTTCTTCTCTGGGTCATAATCCTTTGGCAGCCGAGATCTACGTATCCGTTTCTTTTTGGGCGCGGCCTGTTTCTGTTTGTCCTCGGTCGCCTTGCGTTTGCGAGATGCCGTGATTGTCTCGGTGCAAATGGGAGGAATGCCTGCGGCTTCGAGAATGGCGACATCCACGCCGGAGATCAGGTTTTGGATCGGTGTGAGGGTGGAGGTCTCGTTTTGGATCTTCGACGGGGAGAATGCGGCGTGGGATGCGACGTAGCCGGCTGTTGCGATCCGATCTGTCGGCTCGATGGAGTGTACGGCATCAAATATCTCGGCGGCGGTGCGCAGGTTCGAGAAATCGTGAGATTGAAGAAGAGACGATGCTGCGGCTCGGAGAAGGGATAGTGGCTGTTCGTGGCGCGGCCGTTGGCGCCAATATGTTGCGGCTTTGGCGAGCTCGATGTTTACTTGCCTCTTCCGGCCTTGTAGTTTATAGATAGCGACGAGGACACTGATGAGGCCCGGATTGTATCGGACCTCCTGGTCTGATTCTGATATCGATTCGTCCAGCCGTTTTAAGAAAGATTCTAGAACGGATACCGCAGAGCTCACATTGCCTTCACCGATATATAATTGGGTAGCAAGGAGAACAAGGCCGACATCTTGGGGTCGCTTTTCTAATAGGGAGAGCGTTTGTTTTATGGAGGCTCGCCCGCCCTTGTTTTGAGTATGGGCAGCCACATTGAAAATGGAAAGGGAATTAACATCTTTTGACAGTGTCGCTGACTTTTGTTGAGATAGTACTTTTGAAGTTGATCTTGCAACTCCATCGTACTTGTGAACAAGAAGCTCGATGGTGTTTGAGTTTTGTTTCAAGGTTCCGCTTTGGTATCTGAATAGTCTATCGCTATCCGCAGGTTGTGGTGTTTCGTGGAACAACTTATGCTGTAAATAGGGATTAGAATCGCGGTGGGTAGCGAGGATGAGATTGTTTTGGGCAATCTGCTTTGTAGACATCTCGGATATCCTTCAAGTCAGGTCAGCAAAAAGTGGTATAATGCGGCTAGCGGAGACGTACTCGGAGATATTGATCTCTTCAAGCAGTGATTCTACTCCCTCGAGCTTCCCCTGCCGTAGAGCAATATACAATTCTTGGGTTGCAATAGGTAATAATTCAGCTCTCTTATCCTCTGGCGACAGTTCCTCGGAAGATTTGCAAAGCTCTATCAAACCTGGCGGTTAGCTTTGGGGAGAGAAATGCAGCAGTGGGTGGACAAACCTTTCGCTCTTCTAAGAAGTTGTCGAGCCTTTTCAAGTTCCCCAGTCGCAATATACTCACAAGCAATATTGTAAGTTGTCTCAAATACTTCCAGGTCGTCAGCGCCTGGTTTAATTCCTTGCGCCAACTTCGCGTGTCCAGCCCAGCGTTGCTGCGCGTCCACGGCTGTCATATTAATTCGAAGATCAGTATGTTCCTGCGCGGAGGCGCTTTGGTCTCTATACAGCTCCTCATATAAATCTTTTGCCCGCTGAAAACGCTCATCTCGGTATGCCTGAGCGAAAGTCAACCGTGAGTCTCAACCTACGAAGAGATGGATACATACCGTTTGGGCCTCCACATGTTTTGCTCCTCGTCCTCTACCCGAAGCGGCGGCCACCTCTATAGCTTTATCAAGTTTTCCGGTTTTATACAAGGCGTATGCCCATTCCAACGACGCCCGTTGCTGCAGCGCATCTCCTCCATCCTCGATAACTTTTATCGCTTCTTCGAAGCGGTCCTGTTTGAGCAACGCTACCGTTTTAACGTGTCGCGCTTCAAGGTCGGTTTTGGATCTTTTTAAGATCGCATTGCAAGTTTTGATTATTTCATCATGATCATCAATTGAACTTTGCTGTAGCAGAACGCTTAAGCTCTGCAACGCGGCCATGTGGAAGGGAGGGGAGGTCAGACTATCGGGTTTGCTCGCGAGTTTCAAGGATGACGGCTAGGTAGGTAGTAAGATAGTCGGCTACACCAACGCAAGATAAGAACTATCAACCCTTCTGGGATGTATTGGTGTGTTGTCTTCCTCCGACAAGGGACTCAATGGCGGCTTGCATCAGCGTGATGTCGACAGCGGATCGAGAATGACAGCATCCCAAGCCCAAAGCCCTAAGCCCTAGCCTACCCGTTTAGGCGGAGAAAGTAACCTGAAGACTTCACCCCTTGAACTGTCCTGCATCACCCATCATCTCTCTCTACTTGCCGCAGAGCAAATGTGACCAGCAGCGAAGCATCCGAATATACCGGTGTGCCTACAGCTCCAGCCCATTCGCCCATCCGAACAACACACCGTGACACCAACTCCCCTGAGATTACATCAACACGGAGCACTGTCAGCGAGAAGTGGCATGTCAAATAGCGGGGTGCACTTCAAATGACAGCTCCGGCTCATTATTTGTTGTGCATGGGGTCTCTTCCGCCGTTATTTGAGCAAGTCGAATATCTTCCAGCTTTTACAAAGGTTCATGCTAGCAGCACAGCTTCCGTCCGCCACACGAAGACACAGACCGGGCATTCGACTCCCATGTATATAAAATGTCAAACAGATATGCTTGCATCTAGCAAGCGATAGTCCTATTATGCTCAGACAAGGTATCTACGGCTGATTCCCGACTCTTCTTTCATCCGATGGAATGAGGCGGCCGGATGCCCCAGGTTATGCCCAACGCTTGTCACTAGGGTGTGATGGGCAGAAATAGTAGCCAAGCTTGCCATCGATGCGCAGGGATGGCTTAAAACCGAAGGATTAGAGGTTGCCGTTGTTTTCGCTATATAAAAAGGTTGACAGACTATATACCCTTCAATAACAATTCAAAATGAGCAAAACTTGTACCTCAAAAGACTTACAAGCTCCTGCCAACCTGCTGCCGTCGCTACCACAGAAGCTAGGATTCCCCCGTTCAACTACTTGTGACGCTGTCTACTATAGACATCTGGAGGCTCTCTCACAGAGTATCTATCGCATGACAAGTTCCGGACCGGCTTCCTTGACCTTCAATTCGAGAAGACATTGAACCGACTGAGAAACTCAAAAGGCATCCTCAGGAGCGGAATGTTTTCCTTTACTAAAGAAGCACCTTTGGATGAAACATGTGAAAGCTAAGGGTTATTTGAAGTGGGATATGTAATCATTTCTGTCTGCAGTAGTTAAACTCGCTGACAGCTGCGTTTGACTGAACAGGCGATGATTGATCTCTAGTAATCGTTTGTTGAGATGACTGCCAAGAAGGACTCGCTTCTTTTAGATCCCCATTCTCTCCAACGGACGAGAGAAGGCAAATTGTCGGCGTGGAGAGTCTCCGAGGTCTCCAAGGTAACCTCTTCATAGGCCCTGCTATAATTTGGGTATAACACCACCTACCCCAAGATTTTTCTCCGCACAATACTGGCTTTCCTATATTCAGGTTTTGCGATCCGCGTTTTCGAAAGCAAAATCGAGAGTCGAGGATCGAGACTAGGCTCTCTGACAAATTCAAAGCTTATCGCCTAAAGCCCGAGAGTATATCTGAGTCTTACGCTAGATCATGCAAATAGTCCACACTTTACTAGCTTTGTAACGGACCCAGCTCGATCCCTCTCTCGACACGCATTCTTCGGAGAAGTTGGAATGAACCATCTCCCAAATCAACGGTGATAACGAAACTCTCTCTAAGTCCGAATTCGATGAGGATCACTCCTTACAGTGATGCACCTGCCCTTGATGGGACTGAAACACGCCGCTATCCGTGTCTTACAACCTGTCAAAAAGGATTTCGAGGGAGACATGAATGCGGACCTTGATGGTCTCTGTGGAGAATCAGCCTTTTAGAGCTTGTCCTCTGTGGAGAAGCTGAGGCATTGTGCTGAGCCACTGCAGCCGCAGAGAATTCGAATCTCCGATCCGCTCCTTTAGGGCTCGCTGGAGCCTTTCGCGCGAGGAAAAGCTGCACGAACATAGACACGCATTATATAAATACCATTAATGGCCAACGACTTCTTTCCACGATTATGCAACAAAGAATTTTTAAGCCAGCCTGCCCGGAGTTGTCGGCAGTCTCAGTTATCGTGAGTTCCTGGGTTTCCCATGGTTTCAGTGGCATTCTCTTGTGTGGGGCTTTATGCCTTGTAGTTCAAAGTCCGTGCCTACGACCTAAGTTAACCTCCGTCCTATGCTTATCAATCTGTCAAAAAAGCCAAACTCTACGGAGTAGGTTAAAATAAAATTTTCAGGGACTCCATGCAAAGTGGGCCCGTCGGTCCAATGCCGGAGAATTCGCAGCGATGGAAATTTAATCTTACTCCTGTCCACGCCTCTTGCGCATATGGCTCTCTCCACGCGCTGCGGCAAGTCCAAGAGGAAGAGATGGAAACAGAGTGAACGCCCACTCGAGATACGCAGACAAACGAAGGCTGCTATCTTTGAGCGGTGGCTTGAAGGGACTGGGATTGGCTGTATACCAAAATTCTGCCCTTTATGCGTGACTCAATTCCTAGGAAATGATGGCAAGTAACGGGCAAAACCTAGATCTTTATCCCCATCTTTTAGCACCTGAGAGCGGAGGCGCATGGCCCTAACCAAATTTCCTTCCCCCCCCCCCCCCGCGCCCGGATGCCTGTATGGAGCGCTCAGTATAGCGAACAAATGTCATTGCTCTCTAATTAGGTAGTTAACTAGCCTTCACGTTAGCCATGAGCATTCCAGTGTTACGTTTTGTATTTGTAGGATTGTCATAGCTACAGTGCTGTAGTAGTAATGGAACTATGACCACGAGGTATTGCATTTTACTTACTCAGCTTAGATCCGATGTCTCCTCCGACCTTCGCAGGGAGTATGCATTCACAGCTTCTTGGCTGGCCAACGGTTCCATACGATCTCCACTCAATGCCGCGCCAGCGTGACGCGCAAATCCTCGAGGTTGGGTGGACTAGCTTTGATCTCGAAACCATAACTTGTTGCGCCGAGGTTTCTGCATAGGGTAGCCGATGCTAGCTGACCCCAGGGTTCCCGTTAGGTAACCGTTAACGTACTTGCGTGAAACGCCAGCAACTTTCAACTAGATGCACCCTTGGTTCTCCTCGTTACTTGCCACGGAGCTGAAGGAGAGCCGCCAAACGTCCCATAGGCCAAGATTCAGTGTATGGCCGAGCATATGGTTTCGAACGTTGGGGGCTTTGAACGATTCTTTTACACGGAGCTGTGGACATCCGTATTCCCAGAGCTTGATGTTTGGGGCCTGCCGTAAAAAGCCAAGTTTATTTATCTCGCAGGACGAAATTAAGGTCTGTGGCACGTTAGCAGTTTTTGAAAAACTTGGTTCGATGACTGTGGAGAACCATGAACCATCGCTTTCCAGTGGCTATGTGTAGGAACGGGTTCAACCTTTTTCAGCTTTGTTTGGTCTGCTGGGGAAACGCTGTGCTGTTGCTTTTCTGTTTTGATGCTTAGCATAAAGGACCACCTCTGTTGATGGTGGAATACAAAAGTATGCTTAAACCGAAAAAAAGAGGGCTGTCCGGTAATTAGTTTGTCAGTTCGGAAATCAATGGAGATCCGCATGAACAGTCGCATGCTGTTGTCCACTGAAGGGGACTATCATCACAACAACCATTCGTAAGTCAATGGAAATCTCAGGTTTTGAGGCTGTTCAACATTTTCCATTATCGAGATCTTAAGCCCTAAACAAATACATCCCTGCACTTTTAAAAGACCCCAGCTAGTCAGCCCCTGGCGAACGGTCTAGCTCCCTCCTTAAAACACGCTGAACACTCGTGGCAGATCAAGTCGAGGTTGAGCAACAAAGGAGAAGGGAGACGGGGCCTTCTGATGAGTTTCATGTTGAGAAGAAAAAGAACTATGCTTCTCTGGACTGACTTTAAGGGGTGCCTGCTATGGTAGTTAGTTAATCAGACCACTTCGGTACGAAGAACTAAGTGATTCCGGCACCACTCGGCCCTTTGTAAATTCCTGCAAGCTCCCGCGCCCCGTCGAGACATGTAAGTTCCCCGGATCCCCTCCTCTTCCCCAGTTTTATGCATGCAAAAGAACAAAAGAAAGAAATGGAAAGTGTGAAACGAGCTCTCAAATTGCAGAACGAGGGGCATCACAGAGGGCCTCCTTTTTTTTTTTTTTTTTTTTTTTTTTTTTGAGGAGTCTGCCAAAAGCTTGATTTGATACTTTGTAAAGGGAGGATTTCCATCTATGATAAGGTAGACGCGAAAGGTCTGTGCATATGCTATGTAGTTCCTCTCTCTCTGTGTTACGAAGCTCGACCTAGAGTGCCCAATGAATATGATGTGCAGATGAATAACTAAGTTGTCGACCCCAGAGACGGGAAATGACTTGCGCAGGGAGCTGACAGATCGTCACACGGCTCCTGGCACATTTCGGAAACACAAAATACCCTGCTATTCGAGGGAAATAAGACGAGGGTGGCTTTCGAGCAGACATCGTGAACTTTTGATCTAGACCTATGGCGACACAGCGTTTAACAAGGAAATCTCCCTTCCATTTCCTGCTTTTCGGCCCTGCTTCCTATGGAATGTGGGAGTGTGCGAGAGGGAGAGTGTGTGTCTCTGCCTTGGGAAAGAGAAGATGATAAAAACAAAGCAGCACCATGGGAAGAGTCGCGCATGCCACCTGGCAAAATTGCATGGATTGTGTGTCAGACCACGTTGGCCCATGGTGGTTTGATGGCGTCTTGATCCAAAAGCAGGTGTCCATGTCTCCGGAGAGGATGCAAACCAGGTCGCCCGTGTGATCAAGGCGATTGCCGTGGTCTTCGAATCTCCCGCCGCCACATTCTTTGCTTTTTTCTGGTCCGCTTTCTTTACTTATCACCTTTGGTTATTGTGTCACATCTGCTCTCTGGCTCGCTCGGGAGCGGTGGCACCGTCTAGGCCTTTAGCGCGAGTCCGGTGTTTGGTCGAAGCGTGGGGTGGGTGAAAGGGAAGCAACTTTTGACGGAAGATTATCGAGATCACGTTGCAGCTAGAGAGCGAAGTCATGAAGTTCGTTGGCTGGCTCTTTCACCCTTCGTTTCCATACAGCCCGTCGGCAATGCAAGTCGAGCGGGATCTGCACTTGTTTGCTACGAAAAAAGACTTTGCCTAGATCAGTTGTTTTCGCCTGTCTGCAGCCGCTGCAAAGCAAGCCAAAAGTCAATGATTGCTCATAGGCTCGAATTCTGAAGACCACATGGCATTCTTTGGCATGGTTAATGACTTGTCTCATGGCGTAAACTTCGGGATGATCAAGTGCCTTCCAAAATCTGATAAATATTTTTTTTTTTTTTTTTTTTTTCCCAAAAAAACGCTCTTTTGTTATCCAAGCTATGCACAGCGCCAAACAACTATCCCGAAAAGACCAGGCAGACTGTCATGTTGCGTTTTTTTCTTCCCTTTTCTTTTCTTTTTTTTTTTTTTTTTTTGTAATCTGTCAAGATTTTTGTAGGAAAAGATGATGCGTAAACCGCTTGTGAGACATCCAAACAGGCAGAAGGAGCCAAATGCATGGGGCATAAGCGAGAAATTCAAAAGCCGGTACGGAGTACAGAAAGAAGTTCACAACACCAATACGCCACGCTATGGCACATCAACACTTCGAGATCTTGTACAGATTTGTCTCTTTGCATATTCTTCCGTTCCCTCCCAAGCTTCTCGTCGAGCTGTAAATGTTCTCGTCGACCTCGACAAGTTATAAAACGAAAACCGCAATTGTGGACGGACAAATCCGTCGGACGAATTCAAGAGAAAATGTGTCCGTCCCCTCCCCCCGGTCTAAGTTTTCAAATAACATCAAATAAGACATCGTAGAAAGAAAATAGAGGAACAAGAAAAAAGATTGAAAATACAATATTTTCAGCCGAAAAGTGCCATTTCCCAGAACCGATAATGCCTGACAAAGCCAAAAGAAAAAAAGGAAAAAGAGAAAAAAAAAAAGGATAAAAAGACATCGCTTGGAGAACGAAGATTAAGTTTAAATAGGATGGCGATGTCTCGTTCAACGACGAGATGGTGACGTGTCATAATCAGGGTCGTCCTCACTCATTGAAGAACTCGGACGCATCCGGTCGGGGTCGGGAATGCGGCCTTGGTTCCGCAGTGCTGGGAGATGCCGGCGCCTTGCGTTAATGAACCAGTTGCTAATCTACGCATGCCCATTCAGCCTCGATGAAAATCCACACAGAAAGCGGGGAATTTTGCAAGGCAGACAGCACTCACCTGGCTAATGGTTAATCCTGTACGAGTCATGAACATCTGCTTATCCTGTTCACTCGGATACGGATGGTCGAGATGTTCATAGAACCAGGCCCGCAAGATATCTGTTGTGGGTTTTGGCAAATTTCCCCTTCGCTTCTTACTCTTAGAATCAGCGGTATCTCCAAGTGGGTCATATTTTGTCGGCTTGGTGTCCATATATGCACTGTGAGCGGTGCTTTCAAGGTCGCCACCATAATATCCTTGATATGATCCATGTATTGGACTATTATATGCTGATGGATAAGGACCTGCCGTTCCATGCGTCATTGAGCTTAAAGTACTCGAGCGAGAGGAAGCGTAGCTTGCCCGTTCGGCATCATAAGCCCGTTCGTAGCCTCTGTCATCATGTCTTCCGACGGGTGATGGAATTTGTCCGGGTAGGGCTTCATAATTGCGTAGAGGTGGAAGAAAGTTCCTGGGATCACTGGGATCGAGGTGACGACTGCTGCTGCGCGAAGAAGGCGTCAATGGCGCTCTATCGTCATAGTACTGCCGTTCCTGTGGCAGATGGTGGCTGTGGTATCGCGATTGTCCCTCTAGGTAGGCGTTTTGCCTCATCAACGAGCTGTCGTAGTCCTGACCCCGACCAACTGACCCGGGGTGATGTCGAGTCCCCGACCCTCGTCTCGACGGTGGTTCCTGCCGGGATACGGGCGGCAGACGGCTGCTATGCTGGTGATGGGGGTGTTGCTGCTGGTGCGAGCCGGTTTGCAGATGATATGAAGCGGAATCTATTTCGTCATGGAGATAATCAGGTAGGAGCTGGAGTTATATGGGACACCGAACATCAGCGATGGAGAGACTCATTTTGACGGAAATGATATACAATGTAGATATATATATGATCAAAGAGAACTTATATTTACCTCTCGGAACGAAGGTAGTTTTGGAGTATGTCCAGGGGAGTGCCCCGATGAGTACGACACAGCCATATCCTTTGATTGCTCAGGCGGTGATGGTGGGCGGGGCATATGGAGGTTTCAACGATCGTCAGAGGGCTCTTGTGGAATTGATATATAAAGCAAAGCAGCAAAAGGAATGATAAAAAGGGTGGGATGACAGCCGGAGGCGATGGTGACGACAATTTCCACGTTCCACCGGTCACTCTCTTAATACCTCAGGTAGGAATTTGGTAGCCATTCAACAGCACGGATTCATGGTGGTCGCGATGGCGCCAGCAGCTCTTCCTCACTGACAAGTACGTCAACTGGTCCAGATCTAAACTGCAGCGAGGGATAGGTATTGGGCAGTACAGAGAGACAGGAGGGGAAGAGTATAATTTGCCGAGTGACTAGTTGTTCCTTTCCTGTGGACTGACTGAGCGATCAAGGTCGGGAGCAGCAAGCCCGAAGTCACCGAACAGGCTCAAGGGCTAATAATAGGAACGGGAGGCGGAGAGAAAAGGAAAGAAGAGGAAAGCAAAGAAAAATAAAAGGATGCGAAAAGATGCGAAAGGGAAAAAAAAAAATAAAAATAAAAATAAAAATAAAAAAACTGAAAAGAAGGAATGTTGAAGATGCAACGACGACAACAGATGAGAGGGGATCGAACAGCTAAGGGAAAAGAAGAGGTGACGGAATTTGAGCCTGGGTGTGTTTTGGCAGAGAAATACATCGTATTAGATATGCATAACCTGCAGCTTGCTCCCTTTCGACATGGGCCACGCAGTCTCGCCGTCAGAGAGATCCGAATCAGAACGACGATCATCCTGTGGACCGGGGGTGGTATGGAATGGGGGGGTGGCCACCACTGAACACACGCCCCTCCAGAAGTTCAGGATCCTCAAAGTGGAGAGAGGGCGAACGAAGGCGGGCTTTGCGTCCAAAGGATACCGGAGAGTGCTTTAAGGTTGAGGGTGACAGGATGGTTGGGGCCCAGGGATCTGACAATGGATGAAGCGGATTGCAAACAAGTGATGTGCAAGGTGGCGTCTGCCATGCGGTACGGAGTCAGGACATGAGACGCAAGTCTGTTCCAAAACTCCATGCTGAGATTGGCGCTAGCAGTTGGCGGTTTAGCGACGATTTCAAAGTCAAGAGGACCAAGAAAAGTTTTCTCTAAATAAAAAGACGCCCCAAGAGGTCCCGCTTCTTGGGCCATTAACCTAGATTATTATGATGTATCATGGATAGACGTTGCCCGTTGGTGTTCCTGTCGTCGCCTCTTCCATCGCTCCGCCGCGAACAGGCGGATAATGTCAACTTACGGAGAGGGACTGACCCAAAATGGGTCTCTTATCGTCTTGCAAAAGCCCGAAGTTCACCGAGAAAACGGCTCCATCGGCACTTTTCCATCTCTCAGTCCCTTAATTTTGCGACCCGGTCTCCATATCGTCTTCTCCGGGCCCCGGGAGCAGTGAAAGAGCAAGCACAAGAGTAATAATGGACGAAAGGGAAAAAACAATAATAACACTTGTAACTACAAAGAGATCCAAGACCCTTCAGTAACCAAAACCAGCCCGACCTCAAAAGCGCCAATGGATCTCGGCGCGCCACTGCTACCAGGCCGCTCCATTGGCCAATATTCCCTCTTTTCTTCCCGATTAGTTAGCGATGCCCGGGATGATAACGTCAACTACTTTCTTCCCCCTCCTTGACAGTTGAGCAGTGCGTGGAACAGGGCACAGCCTCCATTGAGGGTCATCGCCGACACCACTTTTTTTGGCTTTTGGAAGAGCCAACGATGTAACTTTGGTAATAGCCTGTGGTTGGAGGATCCGTCGAGAGTCCAAGAGTCAATGACCCGTGGACTTTGCAACCTTCGGACTCTGGGAGGAGATCCAAGCAACAGTCGCCCAAACCACGGAAACCAAGCCCAAAAACGGGAAAAGAACAACAGCAGCCACAGGCGGCGAACCAATCGATCAGCATCCGAGACTCTGTGATTCCTCTTACTCGTGGGAAGGGGTTTGGGAAAACATATCATAAGAATCTACGGAGTACTCCGTACACCATAAACCATCATCACGGGAATCCATGAATCGTTACCCATCTTGACTGGCGTGCCGTTTTGCATGATTCTTGACAAGATCGACGTGTATCTTCTGGTTTAGAAATTTGGTTCCACAGGCTTGACTAGATCTTTGCGCCATCAGCCAATGACTTCGGTCACTTAAGATTGAACGGCGTTTGGCGTATCTTCGGCCGAAGCACAGACACCTAGAAAGCCGCTCTTCGATCTCTTGAACCATCATGTACAAAAGGCAGATTGGCCAATAAGCATGTGTACCTGCTTGGAAAAAGGTTTCTGCACCAACTAGATTGACAAGTTAGTTAATGGTGCAGGCCTTTTGGACTTGCATGGTAAGATCTGCCGTGCTGCCTGTCATCCTTTTAATCGCCATGCCCAGACCTTGGACATTACGTACATGTGCAACGGAACAGAGTACTTGAGCGAGGAAATGCGCTCGCACTTTGTGGCATCAGCTGCAGACAAATTGCAAACAAAGCGCACTGCAGCTAGGATTTGAAGAGATGATTGATATCTATGATGTCTTTGATATGAAGAGCCGTTTGTTGTGTGGTCGTACATTTGTTTGAACTCGCACGAAAGAGTTACATGAAGCGCCAGCTCTGACATGCGAGTGTGGAGGGTGCACAGGTGCCGACGCTCCCTGTCACTCGATCTTATCGGCGGCACGAACCCGAAGCCAAGCTGCTTTGTCGGGGTCCTCAAATTCTAATGAGGGCTGCAGCCAATATATCTTCCGCAGCAGTAGATTCTGTGCAAAATGACAAAGCCCAGAGGTCCCATAAACTCATCCTTGATTGGGCAGTGTACCCATACTCCCGAATAAGTTGCTTTTAAAAAAAGAAACCAGGGTAAACGAAAAGCTATGTTGGGACTAGATAGATGTGGTGTCACAAATCCCCTATGGTTCACGATAATTGTCTTTGGTGTGACCATTCGAGCCCCTTAGCAAAATACTGGTAAGGCAGCCAGTGCTTGCAGACACTGACCACATCCCCCAGAAAGCCCTTGAAATTCGTCAGGCATCAAATTTGCTCACTAGCTTTTTGATCTCTTTCATCCCTTTTTTTCGTCCTCTCACTGTGTTGCAACTTTGCCAGTCCGAGGATAGCGGATATCCTTGTCGATCCGGTTGAAATAAAAGTGCATACTAATATAACAATGACGGGTGCTTCCTTGTCCACCCACCAAACTGTGCATTGTCCCCAACCTGAGACATGGCTCAAACTTCTCCCGAAGTACATCTCAAACTGCGTTTGGATCCCGCTCTTTAGTGAGTTCTGACACTCGCTGGGAAGGGTTCTGGTAACAACTGGGTATTTTCAAAATTCGCATCAGACCAGCCCGTTGTCGTAACGAAAGGAGTGGCTTGTTTGGTTCCTTGTTTTATTTGCTGCAATTCCATGAAATGTACGGAGTAGCTCACTGTGTATGTTCATTCATCTTGTTCCGTAACTAAAACAAAGCTTGGAGGTCTCTCCGCCATCAAATTCCGCTGTGGACACTCTCAGCTTCTCCGAATCGACAGGCATTGTTGCCCCTCGTTGCTGAATGCAACTCTGGCAACTTTGCTGCCACGAGGCAAACCGTGCCAAGAGGATAAGGCGCCTTAGCGAGGAGCTGGGATGGGTGTTGGGGGCAAGCTCGCTGTCAGATCTCGCTAGCGTCGACTCCAAACCAGTCTCGTTCACAACATCCGTCGAACTGAAACAATTTTGGTCTCCACTTGGGTTGATTAGCGGAAATTGGAACAGTGTTCTGGCTGCTTCTCGGCTCACACTTCCGGGATCTCTTTTCTTGCCCTTTTGTGTTGTCGCATGCGATGCTTTACTCGATTCAAAAGAATATAGAAGTTGACAACAATGCGATACTTAAAAGCAGTAGCTAATCAGCATGGCACACGCATCCGTGGAGAAACGTATGAAGACCACGAGCACGCGATCCAATTGCCCCCTGAAATTCGAGAGCATAACCGGCCGTTCCGGACCTCGGAGGACTCTTCGTCTACGCGCAAAGCAGCCAACCGGCTGTCACGCATTCGCTAGCGGGTGATGGTTAAAGAGGGACAGCTAACTAAAGCTGAGACCAACCCCGCCGAGCAAATGACGCCGGCATATTCACTTCTCCCTTCAACAGCATTTTCAGGGCCTCGACCGCCCCATCCGTCGTCTTCGGGAGAAAATATCGCCTTCGTAATGCTTTTTTCTGTCGCGTTGTCTCCAGTGAACACTCCGATGTCTGCCCTTGTAGCTCAGTCGGTAGAGCATGAGGCTTTTATGTGTAACCGTATGAAGCAAAACCTCAGGGTCCAGAGTTCGAGCCTCTGCAAGGGCGCGTAGCCTTTTTCTCTTACCTTTCTCTTTATTTTTGTTTATATACATATATATATGTATTTTTGGAAGATACAGTCGTGGTTTTCGTTGCTCAAACTATCAAATACCGTATGGACAGAAGTCAAAAGTCCCAATATCAAGAAACCCGTGACGAAAGAAAGCTTAACTAGTTCCTTAGCGTTAGGCGGGTAAAAGAATGTCGATTGCAGCGATGAAGATCAGAGGAAGAGAAACGCCGAGAAAAGCCAATGCATAGATACCCGCACCAAGCACGCTTTTTTGGGGGGAGCGGCGTCCAGCTCGCTTCAGGGTAACTCTTCTTTATGGGTTTCCCTTGGGTTTCCGCCCCTTAATCCTCCTCATCATTTCCGCTCCGCTCTCCGAAAAGGTCCCCCTTACTCTTCCATGCCATTTCTCCTACTTTCCCCTAGAATTCCCTGTTAACCATCCTTCCAACCTCTCCTTTATCTCTCTTAAATATTTCCCGTGCTCACCCCTACGAGTCTCTCCTACTTCCCCCTTGTGGGCTCCGTCCCCCATACGAAGCCGCCTCGATGGCGCCCGATCTGCTCTCCTTTTTGAATCAAACATCATATGTCTTGGCCATGCAGATCATTTGTTTGTATCAATACCCCAAGTGGTGTGTGAAATGAAACTCTGAATCTGTTCATCCTTTAGCAAGAATAGCTCCGACAGAATGCTGCCTGGGTACCTATAGTCATGTCCGTAAATATCATATTTGACTATCATATCTGACGCTCCTCAGAGATAAACTTGCAAGCTGTAACAAATAAGTTACGGGCAAATGTAAAAATAGCACATTCCACCGTGACCAATTTCTCGGCGAGAGTCCTGTGATATTCACATGATTGGACAAAGCTTCTGTTGAAAAATTTTGTGATAGTTCCATAATTTAAAAAGAGCAACACCATTCCTATCTTTAGGAGAAGATACTTCTGGATGGCGCATACGACATCCCTCCTGTTGGAGGAGCTGTGACAACTGGTCATTCTGATGAATGGCAACCAACAATTGCCACCTGACACGTTCGATATGGCAAAATTGTAAGGTTGAAAGTTTTGAACCTTGTAAGATTTAGGAGCAAGCGATGCTGACTTACTTATGGGTCTAGCCATGTGCAGTAAGTTATCAACAAAAAGTAGAACCAACCTGTGATGTTTTGCAAATAAATATAGAGGCATTTTTTCAATGCATATATCCATTAATGGGGTATTAAAATTGAACCAGGGGATGGGCCGCTGTGTCGCGGTGGGAGACCATGACAATACAACGCAATCTATGATCTTGTTTGCTTCCACAAGTGACAAGACACTGGAGCTTGCGGCGGAACGATCATTACGTTGCACTGGACATCAGCCCCGCTCCGTGCACTTGAGATTTATCCGCAGTAACTCCCAGTTGCCAATATGACTGCCCGAAACATTGTAATGATGGGATAAAGGCCAGCGATTAACATCTTGCAGAGAGTACAACGGTTCTGGCAGCAACTTGGTGGTATGATCGCGTCTCGAACTCAAGTATATACCATGGAAATTTGATTCCTCTCTATTGCAACTCGGCTCCCTGCCTGTTGATGCAGTTTCATTCCAATGCCGCTGGGATCTGCAAAGCTACAAGGACTGCTAACTTCTTTTCCTTCAGGCGACATTTAAGTGAGCTCCAAAGTGTCCATTTCTCGTCGCTCAGGTCTTTCCGGCTCGTCCACCACTCGTGATTGAGAGCTCCAGCGTTTCATTCCAACATTCGACGCTGCCCCTAAAGGTATCCCTTGGAATAGAAATCTTGGATGGCATTGTGATAAAGGAACGAATATATTCTGTGGCGTGGAAAGGACAGGCCGCCCGTGCTCAGAAATCTCAAGCAGAAAGCTTATCCTCGGCGGTGCAGACATTTCCATAGAGTGTCCGGTGATTTTCTAGCCGTAGTCAGGCATTGTGGGAATTGAAAAGGGACACTATTTGCGTTCAAGCAAAGCGCTATATACCCACAAGCCCTGAGCCCCCTCTCGGAATGAACAGCTTGTAAATAGCGTTCCTAATGAATCCAGCTTCGCGATGGAGTAACGGTCGAAGACATAGTCCACCAGGTCGAAACTTTTTCTCAGCAAATGGAAAATCAATAAAAACGCGGTCGATGGATATCATAAGGCTTGAAAGTGCTTTGGTAAGATGTGAACTCGTTGAGGACGCACGATGCCTTGGGATGGGGTAGTTGCCCCTGACCTCATGGATGCGCACGTTGCCGGACGGACCATGTGGCAGTGCAGCGACGGTGGTTTGTGGGAAAGCTACCCCTGGTGTCTGGAAAGTTTCCACAACCCGGAGTCTTTGGTTTGGGTGTCGCTCACCAGTAGATAATACGAAGGCCCCACGTCAGCAGGGTAATCTCACGCAGCACCAGCTGAGAGAGAAGGGTGTTGAAGAAAACCTCGGAATCGGAGCCATTCCCTGCAACCCCGTTTGCATGCAGGGAGGTGCCCTTGAAAGAGCCTGGTAAGGCCGAGCGTCGTGGACGCGAACCAGCCACAGCAGTTTGGCACAAAGACTGGGCGGGCGGCTCTTCGGATTGGCCTGTGGAACCCCATGCCTGCGCCACAACCCCACCACCCATACGTCATTTTGTGTATTTTTACGGCTGCGTTTCGTTTCGCGCGCTCGAGCTGATGCTGCCGTCAACCTGTTCGTCGCAGCGCCATTATTATTCACTTCTCCCTTGACCGTATATATATACCAATCTTCAGCCCCTCAATCCCGCTCACAATCTTTTCTTCCTTCTGTTTGCCACCTATCGGCTTTCTATCCTTTTGAACCGTAGCAAAAATGGGTGTAAGTATTCAGCATCTCGATTCTTTTTTCTCACGCAAAAGTTACCCCGCCATCGTCGCCCCGCATTCACTTTTTATCGCCAAACTTGCTATCTTCCCGTCGAATGTGGCGACAAAGTTCACTAACAGGCAGACTTCTTCTTACAAAAACTACAGCTCGCCTCAAAATTAGCTGCTTCCAGTGGCGCTCCGCCCGCGTCATATCCTGGCGGTCCTCCTGCACCACTCCAGGCAGGCCAACAGCCCAGACCAGCATACGTAAGTCAGAATTGTTCGAAACGACCATAGCAGTCTGTGGCAGAGGGACACAGCCGTTCCATCCCCGTATTCCGATGGCTGACAACTGACTGCTGGCGCCCTTCAGCCCGGACAGCAACAGTACCAAGCGTACCCAGGAGGTGGACAACCAGCCCAGCAAGGCCCACCCGCTGCATCAGTAAGCAAATCACGTTTTCTTAGCTGCTCCAACCCCCATGTGACGCGCCTATCAATCTGGCTGCAACTTCGTCCCATCGACCACCATCCATCCTCTCAAATTTTCCCCAAATCCTTGGCCTTTGTCTATTTTTCCATTTGCTTGTTTTTCATCGTCCGCTGGCCCTCCATATCTTCCGACAATTGTCTCGGCTTTATCCGCTTTCAAACTCGACCAGCCATCATGAGTGGTCCATTTGGCCAACGGTATTATCATGGACAGCCATACCAAAATCCAGGTCAACCACCCTACCCAAATGCTGCAACCTCGCAGCCGCCACCCCAGCACCAGGGCCAATATGCACGTCCCGCTGCCCCTCCTACACCTTCGACAGCCGCCCCATACCCGGGTTCCTCTCAGTCAACTTATCCCCAGGGCCATCAACAGCCGCCTCCCCAGCACATGAGCCCGGCACCGATGCAAGGCACTCCGCAACCTCAACACCAGCAGGGTTATCAGCAAGCGCCTTCCTACGGACAGCAACCTGCCTATGGCTATCAGCAACCTTCTTATGGGCATCAGCAATCACAATATGAACAGCAGCAATATGGAAGGCCTCCCCAGCAACCCCCCTATGGACAACCTTATCAGCAGCAGCAACCACTTCCCTATTACGTTCGTCCCATATTCTGAAAATTTACTTGATGCTCTGTGTTGATATTAGCATTGTTCTAACTTATTATAATTAATCAGGGCCAACAGCAACCACCCCAGGGGCAATACCCCCCTCCACAGGGCTATCCACCACAAGGCCAAGGACATCCACCGCAAGGCTCACCTTATCCCGGTGCGCCTCAGTATGGAGCCCCTCCAGCCCCTCCAGCCCAACCCCCGACTCCCCAACAGCTCGGCGCTTATAAACAGTTACTCCTGAATACGATCAACGAAAAGGGTCTGCAAAACATGTACCCACCTAACTCACCGGTCCTCGATCAGATTGTTTCCAGAATTACCAACCAGATCGACCAGCTCTGCACTGCGTGGCGTGTTCCGCGAGAGGTCGGACAAGACATCGTGAAGCTGGCTTTGTTCGATGTTATTTTATACATCGACGATAGCGGCTCTATGCAGTTTGAGGAGAATGGGGAGCGTATCAAGGATCTCAAACTCATCCTCTCTCGTGTTGCTTATGCCGCTTCCCTGTTCGATGATGACGGTATTCAAGTCCGCTTCATGAATTCTAACGAGCAAGGAGATGGCATTCGAAGCGAAGCGCAGGTTGAGGCCCTCATTCAGCGTATACAGTTCAAGGGTTTGACTCCGATGGGAACTAGTTTGAGGAATAAAGTCTTGGAACCTTTGGTTGTTGGGCCAGCTCGCGCCGGCCAACTTAGGAAGCCCGTTCTTATCGTCACCATCACCGACGGACAGCCTGCTGGGGAACCACAAGGTGCAGTATTTGATGCTATCCGCTATGCCAGCTCTGAATTGCAGAACAATCCTCGTTATGGTCGTGGAGCAGTCTCTTTCCAGTTTGCTCAAGTGGGAAATGATCTAAAGGCCCGAGAATTCCTTTCAAAACTTGATGAAGAGCCTGGCATTGGAGAATTGGTTGACTGCACCTCCAGTAAGTACCCAACCATATTTCTGCTAGCAAATCGAATACGCCCAGCAATCCATTAACGAGTCGAATAGATTTTGAGGTAGAACAAGATGAAATGTCGCGCGCTAATCCTCCTGTTGACTTGACTCCAGATCTCTGGGTAAGTATCATCCAATTCATAGGCTTGAATGCGACTGTCCCCCGCTAATGTTGCGATTCAGCTCGCCAAGATGATTCTCGGCGCAATCGACTCATCTTATGATACGAGGGACGAGAAGGCAAGCCGTCCAGGTGCGCCGCCCCAAGGACAATATGGCGCTCCACCACCAGGCCAATATGGAGCTCCTCCACCGCAGCAAGCTTATGCTCCTTATTCACCACAGGGTGGTTATGGACAACAACAGCAACCACCGCAGCCTCAACAAGGTTATGGCCGGCCCCCTCAGGGCGGCTATTCAACTCAAGGGGGATACGGCGGCCCACCTCCACCACAGAGATACTAGATTCGTGTTTTGAGCCCCTTAACCATAACACTTCTGCGAAGACTCATATTCGCGTCTCTAGTATCCATGGTTCTTGACTCCATACCATCGCCGTCATCCTTTAATGACTTTGCAATGACCTTCATATTTACCATGTTTGTAATTGTGTTTTCCCCTTATCCTTGTCACATTAGCTAGCTACTTTGTGGGTTGACTCAACAAAATGGTATGATCATTCATATGGGGTAACTGAGGAATGCAGCCAACAGTCCGGATTGCCGCTGAACATAAAAAGTTTGTTCTCAACTCAGAATTGAGGTGCATTATGCTTCGGCCGGGACTTAATCATCAAGAGCTGTTTCCAACATATTATCGTAGTACTATCTAGAAATGGCATATATTTGTTGGTATATATGCTCGAAAAGGGATGATCCCTAAAATACAACACAATCCTCGCAGAAAATTTCACCCAGCCAAGTTCCGGCTCCTCTTGGTAGCAGCAAGTGCCCAGTGAAGATCATACTAGTTCAAATTCCGTGCACTATGCTCTACTATTAACCGGCTCGTATTTTGCAACCGGCCAGCCATTGATATATTCCAGGTAGCTCCATCCCATATAAGCGTCCTACAAATTATTAGAAACATCGATGTAAATATGGCCCTACGATCCAGCTTACCGTATGGCGGAGACCGACGCTGGTATTGACTTCACAAGGGAGGAAAATTGTTAGCCTAGCTGACTTTGGAACAGTGCATCCAGCAGAGGTATGAAAGGAAAGGCTTACGGAAATGGTAATACAGAATATCTTGTGAACGGTCTGATAGCACTCCCAACCCGCCAGGTGCGTATACTTTTTTGTTGTGGTTCGAGCCATATACAACGTGTCCGCCCCCGGATGTTAATGGCTTACCGTTCTTGTCTGTGAATGGGCCTCGTGCGTTCTTCGAGCGACCTACTCGGATGGAGTATCTGCCATTTTCCCCTTCGTGTCAGCATGATCAATACCAAGCGGGAACGTAGATGGATTTACTGCAGATTTTTTTAATCAAGGGAAAGGTGGGTGTTGCTTGCATACTCCTTTCCATCTTCGGGAAGATGTTTTGGGTCAAAGTGACAGCATTTGCCATGACTGAACCAAAAATAGTACCATCCATCTCTATAGGTCATGAACCCGCCCTCTTCATCATTAGGTTTTACATCTTCAGGCTTGGTAGCGAGACGTGTCGCGTCGATATGTTCTGGATCTTTGAGGGAGAGGATGTCACTGCTCAGAGGGATCTGCCACATGCCCGAAAAGAAGCTGCCAAAGATCAGGTACGCCTGCTCATCTTTTGGATCAATGAATACATGCGGATCGATAGCATTGGCCTCTTTAAAAGGGTACTTTTGCGAGCCAGGACCCGTGCCAGTTTGAATGATTGCCCCGTGGTCTTTCCAGGCGCCGGATCTGAGCTCCTTAGACGTAGCTATTCCAATGGCACTGTCGTTGCTGCCACGATGACTGACTGTGTAGAAGCAGTAGAAAGTGTTGTCTTTTGCAATGATGGCTGGGGCCCAAGGTCTTGTTCGGTTTTGCTTGGGGATTATGCTGGGTCCCGTTAAGACGGGTCCCATGTCTTCCCACGGGCCGTCGAGGGTGTTTGACTTGGAAAATGGTACGCCAATACCTCCCTTGAAGAGGTAATAGAAACCCCTATGTTGGATGATGTTCGGGTCATGGGCGACTAGAGAACTGTTGTGAGCCAAAGGATATGCAGGTTGGGGAGAAAATTCGGCAGGAAGTGCTGCGGTAGAACAGGATAATGCTGCTGTTAGCAGTAGCGCGAAGAAGGTCCGGAACATGACACAAGGAGAGACTGGGTGTAAGAAGAACTGTTTTCTCGGAAATAGCGGTGTAGAGATTAAACCCATATGGTGCGTAAAATGTAGGGAATATAAAATAGTGCTCCGTATTCCAGATTGTATTCTCTGAAATTTAAAAACGGGGTCAGACATCAGCATTGCACTCATAATTCGCTCCCTAGATATATCAAGTCCTATGAAGCACTGCCGTGAAGGCAGTGTTCGCCTGGAATTCCCTCAAATTGAGCATAAACAGGATTTGACCTTGGGCATAGCAACGCAAGACCAACATTTCGCAACAGCAATGAAGCAATCCAATTGATGCTCTTTTCCCAGAAATGTTGATCTTATTCATACAACACGTCCTAAACAGGCTCATTCGTGTCGTGTTGTGGCTGTGAAAGAGAGCATCAAATCAGCGATGATTTGGAGGGAGAGTGGAACCTGATTAAAAGTCCCATCAGATCAGCTCAGATGACATCACTAGCTATGATCATCCTTCTATTCTCAGCTGCGTCAGTATGCCCATGCTTGCTGGTGTTGGGCCCATCATCCTACTTGCTATCCTCAAGGTTGGAAGTTCCATACGAAATATGGAGTACTCCGTACGGTGAGCGGAAAAGGGTCCAACGGGGGCATCCGCCAAGCCGGCAGGTGACGCTTGAGTTGGCTAACTCAGGACGTGGTTGGTTAAAGCAGCCCCTAAGTCCTTTTCAGTCTTCCGCCTGGAACGGGCCCCCGGAGATATGGGCGAAACCTATTTCCGATGCCCAAACCACAGGGCCTTCTGCTATACCCCAAATCGCGTTTTCAATGCTGAGCGATAATGGCATTTCATTTTCTATCAATTAATTAACACGGGCCACCCAAGATTGATCCCAACGAGGTTGTACCTTCTTAGCCCCCCCCAGCCCTATTGATCGCTTAGGTGTTACACGAATACCTGGGCCTTCTGTTGCGCGTGGCGAAACGCGTGTCTTTTACAGTGCGATGAAGTTGGAGATTGCCTAAGGGTCTGCCCGGGGTATGATTTCCCACCTCTCAACAGTTATCCACCGGCGGTGCGATCTATTAGCACCATCCTCGAATACCTAGGTAAGACTCACGTTGCTTTCATCTTTCTATGATTCTATCCGGCCCCAACATTGGAAGCGGACTTCATGACGGTGAATCCAACCGAAGAGTTCGTGATAACTATGAGCTAGCATGTGTCCGAACGTTATCCCTTCATGCGTACACCTGTGCCTTTGACTCCTTTTTAGGTGTAATAATCAAATTACACTTAGCAGTTTTCATCGTTGATTGACATTTTGCATTTTTGGCTTGATGATGATGGGATGTGACGAAAATTTTTACGTGGAAATAGCACCCAAGGTTCAAGCGTACAGACGAGGGAGGCTGTATGTTCTTGCGGATTGTCTTGTTGTGGGCTGATAGCGACATCGGGATCGCGAAGTAAGAATTGCTGCATCCCTAATGGGTCAAGAGGACCGACACCAGGAGTTCATGTCCATGCCATGAAGACTCTAGAAGTTTGTCAAGGAACCGTGTAACACTTTGATTGTTACGGAGTACTTCGTATTGATTTCTGGGCTTTTGTTTTCTTGACGGGCATTGAAAAGGTCTGGCTCTTTCATGCGTGGCAGATCTGTCTATAGCCTCAAAGGGAATAATCGGCGATGTGGGTTGCCGGCGCTCTATAATTGGTGGCATTTCACGTCCTATGTTACATTTCTGCACAATTTATTTATGTATTATAGGGTGTTGTTTGCAAGGAGCGACCGAATTTGCGTTCTTTGTCTAGCCCCGATGCGCCTCCTCAACATGCATATCGGGCGGTCAAGAAACACTGCGCTCCCATGCACGGGAGGAATGGGATCCCGAAGATTTAACATGAGGCCTAACCTGTCCCATGCCATAAAAGTAGTTTGTCTACTCTTTACTTTTGCTTGACCTGTTCATTCCTCCTGAGCTTTTGGCTGTTTCATCAACCGCCAGTATGTTTCAAACATCTCCCAACCAGCTCTTAGGTCTCGGCGCCCTAGGCCTGACTCTTCTTTGGGGTGTGGCATTTTTGAATGGCATGTTTGACAATTTGGACACTGTTTTTGAAACTGGGCTTTTCCCCGACGGACGCGTCCTCCGTACAGTATACAGCCATAATTGGCTTATAGACAACCGCCTCACGCTCCTCACTGCCTTTTATGATCTTCTCACCAATAGCTTGTCTACTGGACCACGACTCCTCTTCTTTGATGTCAACTACGTTGTTGCGTGTACAAATGTTTGGGTTCTTGTTGAGAGCCGGCGCCGTGGCGTACGGAATTTCTTTTTGAGGCAGTAAGTTGACTTTATGAAATATAAAACGTGATGTTTGTTTGCTAATTTCTCACCGTAGTACCTGGGTTATAATAATTCTTTGGAATGCAACTGGTGCTGCGATTATTCAGCCACTGTACTTTTACTGCGTTTCCAAAAGCAAGGCTGTTTCCCGCGATCCTACGATACCAATAAATGAGGCAGTATCCGTGTTCATTACGACAATATTAGCCCTGTTATGTCCATTGCTTCTGTTCCTGCCCTCGTGGCTAAGCTATAGTACTTGGGACCACCATGGCTTCATTGCGTTATTTCATATCTCGCCGATTCTTGTGACGGTTTTATTTATTACAGGTTCTACGGTTTTGTCTTACCGTCGCATGTCAACGCCCAATAAAGCCTCGGAAAACCCAAATGCGGATAAGCTTTGGATTGTCACCTCCTATATAACTACGGGCACTGTGGCCGCTGCCGTCCATGCCTTCACCGTTATCACGTCTTTAAGAACGTCAAACCCTGATGTTACTTTTACAAGGCTTTTTATTCCGTCTCCTGGCAGGGCCAACCTTTTTCGTACCTGGTTCCCAAAATTTACCTCAGCCCTTCCGGGTCTTCCCGCAAAATATACTGAGCTCTTGGAACAGTATCACCTCTTCTCTCAGTTTGACCTGGTTGTCGTCGCGCTGTCTTGCATTGTTTTTGTCCACTATCTTCTTTCGCACTCGGGAAGTAACAAGGTTGAGCATCATAAAAAGAGGATAGCTTCAGTCGAAAACCGGGAGTTGGTCTATCTTTTCCTAGGTACCCTATTTTTAGGACCCGGAGCAGCTGGTTCATTTGCCCTTGCAATTCGCGAGTCTAGAATAAGACGTTATAATATGCTTAAGGCTCAGTAACCCGGACGCGTGCAAGAATTTGTTTTCGATAGTTGTTCTTGTTAGAGCCTGAATGGGAGGATTCATAGGGCTCAAAATTGATCCGTTCAGCCATAGCTTTCTCTCTCGAGGAAATAATTGCTTTTCATATTAGATCCTACTTTCTTTTTCGTTCATTCGAGTCGGTCATCTTCAAGGAATACTTCAGTTGGAGCTTTTGCTTGTTGGTTTTAGGTAGTTTGATTCATGATAATGAGAAATAAACTTACATAGTAATACAGCCACTATTAGATCAAGTCCTTTATCCATCTTTGAATATATCGGATGTTCTATGATATGTAGGAGGTGAGGAGAACTGAGAAAACAAGTCTTAAAAGTAGAATCTACTGTAGCTGCTAAAAAGTATTGATCTTGGAAACCTAATATACAGGACTATTTCTATTAATGACAGGGAATAAATTGGTTCACGGGAGCCGGAGCAGCCACAGCCCAGTGGAACAGCTCGCCAAGACATTAGTCAACTGAGCTTAACGTGATCTGTGCTTCAGTCAAAAGCTTGGTTTAACTTCACTCCACAACAACACCCTGGCTCTCACAAACCTGAGCAGCAAACTTCATGATCGTCAAACTCGGAGCGAGAAGTTTCTGGAACGGAAAATCGAGCTCGAACTCCTTGAATATCCAGTTGCGTAACTCCACTCCAATCATACTATCCAGCCCATAAGATGCAATGGACTTCGCGCTCGGTTCGATCTCATCGCGCTCGAGGTGCAGAAGGCGGACAAGCTTGTCAGTAAAGTGTCCAACTGCCACATCTACAGCCTCTGCCGGCGAAGTTGCGTCCCTAATTGTGCTGAGTACTGACTGTTTGGACAATTGCTTCTCCGTCCCAGTTGATCGAATTGTCTGAAGTAGGCCCTTGAAACGAGCATTCCCCAGCCAGAACGCGTCCGTTGTGTCTGCGCGTCTAAGTGATTTTTGGAGTTCCGCCGGGTCCATGCCAATAACTATATGGCCTGTTGACCGGTGATTTTCTCCTGCCGCGATCCCGGCTTCGAATGATTGCAGCATGTGCTCTTCATCGATTCCATAGATCCCTTTGCGCTTGAGCGCTTCTTCGATTTCTGGGTGCTCGGCAACATAACCAACGCCCAACACCATGGGAAGGATTAAACTGCAGGCAGCCTTATTCTTCGATACACGATGACGAGCAAGGGCGTCTAAGAAGCTGTTTGCAGCAGCATAGTTGGCCTGGCCGGGCGTTCCTAGGGTGCCTGACGTCGAGCTTGTCATAAGGAAAAAGTCCAGAGGAAAATCTGCAAGCGCTTCATGCAAATTCTTTGTACCGATCACCTTCGGACTAATGGAATTAATCCATTTTTCATGGCTCATTGTCTCAAACATCGCGTCCTGTCATCTGGTTAGCCTATGTGAATCTCTCCAGCATCCGATGGGAACTGACCTGGAACCTAGCCGCCGCCTGCACCACACCTTTAATGGGATGATCGCTCGGAACATTTCGTATGGCATTCTCGACGTCTTTTTTGGAGCTGACATCGCCACGCGCCACTTGAACAATTGCTCCTTTGGCTTCTATATCTTTCACCAGCAGTGCTGCATTCTTAGAGTCGGTCCCCGAGCGAGATAAAAAGATGAAATAGCGGGCCCCATTTTCCATCATCCAAGATGTAATGGAGCGGCCAAGGCCTCCAAGACACCCAACAAGGAAATAGGTGGCTTTAGGGTCAAACTGAGGCGCAAACTGCGTTGGAGCGACGTTGAGCGACCTGTCTGTTTCTCCATAAGAGATGAGAACCCGATCCTGCAACAAACCTTCAGAGAATTTTGCCATCGCTTCATCTAGTTGGGTCAAGTGCTTGACAATCGCCACGTCGACTGTTGGGATGGATCCTTCGCGATAAAGCTGTATAGTGGTTCGGAGTGCGTCTGCCAAAATATGAGGCTTGTGATTATATAAATCAAGGATATCGAACGAGGAATAAGTTCCCCCGTGGTTCAAGGGTACGGTGTCTAACACGCTTCTTTTGAGGACGTTTTTACGCCCACATGCAATAGCTCTTCCGAACGGAGCGATCCGCCGCCAGCATTCACGAACGATACCTGGGGAAGATTGCCCAGAACAGAAGATGACATCGATACCTCGAGGGCCAAATATCTCGTCTATCTGTGTGTTCGTTCCAAGAAATCCGGTAATCACCCGTTCCCTGGGCAGGCCGAATGTTGCTGTTACGTCTTGGGCCTCTGCTTCCGATTCAACTGTCACAAATGTGTTTGCCTTCATTAACTTGCTCATTCTAATTGCAGCTGCTGCGGCAGCCCCTGCGTCGCCTAAAATGAGAACATTCTCATTCTGCTCAACTCCCGCAATGTTCTTTAGACCGTGAATTGCCGAAGCATATGCCATCAAAAGGCCAAGAATATTCTTGGGGTTCTCATCGGCACCAACCTTCTCGACGAGGCTTTGTGAAACTCTCTGGAATGAAGCATATTTGTCGAAGCTGAATCCCACAACCTGATCGCCGGGAATATATCGACTCACTGTCGAACCGACTCTGGTAACGGTCCCAAATATCTCATGGCTGAAAGCGGTCGGATAATCTTGGCCCTGGATAACGGCGACACCTTTAGCAAGTCCGCTAAGGTGAACTTTAACTTCAAGTTGATCAGGCTCTAATCTCGTTTCGTAGCGTTTGTCCTGTTCGAATATTACTTTCCCTGACTGGACTCGACCAACAATCGCTCTCTCGCGATCGTAACGGCTCTGCTCGAAATGTGACTTGCCAACAGAATAGGCCGAACTCAGTTCCTTGTTAGGGAGTAGTCGGCTGATATATACCTTCTCTTTTGCCACACAGTACTCAGTTTCGCGGTCCTTATCTTTCTCGACTTGGCGGCGTACGATATCAGTTATTGCGTGTACAGCACCAGGTAAAGAGGTTGTATCTAAGTCAAGATCTATGGTGATGAAGTCGAGCGAGGCATTCTCGCTCTTCACTGATCTTGCCAATCCAGACGCCATCGCATATTCAGGCTCTTTCCCAGAAAGAAGGCCACCCTGCGTAATCCAAAGAAGAGAGGAAGCCGTTGATATTATCCGCTGAATACCAACCAGCTCGGCCTCTCCGAGTGAAGAAAGTAATGGCTCTTCGAGCTCCGCGACAACGAGGACTCTTTCCCCTTCTTCAATATCGACACCATCGAGTGAACTTAATCGTGTCTTCCAACCACATTTTGTAAATCTATCAGCGAGCAGATATACAAGGGGCGCAGGTGTATGTCTATACACAAACACGAAGGGGTGTGACTGCTGCGTTGCTAGACTATAATCGACCGGTGACGCAACCTTCGCAATTACCAGGTTTTCGCCAAAAGCAATATATGAGAAGTTAGGATTTGTGACAGTAGTGTCCACATTCCTTAGCACCGCACGGCCACCAGAAACTAAACGCTGGGAAACCGAATCCATCATCAAGGCAGATGCTTTGACGCCGTTGGCCAGTATCAGATCATATCTTTCTTGAGTGTCATCAGAAAGAGAACCATTGTTGTAATTGAGAATAGGGGCTTGTTCACGGAAGAGTGCCTCATGATGTGCTTCTAGGTCCAGAATTTTTGCGCCGGGATTCTTATGTGAGATCATCTCAACAATGTTGATAATACTTAAATCCTGGTAGCAAGTTCCGGGAGTTAAGGTATCAATGTCGCATTTCCATACTATCTCCATATACGGTTGTGGATCTGGAGCATTCAGGGCCTTTTGTGGTGCCGCAGCTTCATATGCAATGGATCGCATATCTTTAATGTCAATTAGAAGACCCCCGTCGCTCGCAGTGAGCTGGGCACCGGATCGAAAAGAGCGAATCCCTCGCTCATCCGTCCAAGAATAAGCTGTCGCGAATGGATCCTGGAGCTGCTCGGGTGTTGGGGGCCAGATGGTAACCTCATCAACTTGGAGTGGCACAGCGCCGCAAGTCATATCCTTAGCCTTTCCCGCATAGATCGAAACAATGATGAGTTGCAGACAGGAATCAACCGTCACGGGGTGGAGGATATGGCGTGACTCCCCTTGCATGATGCCACACTCCTGTTTAATAAGTGTATTGCTTGAGGCCGCATAAGCTTTACCGTCAAAGCGAATCTGGTCCATATCTTGGAAAGTGGGGCCATAATCGAAGCCCACAGCTCTCAGAGACTGGTTCCATAGTTTGCCGCTGGCTCTCTGGGGCATATTTGGAACGTCCCTTGGTTTCTCCCCGCGTGGACGGATGTTGACACCGATCATTCCAGTCATATGCGCTTTCTGAATGCCGCCCTGTGAGATTGAGTAGATGTTGAAATCCCACCATACGTTTTGGCTCCCCCCCTCACCATGGATTGAAGGATGCATGGTAAAGATTGTTTCAATCCCGTCATCATCTTCTGGGACGATCAGAGCTGTCTTGATGGAAATGTCTCGCAGCGTGTACCCATCTATCTTCGTGGGAGCGGTACTAGTCTCGTTCACCTGCGTGACTGCCTCCATGGCCATAGAGAAATACGCTGCCGCTGGGAAAATTACATCCCCGCCCAGACTATGGTCTTTCAGCCACGGCAAATCCTTCACTCGGAGAATATTTCTCCACGTTGGTTCAGTTTTGGAACCTCCAAGGAGTTTTCGGCCCAAGACATCGTGGCGACCATGTGTAGGGTCCCGGTGCTCGACCGACTGGCGAGGCTCTGCAAAAAGGATCTTTGATCCATAGGTCCATTGGTACGGGGGAAGATCAACAAGGATTGACCCTCTTCTAAAGTCAATCTTTCCACCGGGAAGACTCTGTTCGATGAGGGTCACACGGTCCATATTGAGAGGATAATCACGTAGGAATAGCTCTCCAGCAAGCTTGAGGAGCTGGACAGCACAGTCCTGACCACGGACAAGTGTGGGAAGGTATGCTAGTTTATCCAGCTTGCGTTCGGCTCTGATTTGTTTAACTGGACCGGCTAATGCGGAGTGGGGTCCAATCTCTATAAGCATATCAACGGAATGGGAAGGCATCTGCTCTATAGCTTCGCTAAAGAGGACTGGGTTGACAAGGTTTGCAGCCCAGTAATGCTCATCAATCCCCATATTGGGAGGAATCGTGGATGCCGTGACGGAAGATACCATCACAGCCGTCGGCCCAGAAGGCGTGTCGAATGGGAAGGTCCTCTTTGCGTTTTGCACAAGCGCGATGTATTTGGCTGACGCTGGCTCCATGTGCTTAGAGTGATATGCCTTCCCGCCTGTTTTGAGTGTTCTTGCAAAAATCCCTTCCTTTTCAAGCTTCTCTTTGACAACTTCCAAAGCGCACGAATCACCACTTAGGGTTACAGACGATGGGGAGTTGTGGCAGGCGATGGTCACGTCGTCACATTGTGCAATGTAAGGTTTCACCACACTCGGACCCAAGCCGACAGCCAACATAGCACAATCCGTGTCGATATCCCTCACCGTTTGGCCTCGGTAGAAAGCAAGAATAATGGCCTCCATCCTGGATATTTTACCTGCAGCGTATGCAGCAGCGATCTCGCCAGAGGAGTGTCCAACTGTCACTGCAGGCGTGATTCCCCAGGAAGTAAGGAGATCTATCAGCGCTATCTGGACAGCGGTGCATAATGGCTGTGAGAATTCAGCCTCGTTAACCCGCGAAGAGGCAGCATCTGCCAGGAGCTCATCTTCGATCGTCCACTCAGGCGTGTCTGGAAGGTTATTCAACACTCTATCGAGGATTTTGATGGTCCTCAAGAAGCTTGGATAGTAGGTCATAAGCTGGCCTGCCATGCGAACCCATTGAGCTCCTTGACCGGTGAATATAAACCCGATCGATGGCTTCTTTTTATTTTCAGCGTAGGCAACAAACTTGGCTATATCTTTGAAATCCGAAACCAGGGTGGCATCGCTTGTGACAACATAGGCACGGCTCGCAAGGCGGGATCGACGGTTCCCGAGAGTGTAAGAAAGGTCAAGTAGGTTATACTTCTCTGCAACCTTTCCATATGCTTCGATGTTCTGGCTTAAGGTCGGCTTATTGTGAGCTGAAAAGACTAAAAGATAAGGTCTTTTACGAGAAAAAGTGCCTCGAGGCTTGCTTTTCTGCTGGGAAAGTTGGTAAGTCGGCAAAAACGAGTCGGCGCCTTCAATAATAACATGGCCGTTCGTTCCCCCGTATCCGAAAGAGTTAACGCTAACCCGCTTGACGAGGAGATGCGTGGGAAATAGTGTCGCCTCCGAAACAACTTTGACATTCCAGCCTTTCCAATCGATGGCCGGATTTGGTGAGGTGAAGCTTCTGGTAGGCGGAATGATCCCTTTTTCAACCGCGAGAACCGCTTTAATGACTGCAGACAGACCACTGGCGGCTTCACTGTGTCCAATGTTAGTTTTAACAGCGCCAATCAGAAGTGGGCCATCCTCGGGCTTTCGTTTGCTATTCATCGCCTTCGAGACTGCGCCAACTTCGAGTGGATCACCGATAGGCTGGAACACATAATATTAGTACCAATTGACCGTCACAAAACTTTGGTAAAAGAAGCATGTACCGTTCCGGTTCCGTGGGTTTCAAAGTACCCCGTCAGCATTGGATCTAGGTCGCCTCCGCGGCGATAAGCTTGCCTAATAACAGCTTCCTGGCCTTCTGAGCTTGGATGAGTAATTCCAACACCTGGAGCTTTTCCGTTTGAGTTGACAGCGCTAGAACGGATTATAGCTCGGATTGGATCGCCGTCGCGAACCGCATCGTGAAGCCTTTTGAGGTACACAGCACCCACTCCATCGGCGCGGCCGTAGCCATCCGCGTGCGCATTAAAGGTGTGACAGGTCGATGTGGGAGAAAGTACGCCAAGTTTTGCGGTGTTCATGTGCTGATCAACTGTCAAAATGAGATTCGTACCGCCAACAATAGCAGCGGAACACTCGTTGTTCCTGAGGGCATTGCAGGCATTGTGCAGGGCATACACGGAGGAAGAGCACGCTGTGTTCACCGTCATACTCGGTCCCTTTAGATTGAATACATGGCTAATGCGGTTGCTGATGATTCCGGGATCTACACCAGTTGCTGCATAGCTATGACGAAAGTCCGGTTCCTTGAAAGTCATCTGCTGGTAGTCCGCGGTGAAACTGCCGACAAAGCAAGCTGTCATGGTTCCCGCGATGTCTTTTAAAGCTACGCCAGCGGACTCCAAGGTTTCATAGACAACCTCAAGTAGTTTTCGCTGCTGAGGGTCCATCCACATCGCTTCAACAGGCTACCAGGTAGTATATTAGCTCTGTGCTAACAAAATCGTATTAGCTGTTGGAGCTGCACTTACAGAAATTCCAAATAGCACAGGGTCAAGTTCCTGAAGGCTGTCGTTCAGAAAATACCCTCCTGGTACGTTAAAACTCCCAGGCCTCTCGTTATTCAGGTGCAGGTGAGCATCTATGTTGAACCGCGATTTGGGGACTTTGGCCATGCGACCAGTACCCTTATTCATGATGAGCTCCCAGAATTGGGCCGGGGAACTAACACCCCCCGGTAAACGACAGCCTAATGCGATCAGTTATGGGTAATGATAGCTATAAAGCCGCTGCTTACCCATTCCAACCACTGCAATTGGCTCCAGCTGCTCCGACAATGGCTTTTCGCCATACCCAGGTATGGAAGATGCTGGATATTCGTAGTCGGAGACAACGCTAGTAACGCTGCTATAGTGATCGTTGGAGGAGTCGCTCCCCGAAGAGCATCGATTTCTTAAAAAGGGCATAATGACTTGGTTCGAGAAGCTTTGCAACAGGAAGATTTTTGCTTTCTTCGCAAAAACAGAGGATCGATCGAATCTTTTAAAGATTCCACAGTTTCCGGAAGCCTCTATGTTACATTCTTGTACATACAAGATATAGGCGCTCATCCAATCCCACAAAGATCAAGTCAGCATTTTGAGATCCACCCTACACGCCTTCAAGAATGTCTTTGTGAGAATGGTGCTATTACAGCAACCCTCTGTTATGGGCACTACGCCCTTAGTTTCATGGAAGCAGCTGCAAGGCTGCCAACAAAAGACGATCGAATTACTGGCACATCAGATCAAAATGAAGGGCAGAACGAGGAGTAGCTCTCCGCTGTGTCACCAACATCCGATGTCCTCGAAGGCACAAGGACAAGTCATACAGATTAAGACTGCTGTAGTATCTCATACTAGGAGGATGTGCATCGCAGACTTTGGTTTGTGTGACTCCAGGTACCACTGTCGATTTGCGGTGTTAACTGCGCCGTTTTGCGGGAGATCATTCCTAGCGGATTTCAGGTATTTAAACCGGTCAAGTTTCCGCAGTCGAAGATCGCTTACACGAAACCTGATGGCATAGTTTTACCGTCATAGTCCCTGCGTTGAATATTTGATCTAGAAGCAAATTTGTGGTTTTGTGTAACCAGAGGCTTTGTTTACCTTGAACATGGAACAGTTTGATGTTGTGGTTGTTGGCGCAGGTGAGTGCCTCTATTTCCTTTATCCCTTTTATGTCAAGCATTCAAGACCCTGCTTGGCCATTTATCCAGATCTGCACTAGTAACTCGGGTATCATAACATGCGGTCGATCACTACCTTGCTGATCACACGTCTGACTCTTTAGGATGGTATGGCTTGATTGCCGCGCGGACTTACCTGGAGCTCGTTCCTGGTACTCGTCTGCTTATTGTTGACGATAGTTTGTCAATCGGAGGGGCATGGAGTAGGGAGAGAGTATACCCTAATCTATATGCGCAAATCAGCCATCCGCTGTTCGAGTATTCCTTCTACCCCATGAAAAAAGAAGGTATTTCCGGTGATGGTTTTATTTCGGGAGCGACCATACATAAATATTTGGCCAATTTCGCAAAAGATCATGATCTGGTTCCTCGAATCCGCCTTGAAACCAGAGTCAATCAGGTTAAGAGAAATTCAAATGGATGCGGCTGGGTTTTAGAAACTAGCGGAGGCCAGCTTGAATGCAACAAGCTAATCTATGCTACTGGTGCAAACTCCAGCCCAATTATACCTTCATGGCCACGGAGCCGCTTTGAGAAGCCTGTTATCCATACATGGCAAATTGGCCAGTATCTTGGTCATATCGAAGAGTATGTTCAGCGAGCATCCGTCGTTGGCGCCTCGAAATCTGCGTACGACACGGTATTCCACCTCCTCAACGCCGGCAAAAAAGTGGACTGGATCATCCGGGATGGCCCCTCTGGTCCATTCTCAATTTACGCTCCTACGTTTATGGGACTCTGGAACATAGTTGATCACATTTCGACTCGAATGGCAGCAAATTTTAGTCCGAGCATTATGAACACTTCGGGTTTCTGGTACTATTTCCTTCAGCGCACCATTGCGGGTAGGGGGATCATCAATGTATATTGGCGGATTGCGACATATCTATCAGCGCGACATGCTGATTACTCCAAAAGTGAGCATACTCAAGGTCTTCGGGCGCAGCCAAAACAAGACGGGTACGAGATCGAACCCCCAAACCTACTTATATGTGGTAAAGCCTTCATACTAATGGGGATATAGACTTTTTTGGGGTAGTGGCGGAATCGGTATCGCGACTGTTCCTAACTTTTGGAAGGTGATGCATGCTGGTGACGTGACAATACACCGCTCAGAGATAGAGTCCCTCTCGCACAAGGACGTTGTCAACCTGAAGAACGGGTATTCGGTTCCCGCTGACATGGTTATTCTCTGCACTGGCTTCAACAAAGGCTACGACACATTCAGCAAGGAACTTCAACAAGAATTGGAACTGTTGTACGACAACGACAAGCCTTCCAGATGGGCCACTCTTGATGCGCAGGGGGAAGAGATAGTGAACAGACTCCTGCCTTATCTCCGAAGGGACCCATTGGCTTCAAATACAACTTCTAGGAAGAGAGATCAAGGTCCAAACAGACATTATCGTCGACTGGTGGTTCCGCAACTGGCAGCACAGGGCGACCGGACGATCCTCTTCCCGGGTCACATTCACTCGGCCTTCACGCCACTCGCTGCAGAATTACAGGCTCTCTGGGGAGTTGCTTTCCTCGAGGGCTGGCTGGAGTTGCCTAGCCAAAAAGAGATGGAACTTGAAGCTGCTACGTTTAATGCTTGGACTCGTAAACGGTATCTTGAACAAGGGAGAAAACACTCTTACTTCATCTACGATTACCTCTCGGTGAGTCCAGTCTAGCGACTTATGGTTGCGCACCGTACAGCTAACATGATTCAGTATATCGATACGCTAATGAGGGATCTCGGGCTCAATCCTCATCGAAAGAGCAACATGTTCGCGGAGATGTTCGTACCGTATAAGCCCCGCGATTATCGTGGTTTGATAGACGAGTATTTATCAGCTCGAGCCAAGGCAGGCCGTGCCAGCTAGAGAGTAAAGCAACATGTTAGACGTTTCAATGTTATAATATGCGGCGGTTAAAATAGGAAATCGTCCCTATCCTTTCATATCTTCCTTCGCCATGATCATCCTCATAACATCAGTTTACCAATTGGCATCATGACCGCCTGTACAGAGTACACAGAAATAATCGCGGTGCCTATTATGGTTCCACACAGCCACCGATTTGAATTCACGCCACGGATGGGTTTTGCAGGATCCGCGTACTAACGGCAAGTTTTGTTTACAGAGGCAACATGTACGGAGCGCGGATGGATAGCAATCCTTTCCTTGCCAACGCGCTTGCGTGTCTGATGTATTTGTCTAGTTGCCAAGCCGGCCCAGTCAAAGGCGAGCACAGCTTGTGTAACGGTGATATGCAAGCTCGATGTGAACTAGCCGGAGTACTCCGTGGATGTACACTATCTACGCCGCTCAATAACTTACCAAAGCTGTGTATTGGGGGTTGTTCTCAAAGAAACAATGCAGTTCATATGCTCTGGAGCCATTCCTGGGGTTCAGATTGAAAGAGGCTGCTGTTGGTGGTAAACTCAAGATGCGAGTTTTGTTTGTTCGTGAGTAGCACCAGAGATAGGGCCCGCCAATCAAGTTTGTGCTGCTGTTAAGCGCGTCCACCATCCAGCTTGCGATTTGGAGCCGAGATCATCAATTTGAACTTTTGTTGCCACGATGGTATCCATTGGCTTCACGTGCCGGGTCAGAATACAGGGAGTAGTTAGCCCAACAGCCTCTCCCACCATACTCGGTGCACTGGTCAGCCAATTAAAGTTAGTTATCTGTGACAGAAGGCAAAGGCAGGACTTGGGACACGCGGTGAAAACACATAGTGGGCTGGTATAGGTCTATCTTGAGAACTTTCAGCCAGATGAGTAATCGCGCCCGTTATCCTTGATGACGCAGAGACTGGCTGAAGATCTCCAAATTTCGTATTGTGATGGTGAGAATGCATAGATCTGTGGTTGTCTACCTTTGGAGTGCGATAATGCTCCTGCTATTCGAAATTTTCATCCCTACCATTGGCTATTTACTTACTCTATAGCTAACTATTTATTAGCCGGAATGGGCGTAGGCGAACAAGTCCTTTAGGCCCTGCAATCGGATATCAAGTACAGACAAGGATCATGGTTGACAGCGTATTCGCAGAAGCCGCACGTCTACCGAGAACATGGGGGTTATTCGGCAGAAACCATGATCAATTCGTGACTGCATGTGCTGGTCATCAAATGGCTACCACTCAAAACGTCTTGAGAGACCACGGTTGGACTCTGCATCATATTTTCATCCCATCCATAGGAATTTGTGCCGAACGAAACGAAGAGGAGAGACATGAAACTTACCGCGAGAGGCAATGTAGCCACTCACTTTACCGAGACCGAGAAGAAAGCAATTCGATCTCAGAGTCCATCTGCTGCGACTGGACCACTATGTTGATGTTACACAACGCTAGTTATTCCCGGCCATTGAAGTCCCATATAAAAGTGAGCGCCGACACCACTCTTCTCCTAATTCTTCTCTATGGTTTTATATTCTATATACTTTACACATCCTGCATTCCCGACATATTTCTCCTCGAGCTTTTGCCAGGCTGCACCTTGAACGGGCACATACCTCCTGCAGCAAAGAAAACGGAGGTTCGCTGCAACTTCTTTGATTGGGACGGGTTCCGGCCAATTCAAATTTTGTCCTGGTGTCTTCTAATCGTCGGAGTATTTTGCACTGTGAGAATCAAGTATAAAACGGTCCTTTTTCCTTGGAACTTGGGCTCCCTCGTGATTTTTCAAAATTTCTACCCTAGGATTTCTAATTCTCGCTGCGTCTTATACTTTCCCGCAAAAAGAAAAAGGCCAAACGGGTTGAGAGACGAATCTTGAAGAATCCATGGAGGAAAGGCACGCCCATGTCTCCGCGAGTGGAAGCAAACTTGAAATGCAGGTCGAGCCTGATATCGCATCTACTGGAAATGAAAAGGAAGAGCCGCGTCGTCAACTTCATGGATGGAAGGTGCTTCATCCTACTATGTAATCCTATCTTTATCTCCTCGGGCTATACTAAAATATTGTTCTTAGTGGGCGATTGCGTATACTGCCATGTTGTTCACGACATTTCTCTTCGCCCTCGATAATACTATCGTGCGTCTTTCTGGCCTTTGTTTCCCGCATCCCCGTCTCTGTGGATCTCCCCTAACATTGTGCATAGGTGGCAGATATTCAACCATCGATTATCGATGACTTTGGCGAGATTGAATTACTTCCGTGGATCGGAGTTGGATTTGCTCTCGGTTCAATGTTTATTCTCCCCTGGGGAAAGATATATGGCGTGTTCAATATCAAATGGGTGTATTTGGGCAATATAATTCTGTTCGAAATTGGAAGCGCAATCTGCGGTGCTGCACCCAATATGACAGCATTGATTGTCGCTCGTGTTATTACTGGTATTGGTGGCTCCGGCATGTACGCCGGCACAATGATGTATGTCTCTGTCACAACCTCCCTAAAGGAGAGAGCGATGTATATGTCGGGAAATGCTGTTATGTGGGGTGTGGGTAGTGTTTTGGGCCCGGTAGTATGTATTGATTTGTCCTTTTCTTCCCCCCCTTTTATCAGCATGCTAACAATGAGAAGGTCGGCGGTGCTTTCGCTACGAGCAGCGCGACCTGGCGATGGGTACGTAAATACCCCATATATCGGGCTTAGGTTCGTTTCTGATGCATATTCATCCAGTCCTTTTATATTAATCTTGTCATTGGCGCCGTCTTTGCTCCGGCATATCTGTGGCTGCTTCCAAAAATTGACCCTCAACAAGGCAAATCCTTCAAGGAAAAGTGCAGAATGATCGACTGGATCATGACTGTAGTATTCCTAGCTGGGTGTGCTTGCTTCACGATGGCAATAAACTTCGGTGGTGTCATTTACGCGTGGAATTCTAGCCCTGAAATTGCTCTGTGGGCCGTGACCGCTATCCTTTTGGTCGCCACGATCTTTTTGATGCATTTCCACCCAGGAGTGACTAAAGAGAACAGACTTTATCCAGCTCATTTCCTAAAACGTCTGATCCTGGTAAACATGCAACTTCAAATATTTTTATCGTCCGGAATCATCCTGGTCAGCCGATGCTTCCAGTCCTTTAAGCACTCTTTGTGTTGATATGCCGCTAACTCATTCAATAGACGATGACCTACTACATTCCCCTTTTCTTCCAATTTCTACGGGTATGTAAGATGTACCTAAGTATTAGGACCATGCCATACTCATCAGTCTCTAGGGAGATGGCCCTCTCGACGCTGGAATTCGCTTGCTTCCATTCATTGTCTCTATGGTGGTGCTATCGCTATTGAATGGAGCCCTAATGCCAAGGTTGTCCTATATAGGTCCATGGCACATTCTGGGTAGTGCTCTAGCCATTATTGGCTCTGCTCTGATGTGTAAGTTCCTTCAATCACTATGAGTTGTCCTTGAATCTAACTAAAATATCAAGACACGGTAAACGAAAATTCATCCAACGCAAGTATATATGGGTACACTGTTCTGGTTGGAGCTGGTGGGGGCTGCTATATTGTTGCCGGCTTCGCTATTGTGCAATCACTCGTTCCTCCCCATGACATTGCGAATGCAATTGGAGCCCTGACAATTTGTAAGAATTTATTTTGTACATGTTGTTTGTCCGAATACATTTTCATATAAGTGAGTTTATGCTGACCAGATTTCCTCTACACAGTCCAAGACCTCGGAATGGTGATGTTTCTCGCAGTTTCAGGTGCTCTGTTCCAAAATTTTGCTCTCCAGAATGTTGGAAGTGTTCTTCCCGACCTTTCACCCGACAAAATCAAAGATTTAGTAGCCGGGACAAGCAGTCCTACCTTCAAAGGTTTGAGCGAGGAGGCAAAGAGCCTAGTGATTCCGCAAATTGCTGTAGCCATGCGTTCTGTCTGGTTACTCTTCCTTGTGGGAGCAGCACTGAGTTTTTTGCTTTCACTAAGCCTTGGAGTAAGTGTTTACTGTGCTTCTGGCATTATCTTACACAACATTCGAGACTGGTACTGATCTATATTTTCCAACAGAAGCATAAACTCACCATCACCGGAACAGGACCACATTTCTGATCAAGAGACATTGACAAGCTCCCACACCTGTCAAATGCTGGAAGACCATTTTTCCTCTCCTTGGGAGTTCTTTCAGAGTCCTTCATCTATTAATAAACGCACTGCTTGAAAAATTATGAAATTAGATTATTTTGTTGATGCATTCCATTCCCTTGCACTGCTAGAAAATAAAATAACCTTTTTTTTTTTTTTTGGTCTCGAGCCTTTTGTCTACAGAATCCTCTGTCTATTCGAGTGCGTGAAGCGGATGAAGCTTGTAGATGCCTGGAGAAAGGGCGACGTCTGATTTGGTTGGCGCCACGTGACCGAGTAACAGCAGGAACGAGCTTTAACTGACCAGAGCCAAAATTCACGTGATATAAGCATTTACAACGAATCAGAAACAGGTGTTTAAAGTCTCTAGCTGGTGATGATAGGTTAAAGGGAGTAAAGCAAACAAGACAAACAGGCAAACAAGGGAAAACGGTGCTCCAAAAAGCCTGACAAAAGCGTGCCTCGCAAAGCATATGTCAGAGGACACTTAGCTGCTTTGAGACTCCATGTCTGTGCTCTGTCTTACATTTTAACATTTATCATTCTTCCGCTACTGCTGTTAGTTGATCTCCCTCGCCAAACTTGCAGTCCAGCAATCCCCCTTCGCTGCTTGAGCCCCTGAATCACTGCTCTGACGCATATTATATAATCAATTCACGTGATTATATTTGAATGCCAAGAGATGAAGTCACACCTCCGTTGGTGCAGCTTGAGATGTGGATGCTCGTCTTCGCCCGTGTTTTCTTCCAGACATCCATCATAGGAACCTACCAGGCAGTTCAGCGAAGTCCTTCAGCATTTACCTGAGGTCATTACTGGCTTACAATCATTTGCTTTCCGTCATTCTTCTACATAAACCCCTACACTGCCCCTCCATTGCTCAAAAGAGCACAAGATGTCTGGCAAGCCGCCTGGCAAACCTTCCCTTAAGCTGACCTTTGGCAAGCCAAAAGTGCCACAAGCTCCGAAGCAATCCAGTCCTCCTTCCGCAAGCTCCCCCTCGGTTACAACCCCAGGCACCCCGGTCCCAAAGCTTAAGCTCAAATTTGGCGGTCCCAAAGCCACCGCTCCACCCGTGCCAGAAGCGACCAAGGCCGCAAAACCAAAGAAGAGCACCAAGGCAGGGTCGTCCAAAGATGGCCCTCGCTCATCGAAAAAGCGCACGCATGATGTGGTTGAAAAGGGACCGGTTGCTTCGGCGTCAGCTCCCGCGCCAGCTCAGACAGTAAAACGTATCAAGTTCAGCGCCAAACCCCTCCCATCCATCCGCCTCAAGAGCAGAGGCGAGCCGCCGCGGAGACCAAAAGGTGTAGGATACGACTCCGAAGCTTCAGATACGGAAATTGATCCGGCCTTGGAAGAAGAGTTCGTTCTGCGCATGCCACCAGGAGAAGATTGTGACTACGTACGACAGGCTGTTGAAGAGAAACGTTTTGGCCCACGGAGTCAGGGTGGAGCGGATATTAGCTTTAAAGCTTTAACTCGAGATGCACGAAGAGCTACTGTCACTGTTCGTGGGAGGATGTATGCGGCGTCGATGGTAGATCTTCCCTGCATCGTGGAAGGGATGAAGAGTTGGGATAAGCGTGCATTCTATAAGTCAGCTGATATATGTCAAATGCTGCTTGTCCTCGGTCCAATTAAATCCGAAGATGAAGCAAGAACCTACCCATTGCCGAAAGACGTCGAGGAATCCACGCATCAGTACGCACACGGCCTAACTCCGCCAATGCGATGGGTACGCAAGAGGCGCTTTCGGAAGCGGATTAGTAATCGCACCATTGAAGCTGTGGAGCTAGAAGTTGCGAGACTATTAAAAGATGACGCTGCAGCTATCAAACCACCAGAGTTTGAAGTCATGGACTACAACCAATACATGCGTGAAGAGTCCGCCTATAAGGAAGAATATGACGATGAACAAGATGCTGAAGGCGAGGTCGACGAAACGGCTTACATGCAACCTGGAACGCAGGAAGATATGGCTGACCTGTTTGAAGACGATCTCGCTGCAGAAATGGAAGCTGCATTGGCAGCACATGCGGAAGCCAATTCTGTCCCTACATCTGCCATCACCGATGAACATGTTGTTGGAGGTGTTCCGGAGGCAGAGCAGGAGACCGAAGCTGAAATTAGTACTCCCAAAGTTGCTACAGCCGGTGAAACCTCTGGTGATGAAGATGAAAGTGATGAGTCATCTCCTGAAGATGCGAATGCAGACTTGGACGAAGATGCTTTGGAACAGCAGCGTCAATTACAGCAACAGAGAGAAGAGATCGCAGAGCTTGAGGCATTGGTGCGTGCGGAGACTTTGAAATGGGAGCAGATGACGAACCCCATATTAAAAGGAAAGGTTGGCAAGAGAGTGCAGAGGTTGAAGCAGGAACTTGAGCTCAAGAAGGTTTCCATTGGAGAAGGGAACACTGATGACTGATCACGCTTATTCTTTATTTATTATTATTTACGATGTGGAATGGATACTGTCCCGGTTTACCGGTTCATGGGTGTTCAAAGGTTTTCTCCATGGACTGTACCATAGCTGTCCAATTATGTTAACACTCGAGTTAATTTCATCATAGGATAACAAGTCACCAACCGTAGGTTGATTCTTAGAGCTTCCTTTGAGCCTTCATCCTCTTCCCCTGTTAGCTCTCTGGTTGTAATTATACACCACAGTTCCGTTCTTCAATGGAGATAATTGACAAACCCACATATAAACAACACACCGTCTCCGGCACAAGACAGCCTCAACCAAATCATTTTTATAAACCGCGAGCTCTAGGTTAAACACTACCCCTAAGATAGAGAAATCATGGATAGCTAAGCCCTTTTCCATATCCTTTCAAGCTCAGAGCTCTGTCCAGAGCCTTAAACAGCATTGAAATTAATATATTATCCTGTATAGTCACCAGACATCACAGCGACTTTGCAGCTTAGAAGATGTGTATCATCAAGGCACATTAGAGTGACGTGTAAACCTGGAAAACCTTTATATCAGGGTTGAAGACCGTGTGTTCAAGCGGCTTGTGTTTGAAGCAATTGGGTCTTCCAAGTGAATAGCCTTCAGAGCTGGACACAATATCAAATAGAAGAGTGATCACGACGCATCTGCCTGCTGCCCATTTGCTGTTAATCTCGTGCCTCCTCCTCCGCTACCAGCCTTTATTGTGACAACTTCTCTCACCCCGGCAGCTCATAACAGCCGCCAGCATCTCCTCTTTCCCATTATCGAACTACCTTCTTTTCAAGCTTCTTGGAATCCCAGGATCTCAAAACAAAGCGTCAAGTCTGCAGCAACCATCATCAAGGCCACGTCTAACTCCAATAACACACTAACTTGACAGTTTTTCTTCCACGCCTCGCGCGTTATCAATCAACAGGCAATATGAACCCTTACCAAGACACCTGCGCTAATTCTGATATTCGCTATGATCTCTTCAATATCGGTGTTCCAGACATGTCCTGGATTAATGAAGCGTTAGAGGCAATGAGTGAAGCCGATAGGAACGAAACCAGAACCTATCAATCCCTTGACGGCGCTAGTGAGCCAAGCCCTGAAGGTAATCCTACCCCGATAAACACGCCGAACGAAGACACCACTTTCCAGGGGTATTGGCAAGGCATTGACCCGAGTCTCGCGTACAACAAAACCAGTATCGATTCTCTAAATGAAAATACCACCCCACAAAGCTATGGCGATGGCATTGATCCAAGTTGCGAAAGTAATCTGGGCCCCGTGGATGTCCTAAACAGAGGGATCACTTCTCAAGGTTATGGGCATACCATTAGCCCGGTTCCCACGCACGAGCCAGCTACCGCCAGTTTTCCGAACGAAGATACTGTCCAGCAAGATTATGGCCATGCCTTCGACTCGTACCTCACGAGCAACCCAGAAAGCGAAGTGCCTGTGCGCAGGATTAACTTGCCCAACCGATGTCTACCCGTGCCAAACCAGAATCAAAGACAGGGCCATAACAAATTCCCACTTTTTAACATCCATGGTCCTGGTTATTGGTGGAGGTAAGTGATTGGGGTATATGTTTTCACCAAGATTCAATTTTTGAAATTTGATCCTTTGCATTTTGTGAAATGGCATATCACCCCCCAGGATAGCAAGAAGAGAATTCATGTATCACCTCAGTTTTTGGACTCACGTGAGATCGGAGAGAGCCGTCTGTGAGGTAGACGCGTGCCTATATTGTGAAGAATCCTGGTTTCTTCATCTTCTCCTATTCAGATTTTTTTCTTTTCCCCATTAACCCTCATTTTCCATACTCTTTTCTTATTTCTTGTCAAGTTGATGATCAAATCCCCTCATGGATCGTACTCGGTTGCCGAGCGTGCGCACCTTGATGGATATCGTCGACACCGCTATGACGGATCCTATGCTCATTGATTCCGATAGAGCCGGTCCAGCCAATCCTCTTCGACCTTGGATAGAAGAGCAAACGGAAATACCCAACCGGGCAAATACCCTGTAAGTCACAATGCTCCTTCCTGCAAAATTTCCTAGAATATATTTGTCAAGTCATAACAGGACGACGGGGCTTGAGAAGAGAAATGTTCATCACCAACACTTGGCAATATTCATTCTGTAGCACAGCGATAGAATAAAAGTAAATGCTAACTATGATCCATCCATCATAGTGCCAACATAGGAGCGAGCGCACTCCAGCCTCCAACGAATACGGTCCCAAGAGATCCCATGGCGGGAGGGTTTGGGATACAAGACATCCCTGTGATGGAGCATCAGGCCCAAACTGCTCCGCAAGTGGGAGGGGACATGGACATGACAGATGCTCCAGGGGCGTTGGTCATGAGTCACATGCAAGCCAACCATCACACGGAGATGGCCCAGCACGGTCGGCGGGCATCGCAAGGAAAATATGAGCAAATCTTTGCTTTCGTTGTGAACCCGATGGTAAGTGGCTCGTCATCCATTTAAGAATAATGGTGTTCAGGGAAGAGACGAAAAAAAGAAAAAAAAAAAAAAAAAGGACAATACGCAAAACGGAGACTGAAAACAAGATATTGGCTAATTATTACTATCCATCCGGAACACAGATCTTCTTCCAGGTATCGGTAAGACCGCGAGTATTGCCGGCAAAAGCAGCGCCAACCCTTGATACTCTACCCATTAGTATCCTAGAAAGGATCTTCGACAAACTAGATGGAGCATCCCAAGTTTGCCTAGCACTCACAGCAAAGGCGTTCGGCCGCGCGGTCCGCAGCGTGAATTATAGGCGAGCGCTCTGGTATACCGCGGTCGAAAGGGAGCAGCTCCTATGCTGGAGGCTCGCATCCAGCATCCCAAGGACCTTAAAACTCTGCCACACGTGCATGAAATATTATCCCACGGATCCACAGTGGTGGGGCAGAAGAAAGGCTTGGAGGCAAGCAAGGACAAAAAGCCAAATCTACGGCAGAATTCTCGCAGATTATGAGTTTAAAAACGTCGCCTGTCCCGAGTGCACGGCTGAGGCTAGGTGGACGAACGTAATGCGGAAGCACAGCGCCCTGCAGCAGGCCCTAGGCTTGTAACCTGCGAGAACTTGGCCTATTCTTTAAATGTCGCTTCGGAGTTTGGGATAGGGGAATGCGAAAGGGAGGGCGAATGCTATCCTATCTGGTCTATTAGGGAGTGGCTGGTTTCCTGCGAGAGCTCCACAGGATTCAAATTCATAATATCATACGTATAATTGCCATTAAAATGGAAAGGAATTGGAGAAAACAGTCAAACTTTTAACCTTGTTCATTTTTCCGTTTGTTTGAGCTCCGTGTTTTCATTGGGGTATCTAGTTTGTCCGTAAATGGCCTATAGGGAGCAGCTATCACATGTTCTGGAGCTTTTTGGACGTGTATAGGGACATCCTTTCGTGGCTCTCCAGGTGAAGGTCGTTGCCTCTGTTCCTCGTGTAATTTGTCCAAGGGCTCGCCAACAATATGGTACTTTGCCCAGTTAATCGGTGGCATCCTCACTATATCCTGTGGTTTAGGAATTTTGCTAAATGCGGGCTTTGCGTGTTCACTTTGTTTTTGATGATCTCCGTCAACACTCACACCAGGACTCTGCTTATCGCCATCTTGATCTTGAAACTGCGGTTGAAAAATATCCATTTCGCCGCCTGAGACTGTAATATCTCCCTTGACAACATCTTTGGCAAAGGCCTCGGGATTTTCTGCTGCAGCTTGTTTCAGTTTTTCCAAAGTCCTGATATCACGAAGAGTCTGTTGCTTTTGGATCTGGAGCACAGATATGGCGGAGCGGAGAGCGATCGCATCAGGATTATCAGATTCAGATATCGGAACCGGTGCCGGTTCAGGGGGCAAGACGCGTGGCGGTGATATCTGGGGGGGAGAAGACGGAGCCATTGAGCCGGTACTGTTTCTAGGATGAGGTGCCAAGCCAAGATCTGGAGTAGCAATAGATGATTCAACCTCCGGAGGTTGTACTACTGGCGGTGGAATCATCCCTTCTGAGTCTGCAACGGGAAATAGATTTGTATGTGTCATGACTGGCGTGACTGGAGATACAGGTGGGCGAGGAGGAGTTCCTGGTCTTTGAGCGATGGGCGTGTTATCGCTCGAAGGCTCCATTGCAGCTGCTGGCGTTTCAGGGCGAAAGCAAGAGGTTCTAGAGAATTACACTCGCATATAATCACGAGGAAAAGGAAGCAAATCGCGCGATGCTCGCATTTTAGCCAGAGTAAGTCAGATCGCTGCTGGATGAAGCGAAGGCGGTGTTTGCCTGTCGTTCACTTAAGCTCATTAATAAGCACGGTGTGCTAAAGAAGCTAGTTCTAATATGGCTTAGTTAGTGCATTGGTAGTGGGGTCTTTCCTGCGCCACGCCACGTGGACAGGTAATTGGGCATACTCCATAGAGGTCCTTCTATCCATTAGTCTATGTTCAGTACAATATCTGCCTTCTGTAGGGAGTATTATGGCACATCCAGCAAAGTGGTATACTGTTCGCTTCAATAAACATCCCTAAATTCCAAAATTTGAGAAAATCCTGCCAGAAAGCCAAGCAATCGAGGCCAAAGCCAATGATGTTAATTACACCACCGAACAAATATTTTCGTGAAATCAACAGGCATCATTGTTTTTAACAAGTATGCCCCGGATGGGGAAAATTAAGAGCTTGAGTGCTACCTTGATTTTTATAGTGACGAGCACGTATCAAATATGGAACAAGGGGACTCATTGTCGTCAGTCTCAGTTGTTTGTGTTAGTGTGTCAAGTCGCCACAGTTTTGTCTGTTATTTCCAAAGCTGGTGCACTGGATTTGCTTCTACAGAGCAGGCAATTATATCTCAGCTAGGAGAAATTATCCGGGGAGGGGGTGATGCATAGGCCATCATCGGCTTTAGGGAACCCGGGAAGACTGTGGTTGCAGTGGAGGGGACCTTTCAATTCCTATGACAAGATAAGCCTGTGAACTACGTATTAATATGATATCCCATGATCAAAATTCCCACCTGACCTGATGATAATATAAAATTAAGCTAGGTAAGAACTTCTACTATACATCTATCAATTTGACCCCCATCGGCACTCACTTTCGGAAAACATGAGCTTTAGAAAGTTAGCTCCCACTCCCAATCAATGCAACGTTGCTCCACCCCTTAATCATCTCCAAGCCAGTCTTCTCCGTCAGGGTTTTGGATTTAATGGCTTAAAAGCCTTGGGCCGAGGAGAAACTCGCGATATCCCTGTAAATAAGCGACTACTTATGCATACAATCAAGCGTTTTGTTTATCCCGGGAAATACGAAGCCGTGTTTATTACGGAGTACGAAATTATCTGGTTCAAGTAGCTATTATGTTAAATATCATTCTTCTCTGTGATACACAAGGGACGTGTTGCCTTTGGATCTGTGGCAGCCGTAGAGCTAGGAAGGTCGAGGAACGGAGCAAAGTGACCAGAACGCGAATCACACCACGCAAAGTCGACGAGAAACTTAGGCTATGGTGTATGTCTCCATAGTACAGCACATACACAAAATCCACCGTACAAATCGTCAGATTGATATCACAAGAGTTCCAATATGCTCAAGTCCCATGGACAGAAAAGCAACCCTGCTACTATGATGCTATTTCAACGTACCATAAGTGACGAGTGTCAAACCATGACAAATTCTACTGGTCAACAGCCAGATCCATCCATTAATATAAATTTTGTATTTAAAAAAGAAAAAGAATAGAAAGAAAGAAAGAAAAAGAGAGAGAGAGAGAAAGGTGTAGACAAATGCCCACTGCACCGCAGCGACCCATCCAATCAACATTAGACACCCTTCGCCATTCAATAACAAAAGGCGCAAAGAGAAAGACCCGACCCCGGAGCTTTCATTCAAAAACACCACACCTGAGAAATGAATTATCAGCTGAACTTTTCTGTCCCATGAAATATCTCTTATGAAGCCTGGCTGTTATGCGGGACAAAAAGAAACTTAAATGAGATACAACATTCGAAAGGCACTTTTGCAAAGAGCAAGCCAGCAAACATTAACAAAAGTGGGATTACAACAAGTTTTCTTGCTTCTCCAAGAGTAGACGAAAGATGGACCAAAAAAAGGCAAAAAAAAGGAAGGGACCAAAAGTCTTCCCATCCAAGTTTCAAATTACCACTGCGCCGTACGCATAAATTCGAAGCCGGACGCAAATGAATTAACACCGATGCCAAAGGGAGCAAAGCAAACAAGCCCAAAACCACAACCCCAAATTCCAGGCCGAAATGATAATGAGAGCAATAATACCACCAAAAATTAACAATGAGGTTTCAACGAGGGGAGGTCAGTTAAGAGGTACAGTGAAAAGATAGTAAACCGGTACACGCAGGGATAAAGGCGAGTCATTTGGCTAACGCATTTTAAAGTGACAGAAATGGGGGTATAAATATAGTATACTGCAGAGAGAGAATCCATGGTGTGATAGCAATGTTAAACAAAGCTAGAGCAAACCGGCAGGTTAGCCCGAAAAAAAAGGAGTTAGACCTGGTAACGGTTGATATGAGGTGACCGATCGTCGAACTAGTGTAAAGATGGCAGCATCAGAGTGGCCTTTCGATTCGAGTACATCCTAAAGCTAGAGATCACTCTAGCGAAAGAGTCGGGGAGGAGCAGCTAACAGGTACGCTGACGGAAAACTCAGGTCGTGGATGATTTATGGCAGATCTTGGACCCTCATCTCCGTTCCTCAGTATACTGCACTCCTTGCATTGGAGCAAGGGGCGTGTTTACTAATGGTGGGAGTGTTCTAGATGGATCCTGTGCAGGAGGTGGAGGCGCAAGCGAAGTGCTCGATCCTGAGAATGGTGAGGAGAACAAAGTCGACCCCTGTGATGAACTTGCGATGCCGTTCGGCTGCAACGTTGGAGCTGGATGAGGTAGATCAAATGCAGATGTTTGCCTTGATAGTGCAGGTTGCTGCGGATGTTGGCCGGTGAATCTCCGGAGGTCATCGAGCTCTGCGCGTAATTGGTCCTGTTCCTGTTGAGATTGTGCAAGATTCTTCTCAAGCTGAGTAATGTAATCCATTGCTACGTGAAAGTGAGCCAAGTTATCCATTAAGAGTAGGAGAAGGGTTTCAGAACTGTTCCGGGTATACTGTGACGTAGGACTTCCGTTTGTGATATTCTAAACGTACCTCTGTTTAGTGTTTCCCACTTGCTAGACTTATTATTTTGGGTCGAAGGCAACCTGGTACGTAGGGCTTCAAAACAATCTTTCATTTCGCTGCGCCGCTTCCTTTCAGCCAGCTTATGAGATATTCTCAATTCTGGCGTTCTACTGTATGGAGTAGAACCGTTGGTAGACTCATTGTCACCCATCAAATTTCGAACCTGCTTATGATGGAGGGAATGATGGTGGACACTCTGTGGCAATTCTGCTCGACAGTCAGAAATGATATTGAACCATGGTCCTCTACATAATGCTCATGTACGCGTAGATTTACGCGATATCAACACACTAACGAAGGCCTGGAAATTATACATACCCTGCTGTCCTTGGGGCAATCGAGCATCATTGGTGAATCTGCTGCTTGCAAGGGACTCCGTACCGCTATCGCGCCGAGAAATTTGATCTGATAGCCGGCCAGGTTTCTCTGAGGGACGAGCAACGTACGGATCAGGGAAAGCATACGGCATGCCTGGAATAGGAGTCTCGGCGTTGTAAATCTTGGCTTCCGGGTTGGAGCTAATTGCGGGAGCAGTGCGTCCAGCTGGGAAACTTCGGTGCTCCCCAACCCGGGGGCCCAGCGGCGATAACGCCTGATTCCCTATATATCGCGGTCCACGATGGGTTGAGGGCGTCGCCGCGTAGTCTGTCGGAATACCTCGCTCTCGCTGAAGGCCTGATACGATGGAAGTCTGAGAGACATTTGCACTCTGGTATGGCGAGGTTGGATTAAGGGCCAGAGAGCTCAGGCCTTGGTTCATTCGGCTGTCGATGCTGCTGCGACGTGATTCAGGGTAGTCGGGGCGCTGGGTCCCATGGGTACCATGGGTGCCATTTGTCGTGTTTGAGTAGGTAGAGGACCCTAAGGATGTAGCGTTAGCTTGTCAAGTCGTCAGTGCATGGCGGAAAACGCAAACTCCGGGGCATTCGCAAACATCAAAACGCCCGAAGTGGGCTGAGAAGACGAGAAATGGAAGGGAAAGCATACGGGCACTTTGGGACATGGACCAAGTCCCCGAGTCTCTTTCGAGTGTGGTTTGAGCTGGCGATCTTTCTGCGGAAGTGATCGAGCCCAAGGACATATTCGCCGTCAAGGTCGAGATCGAGGGTAAGACCTGGTTGTTTTGAGGCTGCGGGGGTTGTTGGGTGGAACGTGGTTCCTCCCATGGCCGGTGGGGAGGATTGGGGTGCTCCATTATTGACCTTGAAGCAGCAGCAAAAGGATTCGACGATGCTCACAAGTCAAGCAGACTTGCAGGAACAATAGGCGAGATAGAGAGGGGGTGGTGGTGCTTTAGGAGATACAATGACCGGAGGAAGAGATCGATCAACCTTCCCCGAGTAGACTGGAAGATCTAGGTGCGCAGGTCGAAGTCGCAGAGGGCAGTACGGCCTGAGCCGTGTGAGAGGACAAGGGTAGGTTGGCTATTATGGAGGAGCAGCAACTGCGAAGGAGCAAGAGCGAGATCTGGAGCAGCTGGAGATTGCCGGTGTTACGCTCGTAATTAATAGTTCTGGGGAATAATGTATGAGCGCTGTACAGGGTAAGGTTTGTTGAAAGTCTGGGTAATGGTTCTGTCCTGAATGGTAACTGTCATGGGAAGGCTAAAACCTTGTGAGTTGACACACTGAGTTCCTGCCAGAGCCTAACTTTGCTGCTTTCCCATTGTTTCCTCCCCTCGAGGATGTTTAAAATTTGCGAAGCATGATCGAGACTGTACGGAATACTTCGCGACACTGTAACTGTGCCTTCAATTGCGTAGTCTATGTTCACATAGTTCCCAACCCTCAACATATATGTATGACTTGATGTACTATACATACGCACATTGTATGTATTTATGTATGTATGTATGTATAGTATAGACGGGGTAAGGACGGGGAAGGTCGTGAATTGCTACATGCCTGGAGCCTACATTTGGCTGAACGTAGGCATTTACAAATTCGTTGCGTGGAACGCCAGATTTTTCATGAAGTAAGGCAAGGTGCTTTACCCACCAGTCTGAGTCTTGCGCAATTTCGATCTCTTTTCGCTGGATAAGAAACCCGCCCCCCTTCAAAATACAATGGGTTGTTTGACCCTCGGATTCGACTAGAGAGCACAGCCAGCACAAATCGAGTGGATTCACGTGCCTGTTGATCGTACCGCCATTGTCTGTGCATACAGTATGTGTGCCGTACGATGGATGTATTACGGTATTCTAAGGGCATACCTTACCGGTGAACGATCGGAGGACACTGGACGATGGGAGATAATGGACTGATCACCCCAACTCAGCAGTCCGGAGACCTGGTTCCGCGTCAGGGTACTCCGTTACGACTCCACGCTGCCAGATTCCCAATTGTTGAAACCGTGCGTCAAGACGACGTCCTCGCCGCCGTCAGAGTGACTGGCGTGCATGACCGGAATTCCGAGTGGTAACTGACAAGAGCTGTGTGTACCTGCTTCTCCGTGTCGATTTTTCGCACATGTTTTGTGGAGCATCGGCCCCATACCACTTGTCTTAGGTCACACGTGTCAGGTTAGCAGACTCGTTCTTCACTCCGGCAAAGCTTCCTCCTGAGTCGATGTCGAATCGAGGTAGGACGCCAAGCCTGGGATCCGACGGGAAAAAAAAAGGCAAAAAGCAAAAGAAACGAGTCGAGAGCTAAGATCCCGTCCCCCCGATGCCACCAATCTCATCACACACGTGAATCCTGCGCTCAACCCGCTGACTGAGGCCTTATTTTTTTTTTCTAGTTCAGCAAGGGAGAGAGGGGTACAACCACGACGGACTGGGGGCATCGCCCCAATGCAGAGAAACCCATGCTGTCAAGAACATGCTGTATCCCACCATGAGGTTCCGCGAGAGAATTGATACCCAATTAATAGACTTAATTATTCTCAAGTCGTCGTCATGCCTGCACCCAGCAATCCATCAGTGATCTTTTCTTTTTTTTTTTTTTTTTTTTTTTTTTTTTCCCCATGAAACCAGGCGAGTTTGGAACAATAATGCTTTTAGGCCTGGCGCTTGTTAAGACATACTATTGACTACTGCGGAGTACATAGATACATTACTTCATCGAGAGAGAGAGAGAGAGAGGTGTGCTCCCTACCCACCAGACAAAAAGAGGAAAGCAACGGCGCCACACTCGACGACTACGGGCGGGCCGGTCTTGGGCGTGCGTGTGTTTGTGTGCGTGTGTGTGTGTGTGTGTGTGTGTTCTCGCCACCGTCCAGATTAAAGTTTAAGCTTTTAGGGAGAAACGAAGCCTTATCCTTCTCACCCTCTACTGCGCTATGCCGAGTCCAGCCTAGCGCCCAGCAAATCTCCATTTTTCACCACGAGGACGACTGGGAGCGTCCGCGAAGTGGGTGTGCGTGAGCGCGAAACACTCGTACGGTAATAACGGTAACTACGTCAAGTACTCCGTTCTCCGTACTCCGTACTCCGTACGCGTTCTGGTTTCATTACCTGCGGGCTTGGCACTCCGTCCAACCGTCGCTCTCTTCTGATCAGCCAGCCCTGGATCGATCACGGCCAGCCGCCACAGCATCACGAACCTTGCCCACGATCTCCTGCCATGACCTTGCACCGTTGGTCTGCGTAACTCCTGTCAGTTCATCATGCAGGGACTTTTGTCCATCGGGCCTGCGGGATCCATCAAGCCCAAAGCGCTGCTCGTTTCGCTCTTTGGAAATCTGCCCTAGGATGGCAATTTCTTCCCATGCTTCATTCTACACAAGGCGCAGCATACCGTAGTCCGAAAAGCTTGCTTCCCCATCAATGCAATACAGAGAATGAACACATCCTGGGCCCGGAGTGTGATCGTCAAACCCATTTGTCAATGGCGCGTCCTCATTATTGAACTCAAACACTGCTCTCAGATCCCCGCTGGCGCGGGAACACACCCCTCAGTCTGGATCACCCCATTTCGGAAGTTCAGCGATCAAGCCTGGCTCAGCGTAACGTGTGTTTATGAGCATTTTATTTGATCATGTTTCTTCATTCTCATTTTGCTCTTTGTATCATCAGGGGTTTCGGAGACTTTTTTTTCAGCCAGGGTGTCCCCGAAGTTCTGTTTGAATTTGGTAAGTTGTTGGGAAAAGTAACATTAGAGAACACAGAGAGCAGTCATGTCATTTCTGGATCAAGCTTTGCAATGACCTGGGATGTGTACTCTGTACTCTGTACTCCGTACACCAAGAAAGATTTTCGAATGGGGAATCGCAGAGTTTACCTCTTCACCAAAATAAAAAAATAAAAAAAAATTCCTGGCTTTGGAGAGCTCCCCAACTCCGTGAATTGTGCAAGGGACAGCCTTCCCAGTCTATTCAGCTTAAATGGCAAATTTACTCCGTACTGTTCTCCCATATCTTAACTAGCAAAAGGCGAGTCAGGACTTTACTAACTCACTCCTACTAGAGACCAATCACACTTCCCGTCTGGAGTGTGCGGTCCGGACCCAAAAAGCTTGATATCTTGGTAGCAGGTTATGAGTTTTCGGCGGCACTAAACAGTGACAGGCACAGCTCTTCGGACATAGTTATTACTTTGTATGAAACCTTTTGCCTGTTTCAAACTCATGAGCTCATGATGAGCCTTCAAGTGGTTGTTGCAGATCAGCCTTTTTTGACAAGAGTACGGAGTAGTCTCGTTTGAGGTACCATTGCCGAACCGGACGCTCCGCCCGACGTCAGTGAGTTTCAACTTTCCAACGAACTTCTAATGTGGCGAAAACCCCGAAGCTTTGAGATGAGCCATGGATCAAACCCGAACTTTTTATATGCTTGTCTCGACGGTGCGCCGGAAGATATGCTCGCGACAGTGCTGCGAGAGACACCTGGCAGATGCTTCAAGACCAGCTCTGGACATAATAGCAGCATTTCGGTATTCTATGTGAAATGTGACCCGTATTCGGTAGCATTAAGCGGAGGGCCGAACGGCGACGGCGCTTATCATAGAGTTGATTACTCTGTAGCGTGTACTCAACATGTATGTGTGTGCGCGTGCATGTAGTCGTCGACTTAGACGTGTGTTTTCGTCGCATTCTAGCTTTCCCCAACGATGAGTCCATCGGCAGCTTAAAATCCAATCCGCACCCAACCTTCAGATTTACCTCACATAACAAACCTTTATCCCTACTGCCGCGACTCTGACTCTCTGACTTTGTCGGGCTGTGCGTGCCTGCAGGTTTACGTAACTCACCCGTTCCCGCAAGCGTCTAACTATCGACGGTGACCTACATTACGGCAACCCTGCCCTATATCTAAGCCATGCATGTAAGCATGCAAGCAACGACCGACACGCCACGCCATCTCGCGAGGCGGATAGCGTGCTAGGTCTGCCACGGAGTATGCGGCAAAGGAAGTAGCCATGTGGCTATGCATCCAGTTGCAGAGCTCCAAATAATCGGTCTCAAGCACGAATAGGAGAATAAGAGGACGGCGAAGGGGCCAGAGAACCGATCGTATAGTGTAGCATATGAGTTGCCGGCGACTTGGCGATAATTGGTTACCTTGTCGGAGGAGGAGAGTTACATGACCCTCAACAATCGAAGCGACAGGCAACGTCGTCAGCATCAGCGCCTCCACTGCTTGCTCTCGTCACCAAACCGTGATCAGACCTGTGGAGGCAGATTCGATCACCAAACTCTGCTCTCTATCACCACTCAGCGTCTATTGAGATCGTAACGGGGACCCGCTTTCTTGCCTGGCTGATTCTATGATTCCATATCTACATGCATGCACATCCATACATGCATACATACAAACGTACGCACCTCGTGGATATGCATACCGAATTCGTATCCCCTGCTTAAGCCCTCCCATCGCAATACGGACGACTCTGACGAATGGCTTACACATGTGTTTTTAGCTCGGAGCAAAGCCCACACCCAAGCCAGGGGCAAATGCAATGACAGGGGACCCCCTTAGTGGGCATACCAGGTCCTAGTGGTCATGATTTCAAGAACAAATACAACCCCGTCCAGCCCAACTGGCCGCTTAATTAATTCCAAATAAGTATGAAGTGCTTGTTGTTCATGCATATTTGCACAGGGCAAGGGGCCTAAGGAGTTTAACGGGAAGGGAGAATTAATCATTGGCCGCCGGGGAAATTTTTTGAAACTCTGCGATTTCTTCAGCGCTTTTTTTTTTCATGGGACTTCTTCTCGTACAAAGGTATATCCAAGGCGATATACCCGCCGCGAGATGTATTCTGCTGCTTCATCGGACCCTTAGGGGAGGGGGCTGCTACTGACGCATTCATGTAAGTATCCACTTTTGCCGCCGTCCTCGCGAGGATCATACGGAGCAGCGTTTGAGATCTGTGCCCAAGTTTGTTTCTGTGGAATGTGCGTCGTCACAGTTGCCATGAATTGAGCATAGGACATCCCGAAACGGGGTAATCATTCTTAACCGAACCCTAGATCGCATACCGTAACTAGATCCGGCGCATTAAGCGTTCTGTTGGGATATGGCAGTTCGAGCTCCCATATCGCTCTCCGTTGTCACTTGGACCCCAGGTCGGAACCTGGGCACTTTTGACTTCTGGGTTTCATTCTTTGTGTACGGAGTATATGCTCGCGTGAGAATGCCCCTTTATTCCGATGCCTTCGCGCTCTGAAATCTCGAAAAATGGAAAGACAAATATCCATCGCAACGTCGCGATGCGACAATGTGGGCCCCATGCTGTGTATGCGCGTCATATACTAGTTGCGGCTTGCAACCATGCTTAGCGTGAGAAAGTGCGGGACATGGGACGAGCTCCTTGTTAAAGAACCTTCTAGGCAGCACACGGTGAAGTTGGATTAAAATCAAAGAAAGGGGGAAAAAAAAGGGCATCGTCAAAACTTGATCCAATGACAATGGACAAAAAGGAATTCGGTCCCGTTGTCCAGCTCTTGAGATTCGCCCTCACACTTTTCGCATGTCACGGACAACGCAACCGTGGGACGTCGCCATTCACCTTCTTACAGCGGGATAAAGACAATCTCTCGTCCCAACAATGTTCTTGGACTCTCGATTCTGATAGGTAGGTAATCAACTTTCTATTCCATGAAGCCTTCAGTGGTGAGGTGGGAACATGTTTCCGGTCCTGATTCCGGTGCATCCTGAGTTTTCTGTTGCTCCCATGGATCAGCACGCGTAGAAAATATTAAGCATATCGAAAGACAACATTTGGTATCTTTTAGGGCGTGGTCGCTATTTCCATCAAAGAGCATTCATTGTGATTGAGCTCTTTTCGCGCAAACTGAGTATTTCTCGAGAGCTGATGTCAGGAAGTCCCGAGAATGTTGGGCGTGCCATTTGGAAATGCTGTAATAAGCTCGGTGACTCGATAACTAGACCTCGAAACAGAAAAGCGAAAGCAACTCCGTTGGCATCTGATGACGACAGTTCTCAGTCAAATAGGGTTGGACCCGAAACGGTGCCGTTGTCTCACGGGTAGCATGGATATTAAGTTCAAAGTGACGATTCAACACTTTTTTCTTCGTCATCGAAGTCAAAGTTACCACGAAAAGCATCTCCAGGCAATTCTGCCTCAAGAGTGCATGTATGCATCTGTAACCGCAACGTCAAGGTGATTTTGTTCTTTTTGTGTGACCATTCTCTATTCTTGTAAAATGGTTTGTTGGTTCTGTGCGCATCATTATTAGCCAAAAGAAGCTTCAAAGAATCCCTGTGCGTGGTTGCGATCAGCTGTGTGACAACACGATTGAAAGCTTTAAACTCAAGAGCTAAGCTCATGATAATTTTTTTTGTCGAAGCTTGTATGTGAGAGTCTCAACCATTCATTGTAACTTAACCTTAACGGTATACAGAGGAGAGAGTTTTGAAAAATGGTGGGCAAATCTGGAGGAGTTAGAACATAGCAATCTATGTAACATTCAGAAGACTTCGTGGTCTGGACTGCTCCAATGAGAGGGGTCCCCAAGGCTTTGCCCTTCCAGCTTCCACTGCTTGGAGAATGCGACGCATGCACACAGGAATAAAATTCTTTCGCTATTACCCTCACCATCAGCCGGTCCCCAATTCAAGTGCTACATACGTTATGTGCAGAACCAACCCTGCCGATGAGACCCACAAATGCCGAGAGCGTTTACCGATTCACTCCTCTTCATCATCCTCTTCATCATCCTCTTCATCATCCTCTTCATCATCCTCTTCATCATCCTCTTCATCATCCTCGAAACTAACCTCAATCTCACCCGTGATATCCCATCGATCTCCCTTTGCGGAGCGACTCACATATTTCACGAACTTTAGCGTTCCCTGATCCGGCAGAACAATGCTCATCCGATTCCATCCAGCGCCCATACTGAACAAAATTCCATCATCTTCATTGTCCATAGCGGATCTGTAAATGGCGGGATCTGCCTTGGTCTTTTTGACTTTGGACTTTGTTCCCGTTAAGCTTAGTGCTTCCTCGGGGTCGCCTACTTCTTCTTCGTCATCATCGTCGTCGCCGGCCATGTAGATCTCGTAGCCTCCAACGGAGGGACCGCCGTCTTCTGCTTTGGCCTTCGATGACGCATCTCCGTTGCTTGGTTGGGCTTCAGCGTCTTCCAGATCTCCGTTATCTTGCGGTTCCCAGCCAGATGTTGGGGTTAGGCCAATGGTAAATTCAAGTCTTTGGGAGGCGCCTTCATATCCGGTGGCAAGGGTATAATCCTGACCTCGTCGGAATCGGCGAGCGAGGAAGTTATAGCTCATGAGGTTGTCGATTCCGGTGATGACTGACATCCACTTCTTGAACGCTTTGGAGGGAAGGAGATCCTCCAGCAATTCTTGGATTGGAGTCTTCTCCTGCTCCTGGATGCCCAGCCTTGGCTGCTGGTACAGATATCGATGTTTATGAGGAGGCCGGCTGACCTTCCAGTCTGTTTGTGTCTCGATGTCGTCTGAGGCAGTTGGCAGAGCGCCTTTCTCCTGATCTTCGATGTATGCCCGGATTCGAGCGACGAATTTATCTGAAATGACGCGCTCCAGCTTGAGTGACCACTCACGCCCAAAGATTTCAGATAACTCCTCACTGACATCTGGCGTCAAGTAGTATGGAGATATATATTTCAGCAAGAAGTCCATATCTTCCTCCGTGAACTCTTTGTCACCTTCTTCATCGGAGACGACCTGTTTTCCTTTGCCTTTGGAGGCCGATTGATCCGTCGGTTCATCATACTGCGTGACTTGGGGCTGTGGACGGTCAAATTCGTCACCTTGACCCTGGAGTTGCTGCAGACTGCTGCGTTCGGCAAGTTTCTCTTCTAATCCTGGTTCGTATCCATCTTCTCCTTCTTGTGGGATATGGAACCACCCGCTGATGGCCATGCGCACCCGTTCTTTCTTTTGTTGCTCAGTACTTTCGCCTTCAATGTGGTACACCTCCTCGACATCATGGAAACTCTCCCCCGGCTGAACCGTGAAGAAACTCAGCTGGTTGAATGCGGGAGGTATTGACAAAGTGAAGTCCGGACTTGGGATCTTCACCTCATCTCCATTTTTGTCCGTCTTCGTCGTTGTTGGATACAGCCTTAAAGCCCCACCGTAACTTGGTTCCCATGGCGCATCTGGGTCGGTCAGGTAGAGGATATAACTGACACGACGCGTACCAATCACATCGTCATGGCAAAGAAGATGGCAGCCACCGGTATATACATTGATTGCCATGTCCGTCTTGCGCCCGCTCAGTTTCCCAGCCCCGGTGACTTCGGATAAGTACTCTCTGAACGGTAAGGAATACAACGCATCGCGGAGCTTGAGGAGAGAGGGCAGTCGAGCGAGCGAAGCATCGTCCAGTCCATCCAAATTAGCCAAATCGCCCGATTGAAAGATCTTGTAGATATCGGTTTCTTTATCGGTGAATGACAAATGTTCTTGGATTTCGCTGCGAACGGAGCGAAGTAGGCTTGGAGCGATGAGCGGGGAGATCACGCCGTGCTTGTAACTACAGGACCGTGTTAGTTGAATGGCAATAGCTAACCGACATAAACACCGGAACCCTGGGGGAGATATGAACAATTGGACTCACGGTTCTGAATTGGTATAGGCATTCTTGTATTTCTCGAGGGTGGTTTTCTCGAAAAGCCGATCTGCGAATCGAGCCGTCGCCTCTTCGGTTGAGAGAGCTCTCTTCTTTGATTCTGCATTAGAGCTATGTGGACCACCCTTGCGCTTCATTGTTATAATGCGAGGAGTGAACGACAATTAGGCCGACCTGTCCGGTAACGACTTCACGATCGCGAAAAGCACCTTGCGGAGCTTGATCTCGAAAATCTTGGCTGGAAAGCGATTGTCCAATGGGATTCGGTCTTGGCAGGCCTTCAATCTATCCGATGAGGTTTGGCGCCAGCGACGACCATTTTACTTCGAGTATGGAATATTGTCCACAGCAATCTACTCCTAGGTCTTAAAACTGTTTGTGGATACTCCGTACGGAGTGCCTTGAAAGGATAATTACATAGCGGAGACTTTTATTTCTTGAGATGGACGGAGCCTCGTGAATTCAAGGCCGTGGACAAAGAAAACCCGAAATATGACGCCGTTTTGGAAAGGTATGGACCTCTTCATGGCTTTCTCAGAAACTGATAAGTCCGAGTTGTTTTGTGGAGAGAAATGGTGAACTTTTAGACATTTCTGTTCTCAACTTTACCGGTCCGCATGAAGACATAACCACTCCGTCCCGAAGCCCTAATCAGTTGGCGGGTAAACGTCAGTCGAACATGTCCTCCGCGCTGTTCTTTCTGCTCGTCCGACTCTGTCTCGCCTTTTTTTCTTTCCCCCCCATTGTCTAACTTTGGAGCATCAGCTACTTTCAGGCTTCCCTAACTTTACCCATGTTAAACATCTCAGATGCCTTCTTCACCATTCCTCCCTCGGATGAAATGCCGCTTCCTGTGACAATCCTGCACGAAGCAGGGACCCAAAACGGCCTTGCTGTATGACAACCGAGCGATCACCTATGCTGCTCTCGTGACCAACAGCCCTTATTGCTATCGAGTGAAGCGGTGCCATACCGAATCCCAGAAGCCAGGACTTTGGTGCCACGGCGGCCAGAAGGAGGGACCGAGTGATGGACCCTGCTTCCGCAATGCCCGGAGGGATGAAGCCGTCAGAGATGTATTTACAGTATGCGACATAGATTTCTGTACGTACGGAGTACAATTCTTGAAAACAATCAAAATTCATGTTACAAAAATAATACCGTACTTCGTCCCAGTAATGGATACAACCATGGTTGGGAACGCCTGCATGCTTGTTGTGCATGGTTTTGCTCACACGGGCAAACACCATGAAGATGAGGGGTGTCGTGCCGTGATGGGCTTTGACAATGGCATTGCATGTTCTCCAACAAGCTGAAAGATGTGGCAGCACATTCAACCCCTCAGCACACAACACAAGAGAACTCAAATTGACAATGAAATACTCCGTACTCACTGGCTAGGACCCGTTTGGAGCTTTAAATCATGAAATTTACGTTGACTATTGGCTTAGCTCTGCTTCCGCGGAAGACTGGTCTCTAAAATTGACAAGGATAGTAAACTCCAGACGCTGGTGTTAGCTCTGTGCCAAGTTCCAGATCGTTCTGCTGCTTCGCTCACAGAAGTCTCTCTTGTCTTTATTTATGGTTTGAAATAATCAGAGGCTACATACAAAGAACGAGGATCACCATGCGTGCAGCTGGGTCGCACAATGATCATCGGATGGACCAGGTGACGCTTCTGCCACCATACGGAGTACAGACATGGTTGATTAACTCCTACTAGTATGCTTTGGGCTAAAGTCATGTTAGTGCTGGTCGGTGCGAAGATGTGACTTCAAATCGGTCACCTATTGAGGGAATAGCTAATTAGGAGGAGGTCGATATAAAGGTGCCCCAAAAATGCTTGGCCGCAGAAGACAAGGGAGGAAGACCTGCTCTTTGAAAAGTGCGGTTGACTTCAAAATCAATACGCATCCAGTCCCCAGTCTTGACAGCTTGCGCGTTGACCTCCCGCGCGAAACCCATCTTCCTTGGTTCTTTGGTGATCCCTCGAGATACGCACGAGCGCACCTGGACAACACGTTCGACGTGTCACATCGTCGGAATGATATCCGGAAACGTATATAGCCGCAAGTTGTCTCTTTGGTACACAATGTGGCTCATTCTCATGGTGTCACGTACCACAAAATGGTAGGTCGGTATGGGCGCTCCGTTCATACTTACAAACATGTACGTATCAGCACTCATTAGTTACATACTTACATAAATACATATTAAGCATACACCCGTATTCTGACCGCGACCTCGAGTGATTTAGACGCAATTCCACAATCATGGCTATGGATAAATGAGGAGAAAGGAGACAGGACATCTGCAGAGGTGGACCACAGTGTACTGAGAGACGTGCAGCGTTCTTCATATTTATGAAGCTTGCCGAGTATTCTGTCAGGTCAAAGGAGGACAAAGAACGATACCTGAGGAATAATACTTGGTACGCGCGAATAGAAAAAGAAGGCCCATCGCTCGATACGGCGGGATGGAGTTGTCCCTTTGGCTGAATGATTGGAATGCATCTCTCCAACTATTTTGCTTCATTGTTTGCAGTGCTTGTTTCGGACCTTCTTGCTGAGGTATATGGCACGCCAAATTACTGCTGTACGGAGTCCGCGCGCCTGGTAAACTCGCCACTGCAGGGGGTTATCGGGGTGTTTGAGCCGGGGTGAAAGGAGTTAGAGCCGCGCTCGCTTCTAGCAGGAGTTTGTTGAATATAGGCGAAAGTGCCGTAGCAATGTAGCTAAAACTTCGCTCGAGAAGCTGGAATTCAAGGTTAAGAGAAACGACCTGGAGAACTTCCGCTACACGAAGAATAAATTAACATGACTTCATGGACTCATGGCAATGAATAGCTCCAAGGGAATGAACTACTCAAGGAATTGATCCTAATGCTCCGTAGCGCGGGAGAAAACTTCAAAATGGAGAAAGACAGAAGCTGAAACCAGTTTAGACAAAGAAGTACTATGTGTTTGTTCTAAACATTGCCTCTGGCTCACTTGAATATAACTACGAACTATCGAGTCAATATCCGACGTTTGGACGCAATATCTCATCGCTATGCCATTCACGAAGCGTTGCTTGGAAGCGAACAGGCGAGCGCTGAGCTATCCTAGCACAGAGCTGCAAATCCCTCACGATGCTCTGATGCACTACTGCCAAGTCTTCAACGGACTAGGTCTGCTAATGCAATACGGAATACAGGGTGTCCGTACCTTAAAATTATTCACAAAAACTGCTAAGATCCACTGCCGGAGGCGTGCGTCATACCCTGCCGATGGCCTGACAGTATGGGTGGTCAATGGCGGTACGAAATACCCGCCCAGCAGAGAACTCCACTGGTCCATCCTTTTCACCGAAAATTGATGAGTTCGAGAGCTAAAACTTCGCAAGTCCCAGAGCCAGCTATTTAGCCGTAACTTGAGGCAATCCGATCGCTCGGGATTCCATGCTGCTGTCCAGCTTGTCTTCAGTCCCCCCCAGCTTGAAAGTGCTTTGGTTGAAGAATTATGCCTCGACGGCGCCAAGAACAGCATTTTGGCCCCCGACGCCGGCTGCGCGCTGTGACTGGATGGCTGTAGGCGCCCAATCACTGCCGGCCCGCCGCGCTCGCAGCGGTGATTGGCGCCGGGCGACGACATCCCATCCAGCCGCTCCAACCTCACCGTCCACTGCCTCCAACGACATGCCCAGGAGACAAAACACGGCCAGCGCTTCTGCTTGGTTACATCCATCATGTTGCTCATCAAATCCCCAGCGGTTCGAGGGCCAATGAGCCTTCAGTCTTGGGTTTGGCATGCGGGATTCCAATTTTCTCCCGAAACAATCCACTCGCTTTCCCTGTGTCTCTGTTGAGCTTCAAGTGTTCCAATCTTCGCCGTTATCCAATCAGCTAGAAGAGCATCGACGCGGGAGAGCCCATGACTACTTATGTCAAAGGGATCCTGGGTTTGAGGTTGATTTCGCACCGTATGGAGTTCATGGAACCATACTGCTATTATTGGCCATCATTTCTTTCATGGGTCATTCCGTAGAATGCGAACTATCCCTGAGACATGGTCAGGGTGTTGAGATGTTGACCTCCCGAGGGTCAAGATCAGTTGATCTTTCTCCTGGTTGGAGAACTTTTTTCATCTAATATTTTTCTCTGGTCCCTTTCTCTCTATTTCCCACTTCTCTATCAAGTATCAAGTACTCGTGTACTTCGGTGATACATGCAGACCTCTTGAACCTTTCAGACGGGTGCAAGACAGCTGTTCTCCAACTCCCTGAAACTTAAAACTCGGGAGTGATGCTTTTGATACCTTTGCAAAGTATCAAGGCGGGGTATTACGTCCATTGAGAGCTGTGTTATGGTGTCCATTATGCAGTGCACCCCCATTCAGTGACCATTGTTGACTGCTTATTGTTTTCATAACACAATTGTTTTTGTCCATTAATTGCTGCCATTCAGCCTTTCCAAAATCATTTCAAACCATTGAACTGAAGGGTACTTTCCACACCCATATGCGCCCTTCTTCCAGGGCCTACCGTTTTTGATTCCTCCCTAGGCCACAATAGCGTGATGAGAGTGGGAGTAAGTTAAGCTTCCTACCAAATGTAGCTGAAAATATGATGATCTTTAGTTGTACTGACAATACCCAAACTGTTGCTAGCCCAAAGGCTGTGCTAGGGACAATGGACTCGAATTCGTCCGAGGTGACACGGCGACACGTTGAACCGAGCGTATCAAAGCCTATCAACCTTCAGATTCCCAAGATACCCACATTTCCTTTATCCTCTCCGATCACAGAGGAGGTGATGACACCTTTTACTGAATCCGATTCCCCAGAGTATACGGCTGGCCGTAGCAACAACCCTTTTATATCTCCGGAAGATTATCTAACAGAAGGACCGAGCCACTGTGAGAACCACAACTCACACTCGGAGCGAAATGGAGGTTGGAGCGCGGCCGCACATTCGGCACAGACGTCCTCGAGCCAAAATGACAATACAAATACGATAAAGAAGACGAGACCCGGGCTGAATCTAGTGACAGACTTTACCAGGAACGGACATCAGCAGATAGCAGATGGTAAAGCAACTCGATACCAACAAGCATCGACCGGGGGCTTTTTAGACCTGAACGACCTTAAGTCTCTTTCTAAATCTAAGCAAACACACGAACGGCAGGATGGTAGGCGGCAGCCGACATGGAAATCAAAATTTCGAGGCTATGAAGAATTAAAAGACGCAACCGAGGATTCCGGCAATGTTCTCCGACCAATAAGGCGTATGGAAAAGCAATCCTTGATACGGAAGATTTCACGCAAGACCAAGGAAAAGCCCTCTAAGATCGAAGACTTATCTCCTTCCGATCGACCAATTTTGATTGGCATGAGCATTCCAACCTTCTCTGTAAAGTCAGATGGGGTAGAGGAGCCCTTAAGTGCTAAACCTCAGCAAACGCCTGTTACACCATCAATAGTGATAACGCCTGCAGTTGAAGAGCGAGGTTGGGATGCGGCTTGGGATAACCCGAACTCAACGAAGGCCCGCCCTCCATCAAGTGTATATTCACAGCCAACGCCGTTTATGAAACCGGCTAGAATGGAGTCTATCCCGCCAGTACCAGCCATTCCGGCAATAAATACTTTCAACGAGAAGCATTCAGAACTTTTGGCCGAGAGCCCCTCGCAGCGTGGGCAAAAGCGCCGTTCATATTCGGCCGGGACGGTTTTCGAGGAGGAATTTTCCCCATCGTGGTTGTCTACGCGCGGGCGGTCCTTCTCCGACGAGAGCAGAGTTAATACCTCGAAGCGTTTAAGCCTTGAAACTATCTCGACCCGGCCTCGATCTCAAGGCTGGTGGAACATCCTGTTATCCCCTTTATTATCAAGATCGAATACGTTGGGTAGTTGCCGTGGTCCTCCCACTGGGGACAGCAGTCCACCCCCCGTGCCACCTCTCGCGGTGAACGCCGGGCCATCATATTCTAGAAATGTCATGGATGAGAAACAGTGGGAGAATGCAGTATCTTCATTTTCTCCGGATACACCTGAAAGTACTCATGGAAGAATCCAAAGCAATGTCACGGCGTGGCCTGACATGGATGGCTGGTATAAACAGAGAGAGGACAGAGATGTGGCGCCGAGATCGTCCCAGTCACCGAACCTAGCAAATCGTCCCGACTTTAAAGCCTCGCCTGAGTCCGCATCCTCTACGCAATCAGTGCCCTTTGTCATGTCAACCTCCACTGAGCACAGCGGTGTAGCTCGCGACATACCCTGTCAACACGATCTCTTAAGCAGCCAGCCTTGCTCTGCGTGCCTTAGCCGCTCCAATATTGATAGATTCCTGGCTGAAGCACCAGCTAATGGTCGAGGCGTTATAGCGAATAATCCACAACATTTTACCTTCTTACAGAGCCAGCCATCATCAGAACAGGGTTCAAACAACCCGTTCTTTCAAAAGTTTGTGTCAGATCTGCGGCACGATCAAGCGAGAAGACCGCGTTCTGAGTCTTGCTCTACAACTATCGAGGATGATGACCCGGAGATTTCACCCAATATACGTCAGGCAACGGCGACTCCTTTATTCAAGGCAGCTGGTGCGACACCTGCTTTAGTAAACTCTCCATTACCGCCCCGGATGCCCTCAAAGGAAGCCAAACATGTCGAGCCATCAAATTTATCAGCTACAGGAAAGATTTCGGGCTCAACATGCAGTATTCAGACACCGGAATCAATACCACCTCCTTATTCTTCACCAAAATCCTGCAAGCCAATTCGCTACCGAGCAATTTTTCCTCCTGATCAGCAACCTCATTCCCCGGGTCCCATATCGCCGAATGGTCACAATGCTATGTCACTACGTGGCGGCATACACATGTCCAGAATGGAAAACATACGTCCGCCCCCATCGATATACACTCCTGGAAACCCATATTCTGGTTCTCTACCTCCACGTCCGCCTGCAGCTCCTGTTACCTTGCCCGTAATCCAGGGCCCAGTGGTACTACAAAGTAATATTGAATCAAAACGCAGAAGACGTGAGAAAGAGGATGCTGTTGGGAGAAAGGTTGGTGGCTTATGGCGTGGGAGGGGATGTTTTAGCAACAGGGGTTGTTTCGGCCGAGCTGGCCGGGAGGGAAGAAAACGGCGACGGTGGTATTTCGCTATCGCATTAATATTGCTGCTACTAACGGTTGCAAGTGTTGTTCTCGCGGTGGTATTCACCAATAAAAGGGGCCAACCTCCTGAGATTGAGTCTCGATGGCTGAATTTAACTGGATATCCTGCAATACCAACGGGTATATCAACCGTTGGCGGACCAGATCCTGTTGAGAAAAGCTCTGGTTGCGTGCATCCGTCTACCATGTGGAGTTGTGCACTGCCAAAAGAGGACCAGGAAATGAACGAGCCTTATGATGCAGAGACACCAAAGTTCAGGATTGAGATCACATTCAAGAACGGGACCAATTCCCACAGCACGGCCATGGCGATTAAGACAAGGCGGGAAGTTACATCAAGTCTGCGTAGGCGGTTGGTTCGCAGCATTATGACTTTATATTCAAGGAGTGGCAACTTCACGCCTGTACCAGCGCCTCCAAACTTGGAGGACATAGAGTTCCTCGGGAATACCACAGATGGCATTGCTTCACCATTTGTGGGAGAGGAGACACCTTTTTATGCTACCTTCCTATCCACAGGACCCATTAACAATTACAGGAAAAGGGATTCTCCTGACCCGCTTCCAAACCTTACCGATATAATCCCATCACCCACCACCGCTTCCGATGGCACTGCTGCCCCTGCAAACCTCCTTCCACTTCCAAAGAATCAGCCACTCCGACTATACGACCGCGGCATGCCAACCGAACGATACGGGTTCTATACATACTACGATCGCTCCATCTTCCTAAAGTCGGTAGCACCTCTGAATGAAACAGATACTGCAGACATCCCCGACGATAGAGACGGCGGATCCAGCAAATCAGCTGCCCGCGTAAGGTGCACTTGGGCACAAACGCGGTTCCTGGTGCAGATCTGGACTCAGCCAGAGAAGGCCAAGTTGCATCTAGTGGAAAGCTCTACCTCTTCAAAGTCTCCGTCCTCGGATTCGGATTATGCAACAGACTTTTCCCGTCCTGGTACATTTCCATACCCGATTACTATCAAATTGGACCGACACGGCGGCGATGCCAAGAAGAAAATGGTATACTGTTATGGAATGAACGAGCGATCACAGATTGAATTAAACGAGAGAAAGCTGCAGTTGGAATTTCGTGGTTTTGGGGGCACACTCATAAAGCCTGCAGGCGGGATATTCAATTTGACAGATTCGGACAGGAAGGACAAGCGGGATGAAAGTTGGCAACCTGTCGATGGCGGAACTGGGGGTTGTAAGTGTGAATGGAGAAATTTCTATGCAGTTCGTGATTGAAAAAAATCCTGCAGGTATTTTGTTGTTTCATTTTTCTTTTTTTTTTGCTTTTTTTTGTGTTCTGACGTGTACTATGTTTATCTGTATGATAAATGACTTCCCTTCCTTTTGCTCTTCCCTATTCATTTATGCATCCTTGGTGTTTGGATTTCCTTTCATTTCAAAGCATGGGTTGGAGTCTGGTCCATATGTTTGGCACAGCATATAGATATTAGATTATACCCTAAGTCAAATATATCCTTCTTTGTATTCGAGCAGGTGGGTATATTGTCGGGTTCTGCTGTTCATTTCGTCTCCAGCGATCAGCTATTTAACCGCATCAGCTGTCTTCAAAAGAGTTGTGTTGTCGCTTCACAGCTTTCTGACTGCGACTAAAAATCTTGGCAAGTACATGGTAGTTGGGCAGCTTGGAAGCCTGACGAAGCTCCTTGAAGCATGCGCCGATCGTGTCATTGATAACTAACTACTTTTCAGCTGAGCCGGGCCACCTTGAGAAGAACACTGCGAACGAATCCCAAAGCATGCCGCAATCAAAATTCTTAGAGCTTCCGCTTGAGCTTCGAGAGAAGATCTATGACTGCCTCCTCTATAGCGGATCATCGTCAGATCCAACAGCAGTCTATCCTGTGCTCTATCCAACCATCAAACAGAAACCTGTCTCGGCTCGGACCAGCTGTGCTGCCCTAGCCTGCGCAAATAAACAGATCAACCAGGAGTTGTCCGAATACATAGAATTCTGCCAAAGAACGCTCAAGGCGCTGCGCTATGAGGGTAGCTTGATCCTCAGAAATGAAACAGAATACTTTTTCTCCTGGACACATCTGCCCATCCGAGCCAAGCACATACAGGTCTTGACTATATCCTTGAGCATCCGGGGCGCGCGAAATGGACTATCCGGGTTTCGCGGCGATGGATTCGGCGCTCCGGCCACGGTTTCCAAAATCCATCGTCTAATATTTTCAATTCTACAGTGTGGACCACGGCTTTCAAGTGATCTTGCGGCACCGCTAACCGTGGGGAGGATGGACCTGAACATCTTGACGCCTCAACCTCCATTTCCTGAGGGATACGCGCTCTTGCCCGTCGAGAGCTTTCGGGACCTACGCGGCTTTAGTCAGGGGATAATCCATCCGCGAACCGTGGCGGATGAGATTGCAGTGTATACATCCTGGGAGCTGGAGCATACGGCGGATGGTTCATGGCTCCCGGAAGGATTATCTGACAGGTTGGGGTGGTTAAGGATTCTTGTGGATGGGGAGCCGGTGTATGGCTGTGACCTCGTAAGGCTGTGGGCAGAGATGCGTAGCAGAAATTGGGCAACAGCGAGAAATATTAATACGATGAAGAGGGATATATCCTGAATTAAAGGAAATTAGGTAGCTCCCTCTAATGATCTCTCCCATGTCGCCGTCGGCCCTCTCAGTCTTTATGTATACAAGGAAATATCAGAATCAGCCACCGCCGAAGCCTGGTTGGCTGGATGGCTATGTTTGCTTTGTTTGCTCGGAGCTTGGTGTGACGACCGGACAATCCCAACTCATGCTGTTCGCCGAACCATCAAGCAGGGCGAGACGCGGTCAGCCAACCCGTCAATACTCCATCAAGTCTGCCTGGGCTGTTTCCATTATGGCGGCAGGGACCTAACCGCGCTGCTCTTTCGTCGCTCCGAAAGGTCTAATTTGATCCTCCAATCCCAAAACTCATTCGTTTTCGGGGCTCAGGATGCCGGCGAGACTGGCCCCTTCCAGCCCTTCTCTACTCTCTCCAGGCGGCTATGATGACGATGTTATCTCATTGCGCTCTCTTTCGGATCAAGATTCTGATTCGGAAGATGATCAGCTCGTACAAGCGTCGCGAAGCACCTTAGAGCTTGCCCGGCATGACCGAACGGTCCTGGAGGAAGAGGAAGAGTTAGAGAGGTTGTTAACGAAGGATAGACACCAGGGCGGCGGGTTGAAGAGAATTTTTGGCACGGCACATGATATGGGGAGCAGTGTGCGGATTGGAAAGAAAGAGAAGAGGAGGAGAAAGAAAAGGCGGGCGCAGTCGAGTATAAATCGGGGTGGAGACGAAGAGGGGGAATTGATGTACGAGATGGAAGAGGGGGATGTATTCAACAAAGAGGAGGATGGCGAGTTAAGTTCCCTGTCGTCTGGTTCGAGTTCGTCCTCCTTAGATACTCTGATGTTGGAAACTCGGCCGCTTGAGGTACCGTTTGTCTTCTGCCACATTCATAGGATCACGGAGGAGTATTGCTAATATAGTCGCTCTAGTCGAAAAGTTTTTATCGAAGATTCAGTCTCCCGTTTTCCGCCATTATTATCCTCTTTCTCATTCTCTTCCTCGGCGCATACAAAGCTTCAAGCCAGTTTCGAGCTAGACAACATAATAAATACACCCTCCTATCAAATGGAACGGCATTATTTCGTCCTACCACTATACTTATTTCCCTTGATGGCTTTCGTGCCGATTTTCTCACCCGTGGACTCACGCCGACTTTGAATCAATTTGTCGCGGAGGGTATCTCGCCGAGATATATGCTCCCAAGTTTCCCGAGTGTCACGTTTCCAAACCATTTCACGCTAGTTACCGGTCTATATCCCGAAAGCCATGGAGTAGTTGGGAACACTTTCTGGGATCCAAAACTTCAGGAGGATTTTTACTACACCGACCCTGCACGGAGTATGCAAGCAAAATGGTGGAACGCGGAACCCATCTGGGTGACAGCGGAAAAGCAAGGTGTACGGACGGCAATACACATGTGGCCGGGATCCGAAGCTCATATTGGGCCCATGGAACCAACTTATCTCGATAAGTATAACGGCAGTGAAGAGCTCTCCGCCAAAGTTGATCGAATTTTGCATTGGCTGGATTTGCCGGGAGACGATGATGAATTTCACTCAGCAAGGGAACACAAGAGGCCGCAGTTTATTGCTAGTTATGTTCCAAATGTTGATGCCGATGGGCATAAGTTCGGTCCCAATAGCACGGAGATCAGGAAAACAATCGCCAATGCAGATAATATGTTAAAATCCTTGTTTGACGGCCTGCAAGCTCGAAATTTGACACATATTGTGAATGTCATCGTTGTATCTGATCACGGAATGGCAACCACATCAACAAACCGGCTTGTTGAGCTCGATAGCTTAGTCGATCTCTCGCTTATCGAGCGTATTGACGGGTGGCCGCTGCAGGGTCTTCGACCCCGCAGTGACGCAGACATACCAAAAATTATCCGCGAGCTTGAAAAGGCATCGAGGCTATATAATGCTTCTATTGAAGTTTATACCCGGGAAACAATGCCTAAAAGATACCACTTTTCGAACAACGATCGCATTGCGCCCATATGGATCATCCCTAAAACCGGCTGGGCAATAGTCAAAAGAACGGATTTCGACATTGAAGTGGCCAAAACAAAAAACATCACGTATCATCCCCGTGGCATACATGGATATGACCATGAACATCCTCTTATGCGCTCGATATTTGTTGCTCACGGCCCGAGCTTCCCTCATAAGCCGAATAGTCGCGTTGAACCTTTCCGTAAGTTTCAACCCTATCATTATCCATGCAAGACAACTGTAGGGGCAATAGCGACTAATCCGCAATCATGTAGAAAATATCGAGGTTTATAATATCCTCTGTGATACTTTGCACATCGAACCTAACCCTAACAATGGCACCTTCCGCCTACCTTTCCACCCAGTTGGTCTGCATTCCGACAAAAATGCACCACCGCCGGATGTCCCCGAGGATCCATCAGCTTCTTCATCGAACGTTAACTTAGTCAGCACTAGCACTTCTTCAGCCAGCGTAGCTGATGCATGGACTCGTCCTGCCCCAATCGCTGCAACCCCCTCTCCCGTCACTGCCCAGTTCCTGGAAACTCGCAAAGCATAGACGACATCAAAAGTCATGAAGATGATAAAGATGACGACGACAAAAATGACGCACTGTCTTGGTGGAGACACATCAAAGATCAAATCGACGCGCTAAAAGAATGGGCAAAGGGAATACTCAAGGACCCGAACTCAAATATCGATCCAAACTCCATTTAAGAGCGATATTTCTTCGCCCAATCATAATGTCTCCTTCTGGTTCAAAGAAAGCGCGCTGAACACATAAATTCCTTTTGAAATAGGGTTTCCTATTGGTTTGTGCTATTTTTTTTTGTTGTGAATGTCTTTGATTCAGATTCACCTTTCATAATGAGCGGCAGAGGCGTTATTTCGTATACCCATCTGTGTGCTGGTCAGACAGATGCCTATTTACCAGATTCAAGGAGAGTTGAATTTACAGTAATGAGCAATAATTTTTAATATGTTTGGGTGATATTCTCTACTCCAATCCTCCACCTAAAATCCAGGATTCAAACAGCGTACTTCGCCTTCGCTTCTAGCCATCCAGGTCTTAATAATCCAATATCGGCTTAGCCTCAAACCCTGCGGCTGACTTGTCTTACCGCCGTAACCAGAGATACAGTGTAAATAGCACCTAGAAACTTTTAAACGATGGCGATTCCCGCCAGTAAAATGTTGTAGTCAGTGATGCAGACACTCGATCTCGAGATATCGGAAAACATGAGTCTCCATAGAGCAAATGAGCAAATAATTCTTCTGGTTGTCACTATGGCTGTATTCTAAAGGGGTATCATCGCCAGCGCACGACACAAATTTAATACATTATTAAAAGAAAGGTTCTCGGGATAAAGCAGCATGCAAAGGTGGTCCTCGACAAAATATCACAGTCATCCAAAAGTCAAAGAGCAAAAGATACACACGGTTGCAGGCGGTTGAGAAGGGGGGGTATATCTCTCTCAAATATGTAACAGTAGAATAGAATAAATGAAGTGAGCTTAGAAGAGAGGGTTTAAGGGAATCGTCCTTTCTTCCTCTGCAGTGCACCAGGCAGGGTGATGTCAAAATCGAAAACTAACAAACAAGAAAAGAAGGGTGGAAGATCAAAAATTGAAGGTAAATTAGGCTGATAAATCGAAATAGATTTCCTGAAATGTCCCTTTAAATCCCCGTAAAATGATAATCCACATTGCCCTACCTTTCCATGACCGACCAGGATGGCAAAAGTTCTATAACGACACAAATAGAAAAAGGCGAAAACGATGCCCTACCATCGACCTAGAGGGATACTTAGCTCGCTCCCACACCCGCGCGAGCACCACTAAAATACCCCTGGTCAATCTTCAAAATCCACTCGATCTTCTGCGCCTCCGTCCTCGCCGCGAATAGGTACGTATTCTGCGTCCCATACACGGCGAAGACATTTGGTCGTCCTCGCATCGATTCCCTACTCCGTTCATTATTGGCACCCCTGGACGAAGGCCCCAGTAATCGAGCGAAATCTGGTTCATGATCAATGTGGGAATTGCGAAGATTGATCGCATTGATTTCGTCTCCATCTGGAACGGAGTGGACGTGTAAGTAGGGAAGTCGGAGTTCAACAAAACGTCGGACCCAGTGAGTATTAGTATCATCGGGGGTATAAAGGCAGCCGGCTTTAGAAGAGGAAGGATTCTTGGGTATATGTTGAATGGTGGCTAGGAAGCGAGGTTTTGAAGGCTCGGATGAAGATATATGACTAGAGATTGTACTCTCGGCATCACCTGAGAGACTGGTGTTGCTTGAGACATTAGTAGGAGCTTTGGGGGGTGCACTACTGCTTGTTCTCCGCGCAAACGCTGCTCCTTGGACGGGTGGCTCTGTATTGCCTTTAACGAGAATAGTCTCTGCCAGGTCCTTCTTTGTGGACCATAAATCGAGATATTTTCGAAGAAGTTTCTCTTGTCGTTGGGATTTCTCAGCGCCTCTTGACGGGGTGGACCAGCCATTTGTCAAAGGCGTCAAGCTACCTGTGCTCAAAGAACCACGAGCAGCATCGATTTCTGCGACACGTTGCCGTCGTTTACGAGCACGTATATAATCTCGGACCAAGGAAACTTTGCGTGGTGACCAGGTACTCAGCAGCTCCTCGCCTTTTACATAGTCATTCTGAGTGTTCATACGCCATAGATCCGCCGCTCGTTTTGCAGAAACCGGCCGAACAGCAAGTGAAAACATGCCCACGGTGGAATGGATGACCCGAGATGAAGCCCAGAATTGTTTAAACATCGACTGCTGTCGGACATATGTCCTGCCTAGTATTTGGAGTCGTTGGTCAAGCTCAAATACAATAGGGTCCTGTAGACGAGAAGAGACCAAGTTCCAACGTATCGTGATCTGAACTCGATATTTGTCCGCTGTTGTGCGATCCAGAAGTAGCGAACCGTGAAGACTGGAATCCCATTGACCGATTAGGGTCACATTCGAGGTCCCATCAGCATTGTCCTTTATCGTCGGCTCGTGGACCAGTTTGAGCTGAATATCGGGACTCTGAGTCTCCATATCCGGTA